TAAAACTCCAATTGATTCTTAAAGAAGTTTTAGTGAAGTTTTAATAAACTTTTCTTCACTGATGTATTAACATAGTCTAGTTAATATGTTATTTATGAACATATTAAATTTAGGTTCATTAATGTTATGTTAATTACATACCCCAAATTTAATCAATGTTGCGTTTGAGTTGAGGTACTAGTAACTCAATATCAACTGAACCCGAAGTCTAATATTATTTTTATATATTTTTTGTATTTAACAATAATTTAAGCTGAAACTAACTCAAAATTACATTAAAATTTCAGTGTGAAGATTGACCATTTGAGTAATGTTGGAGTTATGTGTTTCAAATTTATTAGTTATTAATTACAAAAACTCCAACTGATTCTTAAAGAAGTTTTAGTGAATTTTTAATAAACTTTTTTACACTGATGTATTAACGTAGTCTAGTTAATATGTTTATGAACATATTAAGTATATGTTCATTAATGTTATGTTAATTACATCCCCACTTATTACTAGTATAAATAGAATACCCACGTAGCCTACAATAGACACACTCTCAATACTAGAAAGAGATAAAAAGAAATTTGAAAAAGTGTTTTCAAACTATTGAGTTTGAGTGTGTGAGTTTCATATTTTCTGTTGATTAGACGGAGATAAATACACAGGTTTATGAAGAAAAGTGCAACCTTCATGAATATACAGATTTGATATCTGGGCTAAGTTAAATTCAGAGATAGTGCTGCTGTGATACCCTTCAATTCTAGAGTCACGGGTGATCAAGTCCAAGTACAAATCCGAGGGATACCAAACAATTAAGTATGTAAACAAGCATGAATTACAAGAAAGAATTTAAGAATAAATAAATAATTAAGCTGAAAGAAAACTAAATCATAATCTTTAAATTAATAAAGAAATCCTAAAGTTATAATAGAAATAATCCTCCGACAAAACATATTCAAATCCTCCAATACTATTACAACTCGGGAATCCATCTAGTGGACCCCTAATAATATCCCAGCTAGAAAATAAATAACTGAACTAAAAAAAAAATCAAAACTAAAACATAAGTAATAATCCTACGTAGTCGAAAAAGTGAGTGATTGTCTCTACTCAGCATGAATAAGCTCTAAGACTAGAACCGTCCGATATCTGAAAAATAATAGTGGGTCAGGCTCACGAACAAGTTCTACTCTACTACAATCCAAATAGAGACCAGATACGCAGATACATCCTAGACATCTCAATAATAACTAAATAGTCCATATATGTAGATATATCCACACTAAAAGACTCTCACTAGACTACAAGGCAGTCTCAACTTGACTAGTAGGCAACATGCAAAATACACTTGAAGTGGGCATAAGTACCTAGACCTAGCAGGGTACACATCAAACCATCATCGCCAGCTATGCATTCCAATGCAAATACGCTCCCTAACCATCAATCATGAGACTCAAGCTCATATCGTGGTAACATAATTATATATATATATATGAATATGATCCATCCAATACAGAACATAAAAACAAACGTCCAATATGTCATTCAACCGTTTTAGTTAACCTAACATGAATATATGTAGGATTTAACTTTTTAATTAATCCATTCCATTATGCATGAATAGGTAGGAATTAACGTTTTGATCTAATCCATCCCTAATATACCACCGTTCCATACCGGTGCATATAATTCACAAATCCAATGATTGGCAATTTAAATAGTTAATTTAAACTTCAATTAATCCACAAAACAGTCCAATAATTAATAAAACAGAAATCAGTAGTGCATCAATTATAATCCAAAGAATGATATAATATAAATCAGATAACTAACTGAGCGTATTATATTCAATTATACTAAAGTATAATCATATTAATCCATTTAACTTGCTAGGACAACCACAAGCAGTTAAATCTTCCATATCCGTAGAGAGCATGCAAATAAGTATTTAAATTTCATGATGTCTAATATTTTAGCATAACCGCATATACTAACTATTCTGGGATTTTAACATAATTATTTAAATCATTTAAAAGCCCCAGTTAAAGTACAAATTCACGCTGGAGCCCCTGAAACCCAAAAACGCATCAAAAATACACATGTTGGTGTATTACAGACTGGGAGCCGCCTCCCCACAAAAGGGAGCCGGCTCTCTCTTGCCTAAAGCCGGCTCCACCCCTTTAGGAAGCCGGCTCTCCCTCTCCCAAAGAGCCCTACGTAGAAATATTAAAGGAGTCGGCTCCATCCCTTTGAGAGCCAGCTCTTCCCTTGCCTCCTATCATCATCTTCATCTCCGACGATGTTAAAATCCCTCTGTAATTCTTAGTTAAAGTTTCTAGAGGTCCGACTATGTCCCAAATCATTCATAAAATTATATAAACCCAGTACGCATCGTTAACAAGAATTAAAACAGAATATGAAACAATTTGTACGATAAATCAATTTCAATTAATCAACACAAAATATAATTTAAAGTCTGAATTAACATGCATACAATAACAGTTTTTAAAGTATGATTAAATCCTGGAGATTATCTAAGCAAGCACAGAACACCTCAAAGGGAAAGAGTAAGAAATAGAACTTGCCTTTGAGATTTTTTCGGCGACTCTAGTTGCCGTTGAAGCTCTCTGCTATATTGTTCTAACCTACACACAGCCTCCCCTTCTTCCTCCTTGATCTGGTCTTGGACTTTGGCCAAAACCCTAGCCCTGTTCTCTCTCTGTTTATCTCTCTTTCCTGGCCTCTCTAACAGATACGTGAATAAGGTTTTCTAAACCCTAAGCCAGACATATAACATATATATATATATATAAGCTTAGAAAACCTAATTCTAATATATGTCGGCACCCTAATCCAATGTGATATCATATATATATATATATATATATATATATATATAAACCATTATAATTATATAATATATAACATATACTGAATATCACAATTAGTATGTGAACGGCAGCCGGTAATTTGTCTTTGATAAGTTCAATTTTCAATTCTCCATCTTGATTTATTTCACATGTGATATAGGCACAACCGACCACATCTTGTGATAGTTCAAATCGGTTAGCGTAAACCCCATCCGTGAAAAACATTAGATATGTATGGTTTATAGGACCCAGAAACAAAGATTGGGATAACTCTTTCTGAGTTTTACCTGGTTCTATTCTTATGATTTTTTTATGTGTCTGGTGTGTCCAGGGCATGAAAACTCTGATTTCTATTTCTACACTAGATCTATTCTCAAATTCAACCGATATATTTATTGACTATGGTTTTTGGATCATGTGGGTTTTCTAGGCTGGTGTGGGTACCTTATTTTGTAATAATATTTTCGATTTTTTATCATATAGAGAAGTACATACATAATATATGCGGAGTGTATGAATTTCTGATTCTGATGGAGATGAAAGTCTTCTTTTATTATTCTACCACCACATTTAACGCATGAATTTGAGCCAAATGTCTTACTCTCTGTTCTTTTATATTTACAGTTTGCAGCAGTTTAATAAAGATGGTGGTAGTCCAGAAGTACTCCAGGCTCTCTATTTGAAGCTCTAAATAAATAACCGCTGTAATTCTCTTGAGATCATAAAAACATTCTCTGACCTGAGGTCTCTTATATATGGAATGTATCTGATTTGTGAGACAAAATTTGGGTTTAGATTGATCACAGTGATGATACTTAATGGTGCCTTATTTTTTTTTTAGTTGGGACTCACACACACTGCCTCCATTGAGGTTCGAACCTCTAACCTCCCATTGAGAAGTGGAAACCTTGTACCGAGAAGCCTGTTGGTTAATGGTGCCTTATAGTTAGCTGTAGGTTTTTCCTATGAAATACCTAATGATAGAGAGTCTAATTTTGCATTTCATGGTAACATTCGGGATACTAATGACATTATGACGATGTCAGTCCTCACTCACATAAATCAGTTCAACCCGTCTCACTTTCGAACTCCAAATCATTATCCATACTTTAATGACAAACTAATCTTATTTATAATTTGGCAGTTCAAAACTGTACTTTATTCTTCTTCTTTTTTCTTTCTCCTCCTTAATCTTCCTTTTTTTTCTCCTCCATCTTCTTTTTCCTCAGCTGGGGACAGCCAAGATAGTTGAATGTACGTGCAAAGACTTCATGTAATAAGCTATTCTAACAAATTTGACTACGCTTGTTTAAACAATCTCTTCGTCTTCAAGGAGTGATATTTCTTCTAATTTTTTTCAAAAGTTTAGCGACATGCATTTGTTATATTTCTCAAAAAGTTGGGATCCTCTCGTGCCATACCACTTTAGATGACCATGATCACCTCACACATGCACTACCATGTGAAGTGATGGAGGCCGTCGAAAGGACATGGCCAGAGGAGGCCCAAGCGGTCGCCCGGAGTTGGTTCAGTTCCAATAAGACCTCTTGGAGTACCCTTCTTTTCAATTGTCTTAGGACTGGAGATTGTGTGGTCCTTGTTAATTAACAAGATCACTGCAACGATTCAGCACTGGACCAGTAAGAAGCTCTCATTGATTAAGTCCGTTCTATGCAGCATTCAGCAATGTTACTCGATCCAGCCACCTACCAATCAGAGTCATCAATGATCTAATTCTTTTTATCAAATAATAATAATAATAATAATAATAATAATAAATAAAAATAAAAAATTGTGATAAGATGATCTTGTTTGGTCTCCTATTTTAGCAATCCTGATATTTCCATCCTCTACACTGTTTGAATTAAATTTGTCTATGATTAATTATGTTGGAATGCATCTGTAACATCTGTTTTACATATTTCAAATTGTCCAATCCATTTAATTCTTAAAGACAACAAATTAACTAGATCAAACTACATTGACCAAAAAAGAGTAAAAGTAGTGCTCACATCTGAAAAGCTCGACTAACCTTAATAAATGGGCCTAAGCGAAATGGGCCTTCAAACCCAAACAGTGGTCATGAGATTTTCCTTAGGCCCATTTAGTAAGGCCGTGTTCTGCGTGGGAGCTTCAAGCTCGCGGTCTCGCATCAATCAAAGGGACCCTGCGACTCTCTGAGAAAAAAGATCATTGTAGAGAGAGAACGAAGAGATCCCAATGTCCACTTCAACAATGGTGGGAGCTTCAAGCTCGTGGTCTCGCGCAATGGTGCAGATCTCACCTTACACCTTCTCAGCCATCGGCATCGCTATCGCCATCGGCGTCTCCGTCTTAGGCGCTGCTTGGTATATACATACATGCATATATATAAAATATAAGATGTAATTGATTTTCTGTTTCCATGTCTGATACTTTGATTTTTGTGATATTCTTATAGGGGGATTTACATAACTGGTAGTAGTTTGATCGGTGCCGCAATCAAAGCTCCACGAATCACCTCAAAGAATCTCATTAGGTAAAACCCTAATTTCGATCTTCTCTAACCTTCGAAAATTCTACCAGATTCTATGTTACTTTATTTATTGAGTTACTCTGTTTGATTTTTATATAGTTATCCGATTATAGTGAGAAGTGAGTTGTTAGGTAGATGGATCTCTAATTTGGTTGGATTTAATGCAATTATTAGGATGTAATGCGCTATATGCTACAATTGAATGAAAACATCAGTTTTATAATTGCCAATATGCATTTGTTTCATTGTGTATGGTTTGAATTGATACCCAAAAAAGCGTGATGCCATATTTTTATCCAGAATTAGTGGTGTTGTTTGAAGCATAAGACAGAGTGCTCTGAATCCAGTTTGCTAGTGATGTAGGACGTACTTTACTTACAGAATTAGGTGAAGATTGAAAATTTTGGAGTTGGAAGTGATATTGTGGACATCCGACATCCAGCTGTAGATCTCTAGTTTTTTTTCTTTCTAATTATGAGTCTTGAAAACTAATAATGATACTACTGGTTAGAAAATCCATTCTATTTCAGTCCAGTATGTTATCTATGTCATATAGAACGTATACAAAGATTAAAGTTCAATGGAGGTCGAAACAAAAACAAATAGAGTGCTTGGGTTCGTCTGAACAATGTTTGTGGTGTTATTTTCCTCTACTAAGTCCTTGTGACATGAAGGTTAGAAGCCGGCTCTTTGTATAGGTTTTAGTATGGTAGTTTGCTTCTTTTTTCTTCAATATTGGCTTGAGAAATTACTGCTTTGCTTTGTTTCATAAATTGTAATTGCATAGCTTTCTCTTCTTCCTTTTCTCTCATTTTCTTCTACTTATCTTCTCCTTCTTCTTGTTGTTATCTTACTTTATTCTCTTAATTTATCATATGAAAAACTGTTTGCTGCGTTTAAATCAAATATTAAAACTGGCTCAAGCCCTTGTTCTCTTTCCAAAACCATATTCTACCAATTCCTATTTTTTCATAGCAACCATAACCCTATGTCTTCATTATAATCCTGGATCTCAAAATGTTTGCATTCGAATGGTTTCCTTTTTAAAGATTCACCCCTCGAAATTGTTTGCCTGCATGCAATTCTCTTTCTTCTTTCAATAAGCAAACGTTATTCAGTGGAATTTATCTTGTATAATTGGTTGAGAAATCATTATGGTTCTTTGGATGTGGTTTCCTTTCCACATTGTAAAGAATGGGAGGCATGTGGAGTTCGTGGTTACAAAAGAATGATATTTTTCTAGCGATTTATGTTCCGGAAAGTATGTTGCAAAATACAGTATACTTTTATTCCATTTTATAATAAACTAGCAAACTGGAAAATGGTTTCCTTTTATTCCTGAGTTTTCTTAGTATCATAAAAAGATCAGCTGAGATCTAATAGATTGGTCTTTTTTAGATGAGATCTAATAGATTGATTTCTCTAAGTTCTTTGTTTTCACATGCTGAATTATGAGAAACTTTAAAAAGTAATGAGAGAACTTGTGCACTGTAATAATATTACTTATCATTGACCACCACTTTTTAAAAAATTAATAATAATAAAGATCTCATTTTCGACTTTCTTAATACGTTAATACAGTCCAGTGTTATTAAGGCCCAAGGCGCTAGAGGTCCTTTGGAGCCTAGGCGCACGGCAAGGCACGCGCTTGATTGAAGTGAGGCGCACAATTAAAAATTTAAACTACCATAAAAACATTCATATCTCATAAGTCATATCAATATTCTAGAATTAATATCAAATATAAAAAAGTAAATCCATCAACTAAACAAGCATCCAACAACCAGAAAACAGAGCGCAAATTTGTTTTCTTGAAAGGAAAATCATAATTTTGATTTTTTGAATGGCAAAATAGAGCACAAAAAGAAATAAATCTGTTAACAACAACAACAAAAAACGGGTAGAAAGAGAAGAAAAGAAAAAAGAGCGAAAAAAAAAGATGCAGAGACAAAAGAAGTAGATGAAGAGAGAGACGTAGATGAGAAGAGGGAGAAAGTGTTAAAGAAAAATACAGAGAAAAACAGAGCCGCCCAAAAAGAAAGACTAAGAAAGGAGAACTAAACGAAGAGAGAGATGTAAACAAAGATAAAAAGAGAGGAGAGAGAAGTAGAGGAGAAGAGAGAGAAGAAGAAGAAAGAACTGACGTGGCTTCGTCGTTCATCTCTGCAACTTGGGTTTTGTCGTTCGTCTCGCGGTCTTACTCTTTATCTGTTCGGTTGACACTTTGACTCTTGGGCTTTCTTATTTGTTTATTCTTTTGAACAAAAGCTTCTTCTCTCGTACGCTTGAGTTTTCTTATTTGTTTATTAAGTTGCCAAAAGTACCCTTTTTGGATTAAGAAATAGAATATAATAGTTTTTTTAAAAAATCAGTGGTGTGCCTGATAAACAGGACAAGACACAACCGAGGCGCGCTCCTAGTAAAAATTTGTGAGCCTAAGATGACAACGGGCACTAGATATGCACCTCGAGCCTAGGCGATCCTTTAACAACGCTGATACAGTCCAATAATACAATTTATCAAGTATATCCCAATAATAGCACATTTTGAGTACCTCCTCCCGTTCCTTTTCTACATACCAAAATGACATGCAGTTTGTGATATATAGTTGGAGTTACATACACAAATTCAGGATCATTTGGCCATGAACTTATTTGAACTCTTCCGATGTTCCTTGTTCAATACTAAGGGCCCGTTTGGATTGGCTTTTGAAACGCTGCTTTTAGCTTTTTGGGGTTGGAAGCTGTTTTGAGTAATGTTTGGCTAATTTTTTAAAAGAGCTTTTAAGTCTTAGAAGAGCGTTTTGGAGAAGCTGGGTACCTCCAGCTTTTCTTAAACGGTCTTTTTTTAAAGACACGGAAAGCTGTTAAAGGGTTTAATGAAACTTTCAAAATACCAAGCGTTCCCTCCATATTGTGAACAAAAAATAAAGTATTCTACCTGTATCCCTATATATGTAAAGAAACCTAATCGCATCACAAATTGTCTCTTTCATCTGGTTCACAATTTCACATAGCAGCAGGTTCCTCCTCTCTTGTTTCTCTTCCTCAAGATTTCAAGGCTAGGTACTCCATATTTTTTTCCATTGGACAAATAACTCCTAAATACAATATTATTTTACGTTTTATCATGAATCAAATTTGTTAGATTTTAACGAACGATGAGTGAGAACAATATATATATATATATATATATATATATTTATTTATTTATTTATTTATTTATTGCTATTGCAATTTATATTTCGATTCATTCTTGATTTTGGTTTTTTGTTTTCCCTTTTTCTCATATACGTTACCATCATATGTTTTTGTATATATATATATATATATATATATATATTTATTTATTTATTTATTTATTTATTGCTATTGCAATTTATATTTCGATTCATTCTTGATTTTGGTTTTTTGTTTTCCCTTTTTCTCATATACGTTACCATCATATGTTTTTGCCTTCAATTTTATTTTCTCTTAGCTTTGCGAATCTGTGGGTATATACAGGTAATATATGTGTATATTTTATATGATTTACTTGATGATAGTTGCGAAAATAAACTCCATAAGTTGGGCTAATGACTCTTTCAACTTACATAACCACGGTCAACCAAAAAATATGAAGAACAAAGAAATCTTTTCATCTTTAGCTTTTTTTTCACATCGAAATTGAATTGGGAAATACTTTCCATCTGTAGCTTTTTTTTCACATCAAAATGAACATGTATATAATGGCGTCCTCAGAATCTTTCTATGGCAACCACGAAGTACTAACCAAAAAAAAAATGAAAGAAAAAAAAAAAATCCTTCCATTTTTAGCTTCTTCCTTTTTTCACCTCAAAATTGAATTGAAAAATAGGTGAACTTATATGTAAATCGTTGTATTTAAAAAAAAAAAATTCCTTTCATATATCAATTTCTCAAAACACTATAGAAGAAAGAATTTATAAAATGAGTTACATATATTAAGTTGAAAAAATCGAAAGAAAAAAAAATAATTAAATAATTAACTATATGAATGACTTTCTTATAGTGAAATTAATAAAAAATGTAGAAGAATGTTATTTAGATCATTTTATAGACAACAACAATGTAAAAGTAATAATTTTTAAATCATTTTCACGATGGATGTGTAACGTATTTCGTTCTTTCACAAATGATATGTTTTTTAATATCATAGTTTTGGTTACAGTTGTTGGGATGGTCATTGTTTGGAACCTTATTTCATTGGTTAGTGTTTGGAACCTTATTTTATCTAAGGGCAAATTAGTTATATTAGTAGTAGAAGAGCTTTAGTAAGCATTTTGCCAAACAGACAAAAAAGTTCTTCTAACATTAAAAACTCTTCTAAAATACAATTCCCAAACACTATCAAATAAGCCAAATAGAAGTGATAGCTTATACTTCTCTTCTTCTTCTCTGTAAAAGCATAAGTAAAAGCTATGCCAAACGAGCACTAAGGATGCTGTGAACTTATCTTTCTTTCACTTAAAGTTATTCAATATTGTGTATGTTTAACTTTTTATATGAATTTTGGGTGCCGTTCATGGTGCCATCTTGCTACTGTAATTTGACTTGTATACTTGTGTTGTTAGTGTAATCTTCTGCGAAGCTGTTGCTATATATGGAGTTATTGTGGCAATTATCCTACAAACAAAGTTGGAGAGCGTTCCAGCATCACAGTTATATGCGCCCGAGTCTCTTAGAGCCGGATATGCAATCTTTGCTTCGGGGATTATTGTGGGATTTGCTAACCTTGTTTGCGGGTTTGTCCCACCTTTTACTCTTTGAACAAATTTTTTAATTAACGAGTATGTGGTACTTTCCTTCTTGTTTCTGACTTCTGTTTGATAACAGGTTGTGTGTAGGAATAATTGGAAGCAGCTGTGCATTGTCTGATGCCCAAAACTCATCGCTCTTCGTGAAGATTCTTGTGATTGAGATCTTTGGTAGTGCACTCGGGTTATTTGGAGTGATTGTGGGAATTATTATGTCAGCTCAGGCATCATGGCCGTCAAAAATATAGGGTGATTTGGTATTTTTGTGGATGCCCGACAATCTTTCTTTTTCCAAACCATTATATTTTTTGTGCCCCAAATTCTGTATCTATTCCATCAATTAGGTTAGTAAGTTTATGAGTTCTGGTGTGAAAATGCTTTCTTGTGGCATCTTTACTGCCCATGTTCCTACAAAATAGGGCAGAATTTAATTAGCAGAATTGATATTGTGTATGATTTCGAATCTTGAGAACAGACCTCTTACCTAATTTAAACATGATCGAATTGCCCAAAGAAAAGGAACTGCTAAAAATATTTTGTTTACGCTGTTCAGTGAAATTCTTTGATCTATGCAAAATTAGATTTTTAATACAAGAAAACACCTTTATATGGAGCAGATGATGCTAATTAAGGCAGTCACAAATATGTACTCTTCAAAAGAGAGTGAAAGAACAGTTTTCTTTGTGATCAATGCATACTGTTTGGTTCTTCGCTGGCCAATCTCTCCTTGAGTGCATGGTTATGGACTCATTCAATGAATTTTCCTCAAAGGTATCACTTACCTAGTTATTTGATTTTGCCATTGTTATTTATATGGTGTCTCTGCTGATGTACTGGAAATACGTAAAGGACCCGAGATTGATTTATCGCGTTGGCTATACCATGTCTTTTCCAGGAAAAATTGTTCTCAAAGCCGAATCAATGCCCTCATGCATCCCTAATTTTAAACTTTAGGCCAAAAAATGGTCGTTTGTGATTCTATTTTCTCAATAATATGCATTTCTGATGAGCTTAGCACGAATTTTGAACGATGTCAATCCAGCAAAATCTTATTGCACCTTTTGCCAGTCAATTGAAAATGTCATCCCCATTTGTACCTCATTAACATTTGAATCCAGAAATGCATTCTCTTGAAAGCCCTGTTTCCCAATGCCTGCAAAATCCAATAATTTATTCCATTTCCATATATGTCCAACACCATGGCAGCTAATCTGCTTCTTCAGAATGTGAAAACTGAAATTCTTATATTCTCCTAAATCAGTCATTCTAGATTTGGATTAATAATAGTACATGAATTTTATTCAAGAACAATTATAAGACATACACAAGTAATTTTATACAAGCACCTTACTGAATGTTGTAAATGAACAATGCTCCTAAAGCTGGTTGCCAACAAGTATGCTCCATTGGAAATGGCAAATGCAGATCGACTACTGAGCGAACGTCAGCAAAGAAAGGCATGTTTTTCTGTTGAAGCTCTTGGCAATCCTCAGGAGTTGCTGTTTGCGGATCAAAAGGCTTTCGATCAGGAAGGATCAAACCTTGTTTGATGCGACCCACCCTCCGTGAATGTAGGACTTGCTTCGAAACGACTGGAAGCCGAATAGACTGATACTCAGTGAGAGCTGAATGTAAATTTGCTACACCCCACTTCTTGAGGCATTCACCAAGAACCGCTGCGTCGACTATTGACATGTTTGTGCTTCTCACGCCGTGAGGGGTTGTGGGGTGAGCTGCATCTCCTATCAAAACCACGTTGTCCCAAAAAAGTTGTTCTAGAGGATCACAATCATATATGACATTTATGAAAGGTTCCTTCGTTTCTTTCATGACTCTCGCCAATTCTGGAACCCAAACCTTCTCCGCTTCTTCATGCATCTTCTCAATCATGTCACTGCTCACTTTCATGGTCACTGAATTCCCCTAGATAATTTTTTCAACAATCAGTCCAAGTTGGTTTTGCTAACACTAGAATTCTATATAGAGCTCATGGAACTGTCATTCTAGTTCTGAAATTCTCCTATGTCCTTGGTTTGTACAAATTCAAGCTAGCAACTATGAACCAGTGCCTATTTGTATTTTGGGTCAAAAATTGTAATTCGAAAGTACTGGAACTAACATATTGTGGTTTTTCTAGGTTCAACCCCTTGGTTTTGTTTTCTATTCTGCAATATGTACATCAAAAGTCTTGGATCATCATCACTATGGTGCCAACACTGCCTAAAACTGATATAAACAGTGTATTATATCCAAGTGCATCAATGAAAAGAGTCCCTCAACATAAACCTTGTTTCTAATTTTCATCTTGTTTTTTTGTCAATTCTCACACTTCTATTGGTCCACAAATCATGTTTTACAGCAGATCTATATGCACAATAATTGGAGCACCAACTACATGACTAAAACTAGCTTTAACTTGGTTTTCCAGTGGGTACTTAACTAGTAAAAAAGATTCTAGATAAGTATTACATGGGATGAGAGCACGTGGATTACCTTTAGTTCTGGTTCAGGTTGATTAACATACCAAATCCAATTGATCCTTTTGTTCAAAAGCTCATAAAGCACGCAATGAGTTCCAGAAGCAAGGTCAAAGTATAAGCATGTACCAAGATCGGGATATGCCCTGCGGATGCCCATAATGGCTTCTGAATTATCATTATCTGAAAAATCAAGAATCCCTCGCCATGCACAATAACCCGAGTACCTACAAGAAAACAGTAGCATGAAATACTAAGGTTGTTAGCAACACATCATGCCCTTTTTTTTTCTTGTATTTTATTTAAATAAACATGTTGAACCCTTGAGCTTTTTTTCTACAAACCTCAATTTAAGGTCAGGAAGAAAACTCCTGCGGATTGAAGAGAGACAGCCATCTGCTGCAACTAGCAAATTCCCAACTATTTTAATGATTTTGCCAGTTTCAATAACTTTGGTCTTTACTTCAACACAAGTTTTGTCATCAGAACTGCAGAAAGAGAGAAATAGGTGACCCCAGCAAAAAATGTCTTGTGGTAATGCATTGGACAGGAGGCCATGCAGATCAGCCCAGTGCGCAGCTCTAAAATTGAAGTTCTCATCTCTTGTTAGAGTTGAGCTAATCTTCTTCTCGCTATCTGTAGCTTGGTCCTACGAATAAACGGAAAGTTAAGAATTGAAGGAATTAACTAAACTTAAGTTTGAACCCAATTAAGTCCTCCGAGAGTACCTGATTGATAAACCTTTTACCTGACATTTTTTAAAGTAATTTGTCTTTGTTATTTGCCAGAACACAACATAAATTTGCCACAAGTATAGATTCACCAGAATAGCTTCTGACTAAATCCAAGACTAAGTGCTTGTATTACTTCCATTATTTACTACTGAACCCAGAAATATTTACATCATGTTTTAGAAAGAAAAAAAAATGGAGCAAATTACTTTACCCTAACCTTCTCTTTAAGTGCTTAGAATTTATTACTTTAAAAGCTATATAATTAAGGTGTTCGCATAAAAAAGAAAGTCATGTAAGAAGGTCACTTGACCACTGAAGAAAATTATAATCATGTGCAAGTAATAAGACTTCTTTTGACGCGCTAAGAAATGATTACTTTAAAAGGTATTACACCCTTCAGAAGTCTAAGGGGAAAATAAACCAAAAATTTAATGTGCTTGGTGATGAAGCTAATCACCACACCTTCACACGGAATAAAGCTGGGAATATAGTTTTCTGATCTGATTACAAAAAGTACTAAAATATAGTCATTGCGGATAATCTGACTTTATATTGTGCAGCAAATCATTCTTGGTTTGCTAGGTACGAAAATGCAGGAATTCTCGATTGGATGATATTTTGTTTTGATAGACAATTGCAAGAATCAAGCCCCTGATCTCATTTTTCTTCTTCATATGTCATAACTCCACCATAATGCCACGAGAGTTTGTTCTTTGCAACTTTACATGGTGCAGCAAATCATTCTTGGTTACTTGGTGAGAAAATGCATTCAGATCATATTTGGATTAATAGACAATTGTATGAATCAAGTCCCTAATCTCACACCTTTTCTTTGCAAACCATAAGGTCCATAAACCACCACAATGCTACAGCAATTTTAACCAACTTATGACGTATTATACATGCATATATATGTGATATGGTCACATGCTCATTTTTCCAGAAATTATTCTTATCTTTAAAAGTTCATTTTAGGTAGGAGGGAAGAGTGAAAGCATGAGGAGATAAGAGACAAAAATGAAAAGGTGGAGGCAGGAAAAAGGAGGAAAAGAATGAGATTTTATGGTTTCATAGGAATGAAAGGGAAAGGATAAGGAAGAGAGAATGAAAGATCATTTCCTTCAGGACCGCCATATTCTTCCCTCACAAAAGTGGAGAGAAAGGAGAAGAAAACAACTTCCTCTTCTATATTTTCACCCTTCAAAAGCCACTCTCCAAGTTTCACCCATATTACAGGATTAGAATGAATTGAGTCTAGGTTTAATTATTCAAGGACTATAGCTTACATTTAATCATTTAGATTTAGATTTCAAAAAGATGCTTAAATTGATTTGAGTCCTTCTATTAAAACTCGCTACGGCCTTCTTCACCAATGTAGTGATGCAGAAGCTTTTGTTCTGAGGCGGGGGATTACACTGAAGTGGATCAGGCTGTTATGTCTTTGAGAGCTGTGGTTTCTAGAATTCAAATTTTGATTGAGGACATTAGAGCTCTGTTGCCTTTGTTTTCAAGTTGTAAACTGCTTTGCGCTCCTCGATCTTGCAATGACATAGCGAGTCGATTACAAAGAAAGGAAGGAAAAGATCATTTCCCTTTCATAAGGATACATTTCCTTCCTATCAATCTCTTCCTTCCAATTTTTCTTCCATCCTACTAAATACAGCATAAATTAAGTAAACATTTTGAGCCAAATTTATCTTTTCTTTTATATGTGCAAGTAGAATGATAAATTCACAAGCACCCTTTGATTCGTCTTCCCCTTCCCTTTCTACCCAATTCAACAACATTACCCTTTAATTTTTTATGTTTTTATTTTTTATTTTTATATCCCGGCAAACTAGGGGAGGGAGATTTGAACGCGAACACACCCGCTCAGGGAGCTGGACGCTCTACCAAGGCCCGTCATTGGATAATGCCCAAGAACATTTCCCTTTCATAACTATACCTTTTTCCTCCTGTAATGTCTTCCAATTTTCCATCCATCCTACTAAATTTAGCATAAATTAAGTAGGCAATTTGAATGAGGATGGTCATAATGCCAATCTAACTTCTAATGGAGTTTGAATTCTACAAGAGTCACCCACAAAAAGGACTTTTGCAAGAAGCTTTTGATTCATATACAGTTGTTATAGGACAAAGATACAAAATATATATATATATATATATATATATATATATGTAGAGAGAGAGAATGAAACCCAATTGAATTACAAAGTTCTTTGATTCATATATAGTTGTAATAGGACAAAGACACAAAGATAACATATATAGAGAAAGAAACCCAATTGAATTGAATTACAAATAGAACATTTGCACAGCAAATCAAAATTGGAAAAATAAGTACCTGATCGATTGTAAGGGGCATGGAAGCCTTGTGCAGAAGGCCGGGTGGTCCGAGCCATGACTCAATGAGTTGCTGAGCCAAGGGGTCGAGTCCGAGTCCAGCACCTGTTGGGCTACCACTCGGGGGTGCGCATGATTTCTCAAGCACCACAACGTCCCACCCTGCTAAGATGAGCGCGTGTGCGCAGGACAGACCAGCTATGCTACCCCCCACCACCACTGCCTTCGGCTTCTTGCCGGCTTCGTTCATATCTCTCACACACGCGCACTCTCTCAAGAATTAGATATGTTGTGTGTGTGGTATATATGGTTGGGAAGAAAGGAAAGGAAATGGAGCAATGTGGAGTTTTGTGTTTGGTATAAACTTTTGGAAGGAAAAGAGAGGAAATTAAAGTATTTAGTGGGGATATGTTTAAAGCTTTATTTTGTTATTCCTCAAAAATAAATTAGAGTACATGGAAGGAAAGGGAGGGAAATGATAGCATTTTTAATGAAATTTTTATAATGTTAAATTTGTCTTTATTTTTATAAAAGACAAGAACTATGAAAAAAGGTATAGGGGTAAATTTATTAAAATAATTTTATTTTATTTCTTTTTCTAAACATGATTACTATCATTTTATTTATTTTTCTTTATTAGTCAACCAAACACAATAAGTAACTTATACTATCCACTCATGTTCTTTATTTTCTTTTATTTTCTCTGTTACTAATGTTATCCTTTCTTTTCTTTTTTTTCCGATTATACAAAACATAGGCAAATGACGACATCGTCTCTAATAATGGTGCGTATATATGGTGACTAATGATAGTTATGTAAAAGTTAGACTTGGCCCTTCAAATTTTTTCCAAACCTATATTAATGATGCATAGTTATGGTGATTAATGATATTTTTGTAAAGAAAAATTAAAATTGGCCTCCTCCAAATTTTTCTTAGGATTATTAATGATAATTTTGTATAGGAAAATTTAAATTCATCTATTAATGTTGTATATTTATGGTTATTAATCCAATTTTTTGTATAGAAAAATTAGAATTGGCACTCCAAAATTTTATAAAAGTTTCTTAGCTATCTTTGATTATTAATGTTGGTTGCAAAAAGATATTTGTGTTACACCAAAAGATCAATGAATCTTTTTAGTCTAGCTTTTAAAAATTCAATCCTTTATACGACATATAAGTATTCTATTCATATTCTTGATACAACATATTATACTTTATGTGTGTGTATATACACACACATATACATATATTAATTGTTATGAATTATATATATATATATATAATAAAAATTAAAAAAAAACCTCCCCGCTTGAGAATCTCATTTATCGGCTATAAAGTGTTATATATTCTCTCCTCATTTATTCTTCTTCTCGTATCATTTATAGACGCTTCTCAAAAACATATAAATAAAGATTATTTAATTTTAATTTTATATTAGTAGTTTGTCTCCTAACTTAATATTTTTGGATCCGCCTTTGCCGAAACCCATAATCCCTTAGTATGTCAGCACATGATTTGATTGTGATCGTGTAATAATTTGTCTATCTCGGGAGGATTTTTGCATCAGTCACACACTTTAGAATGACCAAAAATCTAAGTGTCAGTTCATTACAATTGGTATAAGGGCAAAATCAATTCTTAATTCGGTGCGACACCAGACCTTCGCATGGAGTTTGGGTTTTCTTTAGGAGACAAGGTGATTCGACTGCAATGTGAATGTCACGAGTCCAGATGAAGGAGAAAATTATAGGATCTTATTCCATATCGGACTTGAATAGGAAATATAATGAGTATATTTGAATGGATAAGCAACACTATATAATAACTTAAATTTTTGAGTCAATGATAAATACTCATTTAAAGCATTAAGTGATATTAACACGCAAAATGAAATTTTTTTATTCTTATAGTTTTTATTTATTTATTATTATTTATACATATATATATATATATATATTAGGAAAAGGCACGTGCGATGCGTGTCGAATATTTTGTAGATAATGTGATAAAGTTTTATAGAAAATAAAACAGCCAATTTGTGGTATATTTTATAAAAATTATTTTATTTTCTTTAAATAAATTATTGTTTAATTATATTTTTTCTTATTAAAAAAACTCATAATAAATAGATAAATATGTAATACGTGTTAGAATTTTATAGAAACTTTTTAAAAACTCTTTTTATATCAATTAATATATATTTTTTATATTAATAATTCTTGTCAAATTAGATTCCAATAAATAAATAAATAGGTAATTTGTGTTAGAGTTTTATAGAAACTCTTTTAAAACCTCTTTTTATATCAATTAATAAATAATTTTTTATATTAACAATACTTGTCTAATTAGATTTCCTTTTATTAAAAAACTCAAAATAAATAGATAAATAGGTAATTCGTATTAGAGTTTTTATAAAAAATCTTAAAATATATCTTTGTCTAATGTATTATAATTTTATTGAAAATAAAATAAGTAATTTGTGGTAGAGTTTTTCTAGTCTAATTAGATTTTCTTTTATTAAAAAACTTATAATAAATAAATAAATAGGTAATTTGTGTTAGAATTTAATAGAAACTCTTTTAAAAACTCTTTTTATATTAATTAATAAATATTTTTAAATTTTAATAATTCTTGTCAAATTAGATTAGCATTTATTGAAAAAAAAAAACTAATAATAAAAGGTAGTTTGTGATAGTGTTTTAGAACAAATTATTTTATTTTTTATATTAATAATTCTTGTCTAATTAGAATTTCTTTTATTAAAAAACTTATAATAAATAAATAAACAGGTAATTTGTGTTAGAGTTTAATATAAACTCTTTTAAAAATTCTTTTTATATTAATTAATAAATATTTTTATTTTAATAATTATTGTCTAGTTAGAATTACTTTTATTAAAAAAAAAATCATAATAAATAGATAAATTGGTAATTTGTGTTAGAGTCTTTTATTGAAACTTTTTTTAACATCTTTTTATACAAATTAATAAATAATTTTATATATTAGTAATACTTGTCTAATTAGATTTCCTTTTATTCAAAAATTCACAATAAATAGATAAATAGGTAATTTGCGTTAGAGTTTTATAGAAACTCTTTATTATGTAGATTTTAGTGTTTATATATTTTTTATATAAATAAATAAATACTGAAACTCTTTGCACATCTAATAATAGTATAGATAAAAACTCTTTTTAATAAATACTAAAACTCTTGGGCAGAGCTTCTATATTTTACTCTATAATTCTACATTTCTAGAATTCTCAATTTATGTACCCCTTCCTCCATACCTCGATTTACAGACTTCTTGGATTAAAAGATTATGACATGTGTCATTTTCTGATAATGACATAATCATAACTGGGCAGGCTAGTTATATTGTGATAATTATCCATAAAAAATAACTATTATTTTTATATTGAACTAAAAATAAGAGTTTTATATAGAATGTGATTGATATTATGAGGTAATTTTGCAATTAATATATATTTTTTATTTTAATAATTCTTATCTAATTATATTTACTTTTACTAAAAAAACTCACAATAAATAGATAAATAGGTAATTTGTGTTAAAATTTTATAGAAACTCATTTAAAACCTCTTTTTATATCAATTAATAAATAATTTTTAATATTAATAATACTTGTTTAATTAAATTTCCTTTTATTAAAAAAACTCATAATAAATAAATAAATAGGTAATTTGTGTTAGAATTATATAGAAACTCTTTAAATATATCTTTGTCGAATGTGATAGAATTTTATTGAAAATAAAATAGGTAATTTGTGATAGAGTTTTATAGAAATTATTTTATTTTATTTAAATATATCCTTGTCTAATTAGATTTAATTTTATTAACAAACTCATAATAAAAGCTAATTTGTGGTAGAGTTTTATAAAAATTATTATTATTTATATATTAATTAATAAATATTTTTTTATATTAATAATTATTATCTAATTAGATTTTCTTTTATTAAAAATTCATAATAATAAATACATAAATAGGTTAATGTAAATTTTATTTTTTAAATTTTAGTTTTTATATAAATAAAGAAACACTTAAATTCTAAAACTCTTTGCACATCTAATAATAGTATAGAGTTCATTGACAGAGTTTCCGTATTTTACTCTAGAATTATGAATTTCTAAAATTTTCAATTTATATACCCCTTCCTCCTTCCTCTATTTATAGGCTTCTTAGTAGGATGATGACATGTGTCATTTTCTGATAATTAGATAATCATAACTCGCTGGGTCGGTTATATTATGATAATTATCTATAAAAAATAACTATTATTTTTTATATTGAACTAAAAATAAAAGTTTTATATAGAATGTGATTGATTTTATTAGGTAATTTTTAGAGTTTTATAGAAACTATTTTCACAAAAACTATATTTATATAAATTAATAAATATTTTTTATATAAATAAATAAATACTGAAACACGTTGCATTATTTTATTATGTAATTTTTAATTAATAAATATTTTTTAATTTAATAATTCTTGTTTAATTAGATTTATTTTTATTAAAAAAACTCATAATAAATAGATAAATAAGTAATTTGTATTAGAATTTTATAGAAACTATTTTAAAACCTCTTTTTATATCAATTAATAAATAAGTTTTTATATTTCCTTTTCTTAAAAAACTCATAATAAATAGATAAATAAGTAATTTGTGTTAGAGTTTTATAGAAACTCTTTAAATATATCTTTATCTAGTATGATAGAGTTTTATTAAAAATAAAATAGGTAATTTGTGATATGTTTTTATATAAATTATTTTATTTTATTTAAATATATCTTTGTCTAATTAGATTTAATTTTATTAAGAAACTTATAATAAAAGCTAATTTGTGGTTGAGTTTTAGAAAAATTATTTTGTTTTATATATCAATTAATAAATATTTTTTATATTTGTAATTCTTGTCTAATTAGATTTTCTTTTATTAAAAAATTCTTAATAATAAATAGATAAATAGGTTAATTTAAATTTTATTATGTAGATTTTAGTGTTTTAATTTTTTTTTTTATAAATAAATAAGTACTTAAATACTAAAAATCTTTGCACATCTAATAATAGTATAGATAAAAAATCTTTTTGTATCAATTAATAAATATTGTTTTATATAAATACATAAATATTGAAATACTAAAACACTTTAATGATTTTATTAGATAATTTTTAATTAATAAATATTTTTGATTTTAATAATTCTTGTCTAATTGGATTTACTTTTATTAAAAAACTTATAATAAATAGATAAATAGGTAATTTGTATTTAAATACTGAAACTCTTTGCACATTTAATAATAGTATAGCTAAAAACTCTTTTTATATCAATTAATAAATATTTTTTATATAAATAAATAAATACTGAAACTCTCTGGCAGAGTTTCTATATTTTACTCTGGATTTTTGGATTTATAGAATTCTCAATTTCTGTACCCCATTCTCATTCCTCCATGCCTCTATTGATAGGTTTCTTGGATTAATAGGATGATGACATGTGTCTTTTTTTATAATTACATAATCATAACTGGGCCGGGTCGGTTATATTGTGATAATTATTCATAAAAAATAACTATTATTTTTATATTAAACTAAAAATTAAAGTTTTATATAGAATGTGATTGATTTTATTAGGTAATTTTTTAGAGTTTTACTTAAACTATTTTTATAATAACTATTTTTATATCAATTAATAAATATTTTTTATATAAATAAATAAATCGTGAAATACTGAAACACTTTGCATGATTTTATTAGGTAATTTTCAATTAATAAATATTTTTGAATTTAATAATTATCGTCTAATTAGATTTACTTTTATTAAAAAAACTCATAATAAATAAATAAATAGATAATTTGTGTTAGAGTTTTATATAAACTGTTTTAAAATCTCTTTTTATATCAATTAATAAATAATTTTTTATATTAACAATACTTGTCTAATTAGATTTTTTTTTATTAAAAAACTCATAATAAATAGATAAATAGGTAATTTGTGTTAGAGTTTTATAGAAACTCTTTAAATATATATTTGTTTAGCGTGATATAGTTTTATTGAAAATAAAATAGGTAATTTGTGATAGAGTTTTATAGAAATTATTTTAATTTTTTTTAAATATATCATTGTCTAATTAGATTTAATTTTACTAAGAAACTCACAATAAACGCTAATTTATGGTAGAGATTTAGAAAATTCATTTTGTTGTATATATCAATTAATAAATATTTTTATATTAATAATTCTTGTCTAATTAGATTTTATTTTATTAAAAAATTCATAATAATAAATAGATAAATAGGTTAATTTATGGATTATTTGGTCGAGCACAATTGATTATAGATTGATTTTTAATTTTATTAGGTAATTTTGAGTTTTATAGAATTTATATCGTGGGATATAATAATTAATGAGAGTTCTTTATTATGAATTAAACTTTTTTTATATTTTGTTAATTTGAATTTTATTAGGTAATTTTGAGTTTTATAGAATTTATATTAATTAATAAATAAATACTGAAACTCTTTGCACAAATGCTAGTATACTTGATCTTAGCCAAAAGACCAAGAAAGGTTAGCCAAAAGCCGACCTAGAAAAATTTAGTACTACACTTGATCTTAGCCAAAAGGTCGAGAAGGTGCGATTATTATTTCTTTAGCTCCATAACTTTGTAATCTGAATGAAACTCTTTTTATATTTTGTTAATTTGAATTAATTTTAATTTTATTAGGTAATTTTGAGTATTATAGAATTTATATCAATTAATAAATAAATACTGAAATACTTAAACACTTTGCATATTTAATAATAGTATAGAATTCTTGTCAAATTAGATTTTCTTTTATTAAAAAATTTATAATAATAAATAGATAAATAGGTTAATTTATGGACTATTTGATCGAGCACAATTAATTATAGATTGAATTTTAATTTTATTAGGTAATTTTGAGTTTTATAGAATTAATTATAGATTGAATTTTAATTTTATTAGGTAATTTTGAGTTTTATAGAATTTATATAGTGGGATATAATAATTAATGAGAGCTCTTTATTGTGAATTAAACTCTTTTTATATCTTGTTAATTTGAATTAATTTGAATTTTATTAGGTAATTTTGAGTTTTATAGAATTTATATCAATTAATAAATAAATACTGAAACTCTTTGCACAAAGGTTACTATACTTGATCTTAGCCAAAAGACCAAGAAATGTTAGCCAAAAGCCGACCCAGAAAAATTTAATACTACACTTGGTCTTAGCCAAAAGGTCGAGAAGGTGTAATTATTATTTCTTTAATTTTATAGTTTTATAAGAGGCCTTCATGTAATCATTTTTATTTAAAACCAATGTGGGACTTTGTAATTTGAATTAAATTCTTTTTATATTTTGTTAATTTGAATTAATTTTAATTTTATTAGATAATTTTGAGTGTTATAGAATTTATATCAATTAATAAATAAATACTGAAATACTTTGCACATTTTACTGAAAGTATAGATATAGATATATAAAAGGAGTGTGCAGTGGAAAATCATATTTATTACTCATTGCAACTGAAATACAATTGGAATTGAAACTTTGTTGTTTCTTTCTTTGTTCCTTATTTCTTCAAATCACTTAAATTTATATTTTTCCCTCTTCAATCCCTTTCGTTTCCACTTTCTCCCATTGGTCTTCATCTAACCAAACACTCTAAAACTTTTTACACGCTAACGCTATGTACTCATTTCCTAATTTATAACACGTGTAAACTTATTTTATTTTATTTTTATGACAAGGTAAATTATTTTTTTATTACATGTTTATTTAAGAAATATGAATTTTAAAATTATTAACGTGTTAACTTACTTGTAGGTGTATATTTATGCATATTGAATATGATTTTTTTTTTTTTTGTCTCTCTCTAATAAAAAAGGGGAAAGAAAAAAGGATGTTATCTTTTCCAAAATTTGATTACAGTGCAAAAGTTCCTCCGGCGTGGCGGCGCAAAAACCTGCCTTCTCTATAAAACCCACTTGACTGACTCTATCTCTCCTTCTACATTATATATATGTATATATATACTTATATATTTGCGTTGGGTGCTATTGATTTTAGAGAGAGAGAGTGAGGGAGAGAGAGATTAATAAAAATGGGTGTGGGTCGTGAAGTATCAATCTCATTGGACGGAGTGAGAGACAAGAACGTGATGCAACTGAAGAAGCTCAACACTGCCATCTTCCCTGTTCGCTACAACGATAAATACTACGCGGATGCTCTCGGCTCCGGCGAATTCACGAAACTAGGTCCGATTCTGCTTCTGGGTTTTGATTATTTCTGTACAAGTTATCAATCTGTGTTCTTGGTTTGGAATCATAACAATCGCTGTCCGTCTGTCTGTTGATTCTGTTGTGAATTCTAGGGTTTTGGGTTTTGTGCATTGGCGATTATTGTTTTGATTGCTTGTTTAAATGATTTAAAGCTGACCCATTAATGGAAATGCATATTTTGTTCTTTTACCTTTGCTATTTAATCGTTTTTATTCCAAAACAGGAAAAAGTTGGTTTTTTTTGGTTGTGTATTTCTATATATATTTATAAATTGACGATTATTCATTAATGAATAATTAAACACTTGTAGTGTTATGGTTTTGAAGTTTTGTTTGGCTAAACAAGTGCTAGTACTACTATGCCAATGTCGTTGCCTTTATTGAATGCACTTATATATGTTTACATCATCTCATATCTTTTGCTTATTACTGCTTGCTGCTTGATGGATCTGAGACGGTTCCATTATTATTTTTTTTAACAATATTATTATTATTTTTTAATTCTGGATAACTAAGACCTTACCATATCCCCAAGACCACAATGGCTCTTGAACCTTTATCTCCCGATTTGGGGTTGGCAGGAGATACCTCTAAAGCCAACATCGGTTGGTTTTTAAGTTATTTGAAACTGACCTGTTGACACCTATGGGATGTGAAGTTTTACATTTTTCGGTGGCATTGGTTAACACTACAATGATAAATGTTATGACAACCCCCCACCTCCACCGAACTAACAGAACTTTGTGAACTTTATCTTCAAAATTTTACTTATTTTTGCACCGTTCATCTTCAATCATGTGTGATGAAATTCTTAGTAGCCAAGGAGGTGATCCTTTTCCTGACCTCCAAGCCTCCAACCTGCAATTCTCACTCTTTTTTTTTTTTTTTTTTTTTGATCCTATCATTTCTTGTTTTGCCCCAGTTGATGTTCATTTCACCGAATTCATTAATGGGCATGTTAATTGATTGTTTTGCATATGGTCGTTGTTCATATGCACTTTTTATTATATTCTTTTAATTTGATATGCATTCATTGATTATGAAACAGTTTTATATCTCTACTTCATTTGCCTTCCTCTAATTTTTCAATCCCTGCCTTATTTAGTCTCCTGAGAGGATAATTGTCTCAAATGACATAATTAATCATTTAAGACATCCTCTTTACAATTCCCTCATTTTTATTCCCGTTTAACGTGATCCCTTTAACAATTACTAGTCAAAAGAGATGTAAGGTTTATTAATCAATAGATTTATTAAAGTAGTAATTTATTCAGTTAGTCTTATTTTTATTGATACTAAACTTCCACGCGCACACATATATATATGCTTTTTACGCCGAAAGAAAATTACATCTATATCTTTTTGTAAGGATAAGTATTCAATCAAATTTTTTTTTTGAAAAAATAGATGTAATTATTAAAATTTAGATACTTTTGATGCCTTAGATAGAGAATACTCATCTAATTTGGCGAAACACAACATGTTTGATAGAATGATGTAAATACATACATGCATGCACATATATATAACGTTTATTTTTCAATTCTAAAAAGGAACAATATAATAAGGTTTTTATATTTCTTATAAGTTGTAATTATTATTAATTCACCACCAAATCCAAGTTTGTCCTGAAAGATATATTAATGATTACTGGCTAATTAATTATTTATTATCAGAGGTTGCACTATATATAAATGTTAATGTTCTTGTCTATCCTAGCTTTTAGACTTCAAACCATCTTATTTTTATTTTTTTATGAGATTTGTATTTTTTTTGCCACTACAAGCAACACAAACAATAGGGATTTGACACATGCTCTTGATGTTAGTTTTTCTGCTAGCTAGAAAGAAAGGCGTTACCCGGTGTAAGTCTTGCATACGTAAGGTGTTTTTTTGTGCACCTTTCATAAACAAGTTGCTACTGCTGTCTCATCTTATGATGTTTTTCGTGCACCTTTCATAAAACGTTAATAACTTTTTAACTGTAATTTGAAAATTTAAAAGGCCAACGCGGTTAGAATCGTATCATTTGTGCCTATCCAACATTGACTATTTTCGAAGCAAGTTCTTATAATATAAATTATCAATGAACGAGTTGTTATTGCTGCCTCATCTTATGATGGTTTTTCATTGATAACTTACTAACCGTAACTCAGAATTTTTAAAAATCAGCACGGTTGGAATCGTATCGTCTGTGCGCATCCAACTGTGACTATTTTTGAAGTAGGTTCTTATGATATATAAATTGATAAATCGTCACTCTACAAGTTGCTAATGCTTCCTTATCTTCTGATTTTTTTTCGTGCACATTTTATATAAACGTCAATCACTTTCTAACTGAACTCAGAATTTTTAAGGGTCGGCGCAGTTAGAATCAAATCGTTCGTGCCTATCCAACCGTGACTATTTTCGAAGCAGGTTCTTCTGATATAAATCGTCACTGAACAAGTTGCTAATGTTGCCTCATTATTTGATGTTTTTTCGCGCACCTTCCATATGATGTTAATAACTTTCTAACCGTAACTCAGAATTCTTAAAGCCAGCTTGATTATTACCCATGTCTATCCAATTGTGACTATCTTTGAATTAGGTTCCTCTAATGTAAATCTTCACTTACAAGTTGCTACTGTGCCTCATCTCCTGATGTTTTTTCATGCACTTTTCATAAAATGTCAATAACTCGTAACTCGGAATTTTTAAAGGCTGGCGTGGTTGGAATCGTATCGTCCGTGCCTATCCAATTGTGACTTTTTTTAAAGCTAGTTTTTCTGATTGTGATCTAGACCTTGAGGGGGGATGAATAGTTCTGGCCTTTACCTTTCGTCAAATTATACTCTTAACTACCTTTCGCTGAATTTTTATGATGTGATCATGCATGGGATAAGAATAATATCATAAAATCAGTTTATTTTTTTTATTTTTTTAATTTTTTGTGGAAAACCCAAATGGGAAAAACCACGAGACACAAGCAGACAGATAAAAATCCACTAAAAATTCCACCAAGTAGGAAGATGTTAAAGATTAAGTTGCCAGACTTTAATACTAAGAATCCCTTAGTCCATCTCGACTCAGACTTACGCAAGACTAATTCCAGATCTTTCAGCCATTGATTCATTGACAGACTTCGTTTCGCACGAATTCTGCTTCTCCTTGCTAGTAGTGTCCAACTGTGTGTGTAGACTTTGTTGTTGAAATTCCTTAGTGCACAGTAATTTATACTTCAAACAATTCACTGATCCACTCACCATGCTAGAATTATGATCATGGATGCAAAAACACAAGCGATATGGATGAAAAGCTCATATGCAGAATTCTGACCTACAACTTGTGCTAGCTATCCTTTCTTATTTTTCTGGATGAAACAAGCCTTTTATAGAGATTAAAGGCAGCGAAAATTAGGGGTTTTATTTTATTTTTTGCAAAAATTAGGGTTTTTGAGTTATTTAATGCAAACAGGAAATTCAGATTTCAAACTGCTCGATTGATCGACACAAGGCCAGTAGGATTTGATGGATACCTCGATTGAAGTCTGTTGTCCTAATTGAATCTAGATTGTGATTTCAGTTTGTTTCCAACAACACTTGTAATTCATATAGAAAGAGTTCTATATGAGTTAAACACATAAATCTTGAAACCCTAATTACTATATGCAAAACCCTAAATGGTGAGTATCACAATTCAAGTTACGAGTTACTTTTTTGTTCTTGAAACTTTTGAAATTCCTGATCTACCCTTAGACAAGGTACCAAAACTAACTAGACTCTCAAATAACAATTAAGAAAAAAAAATATACGTATAGGCTGACCACAAATTTTGATCACAAATTTGCCAACCTAAGTCCTATATCCTAACAGCGTCATGTTAAGTTAGATGGTTCCTAATGAGACACACAAACATTAATATTGTTAAGGACTGTTATGTTTCAATATCATAATGGTAGACTTCTGGATGCTTATGTTCTCAAGATGTTTGTCTTAATTTTTCTACTTCTTGCTCATGAGACTTAGGCCTGTGTAATTTCCGATCCTATTCCGAGTCTAAAGAACCGTCCTCCTCACCCCTACGCTTTCACCTGCAAACTCACTATCTAACTTAGAATCTACATTTCAACAACCTTGTTTTGTGGTTCTTTCATGCCATTTTCTCAGGATTTCTGGGGGTTTACCATGTCCAATGCCAAGTGTTTGATTTGGAGTGCCACACACTTGTCCATGTCCAATGATCGTGAATTGTTCTTAATTTTACTTCCTTTTTTCCCCCTTTGCCAGCATACTACAGTGACATTTGTGTCGGTGCAATTGCATGCCGCCTCGAGAAGAAAGAAGGTGGGACTGTCTGTATATACATTATGACATTGGGTGTTTTGGCGCCATATCGTGGGCTAGGAATTGGTAAGCAATGTACTTATTTTCTTACTGTATTTCTTGTTTGGAAGTTGTTTCGTAAACTAAAAAGAAATGCATTTTGAACTCATTGGTCCCGTGTTATTTAAACACATAAATGATAAAAACATTGCAAGGTTTTAGAAAGGTATCTAACATACCTCCTGTTTGCAAATATTGAAAGTTGAAAAAACTGACACTCTTGCTGCAAGATTCTCTGAATTTAATTGTTTTAGCATCCTGGCCCCAATTTTGTGGTTTTCCGTGCAGTTCACTAGATTTTGCAGCTAATTTATTTTTCAGAATAAAACATTACTTGCACAAAGTATTACCATATTTAAAACTACACAACAGCTGCTGAAAATCAAATTTCTTCTATTTGTATCTTTGTCTATGCTTGACTTGTGGGCTAGATTTGGGCAAGAGAGGAACAAAAATATTGAATTTGAAGAAGAAAAATTGTTTCATGTTTGCTTTATATGGATTTTGGAATTGTGCAGGTTCGAAGCTGTTAAATTATCTTATTGATCTTTGTTCCAAGCAGAACATTTCTGAGGTTTACTTGCACGTTCAGACAAACAATGAAGATGCAATCAATTTCTATAAGAAGTTTGGATTTGAAGTCACGGACACCATCCACAACTATTACACAAATATTACCCCGCCAGACTGCCATGTTCTTACCAAGTTCATCACGAAGAAATGACACATCAGAGCAGTGTCCCTGCTAGGTACTGCTGGATTATTGTTCGCTTTACTATTGGGCTTCACATGTCAATTAAAGCTGTAATCCAGGATCTAAATTTTGAGGTACTAAGGTGATACTAGAGGAAGTGAGCTGATAAATTAACCATTTATTTGTTATGCTTCTGATAAATTGAACGTCTTTATCATTGATCCTTTTGGTCCGAGGACAATTTGAACTATTGTATTTAATGGGGACTAGCAGAAGAGTGTACTCAATATATGCACGGTTCAATTTAAGGCCTTGAACTGGATCAATTTCTTTGTGTTACTTGGCTGCTGTTTTTAAATGGCTTTATCCATCTGTTTTATACATTTTTTCTTTGGGTGTGCTTGGCTCTTCGAAGAGGTGGTCAGAAGCCAGTAGGATACTTTTGGGGTTGTAGGAGGTTGAAGGGCTGAATATTTCTTTGGCTCTTACAAATGAAGCCACGAAACTAATTTACTTGTGTAGGTTGTTGGGTGGGAATACAAAGCTCTTCTGGTTTTTATCAAGCTCTTCGGCAGCCTTGATTATGAGAACTTCAAATACCTAAATTTACCTTGCTCATAAAAGTCTGCTTGTTTGAAAATTTAATGCCACAGGAATGCTTATGTGGAATGACTGGATGGATGAAACATAGTTCTCATTGATATCAGCTGGTTCCCTCTTTTAATCAGTTTGATGATTATGAACACGCCCTTGCATGGCACGAGGGTTTGTAGTTACTATCATTTGGCAGTGGCAGGTTATGAAAGAGAAGGGGAAGGGCACATCTTGATTCTAGGTTTGTGAACATGTTCTTTTCTCCGAACTCATTACCCAGAAAAAGAGAGAGAGAGATAGAGGAGGTAAAATATTGGGTACTCGAGGCATACAATCAGAGTTATTGGATAATTATCATTTCCTATTATCAAAGAAAATGGGGAGTTTTCATGGGCACCATCGGCACCCAATTTTGCACTAAGGTCTTTGGGAAGCAGGAATGAAAACAGGTCTGAAATTAGCTCCCTTTAGAATTTTAAGCAATGAACCGGGGAAATTGGGCTCTTTTTACAATATTCTCACAAGGGGTCAAATATATTTGTAATGGCGGATCAATAAGCTCATCCCCTGATCGATAGACGGATAATTACCCAAAATAACATACCAAAAGAAGATAAAACCTGAACTTGTTTATTATGGGGAAAAAATCGTGAAGAAGCTAAGAAAGCCACTCTGCATAATAAAAATACAGAATTATGAAGTATAGATTTCACTTGACTAATGTCACAAATGCAGTCTAATATCTCGCATCTTCTCAACACACAAGGGCAAGAGGATTTTAGGAACATGTAAAAGAATTTGACACACAAGGGCAAGAGGAGTTTAGGAACATGTAAAAGAAGTAAGGATCAGAAATATATGCAGATCCCAGGTTGAAATTTTGGATGTACATGTTTTATATTTACAAGGATTGACCACCCTCATATTTATCAACATGACTATACATTTTTATTACATATGACTATAGCCCTTTTCTTATTTTAATCAAAATCTGAATGCCTGAAGCAAGCACTGTCATGCTTCAAAAACAAGCCATTAGAAATTCAAAGAAGCCCAACATGTCATAACTGTTCCGACTCTTCAGTAAGCCACACCACCAGCAAAACCATCTCCATCATGAAGTAGAGACTCTGTCAGCCAATAACCATCCCATGAACCACCAACCCTCTGCCAGTTAGAAACCAAAAGTCAATTTATGGCACTGAGTAGTGCATCATCATCGTATAATAATAATAAAATGTGCATGAAAAATTTGCAAGGCTTGCCTTCTATTCTTTACTAACAACTTTTGCCACCTCCCCGAAGGAGAGGTGCACGGTTCAAGTCCCACTTAGGGTTTGAGTGTGTATATCATACCTCTAAAAGAATTGATGTGCCTTTTTTCCCTTTTTGTCCTTTTAATAATATATTGTTAGTCTTAATAGTGTGTCCATGTGCAGTTAAACACAAAAAGACAGAATAGACGACATCTTGACATACCATCAGGGCATCAGAGAATAGACATCCACATCCATACCATGGACATCAATATCAATTGATGACTAGACCAGATATCTATATTATTAACCAATTTTCTCATCTGTTTAAATGGCTAGCATGATCATATATATTAAAGATAAACATGCAACAAATCAGGGTTTTATTTGGTTCAACAAGTCCTGTCCCTTAGGTATGTTTATATGTCTCAGCAACTCACCAACATACATGGTTCACAATTACTCACCACCTTCCTGATGCACCCTGGCCCACAGGAAGATAATCTTCAATTGGTATATCTTAACATTTGTCTTATAGGAGTTACACCCAACAGTGTTGTTGCATTTTAATGTTTTCAGGAGTTTTATTTGTTTTAAGTAACAAGATTCGAGGCTTTATTTGTCAGCATATGAGGTTGGATATTGTAGGATCTTTTTAAGTTCTTTATTCTTCTTCTTTTGTCTTGTCACTCTTGAAAGTGAGTGCATGTTCAGGCTCGTACCTAGAAACTGAATGAATTTTCTTTTTAGGAGTTGATGATCGGATCAGATAATTGATTCTTTGTATCTGGTTCAGTAGCTAGTATGATGACACATTCAAGATAAACATGTAATGGACCTAAGTTTCACCGGGTTTAGGAACTCATAAATATTCAACCATTTAAAATTCAAAAATACTGATAAACCACCTTCTTGTGTGTCACACCCAAGGAAGATGATTCTCAATTATCTAAATTGTCAGTCCTACAAGAGCAAATCTGAATAATATTGTTGCATTTTTATTTTAATTTTTTTATGTTTTAAAGATTTTTTAGCGGTTTTAGTGACAAAATTCAAAGCATTATTTTCTTAACTTACCCCATGCTTGCTGCATCCATATAGAAAGTTTTGCAACATGTGAGGAAGCATGTTCATGATATAAACACTAAAGTTAAACCTTCTCCAATGGTTTCATCTTTAAAGGGAATTTTACCATCTAATATGGTACTAGAGTCTTGGTTTAGGAAGTCTAAGGTTCAATTATTCAAGTTTTTGTCTGAAATTATCCTGTTCCATACGTATATGTATGTTATTGTCTGCCTATCTACCTCTACACGTGTGAGACAAGATCGTTAGCCAGGGTGTGAGAACTTAATCTCCAATCTGAGGCCCATTCTTCAACAGTATCTAACAAATTTCTTATTATATCTGTTCTCTAACACAGCATTTGATTTCGGAAAGATAAGAGAGAAAAGCAACTTCTAAAAGTTCTCTTCTTCCAAGATTTTGTACACATAATGAGGAGAAAAAAATAAATGAAATAGATTGATTGGGAGAGAACATATCTGTTCCACTTCTCAAAAGTTATCATTCCAAAAGTGAAATGATTTGGAGTTATTTGGAGATAAGTACCATACTGAAGGACAAAGTACAAGTATATACTAGAGGCATGGGCGAATTCAGTACAAAGTACAAGTTTATACTAGAGGCACGGGTGAGCCCCTTTTATTCATTCCCTCCCTTTCTCCCTACTACCCTATAACCAGTCTTCTGTGCTAAAGATATCCTAACTGAAATCCTAAAGAGATAACTTAATTGTCATTCACATAAACAAGAGCAAACCTGAAACATGGTAAATTGAAATATTTCTTCTTCCTCAGGGCGAGCTCCTCGTATCCAAACCCGCTGCTTGTATCGATTCTGTTTCATAGTGTAACATATATGAATGAAAAATATTTCTGTTAATAGCAGAATTTAAACCTCAGGCAGTCAAGCATATCTCCAAACTAAATGATAAGTGTTCAACCTCTTTCACCACCAAGCTGCTCAAGATCTTCCTTTCCTTGTGACCAAGTAAAACACGATACGTCGAATGGTGGAAAATCCGCCTGAACCGTTCAAACTGCATGTTTAGTAGAGAAGCCGACCAAGAGAAGTAATCAGCATATACCACATTTTACATAGAAAGAAGGGGTAGAGTATATCTGTTTAGCTGCTTCTATACTTCAATTTTTATTATTTATTTTTTTCAAGTGACAATGTTCTATCAAGTACTTTGAGTGAATGTAGGAATAGAAAAGGTCGGACAACAACAGGGCTATGATAAAATGTCCAAAAGTTTTAATATTTACTGACCTGTCCCAAGTCAAAAAAGGGCCCAAAATATGTAGACCTCTCAAAAGGATCAAATCCAGCAAACTGTCATGGGAAGATACAAAATTATTATAAAAGACCACCCTGTGCTGCACAAGCATAAAATGGGAAAAGAAGAAGAAAGAAAGAGCAATAGTTTCGGATAGGAAATTACCCTGTACATGACTTCGATCCCGTAATCTTGACGGGGTTGGTCATTGAACATCAATGCATCAAGTTGGTATCGAACAGCTTCTTCTGCACTAAACTATAACAATAGACTAACAGATTGATATACTTGATAGACTATAAAAACAATAATGGTATCTGGTAATCAATATTTTAGTTAGAGAGTTACATTTAATCTTGGGCCAAAAGGTCTCTTCCTGCGAGATTCAAGCCTACAATATAAAATCATCACAAATTAGTGCAAAAAAGAGGAGTTTGCCTGTGTGTAGTAAACATAAATGGCATAGGCAACTGGGTTAGTGCTATCATATACGCTGAGTCACACAGAGCTGGAGTGATAGCTTCTTGAGAGCACCAGTATATTAGGTTATTTTGTTTATATTTAACTATTTTATATTAAATGGGATTATATCAATTTAGACATAATTTTTGTGATTTTTTTGTTATTTATTTAAGTCTATATCCAAATATATTCATTTATTATTGGTTCCGTTAATGGTATGTGTAATACCAATAAGCTAGCTTCTTCACAATGAAACATGTAGCTTGGTGGTGGGTATTTGTTATATTCTTTAGAAGGTCATCATTTCAAGCATCCAAACCTTTCAGGTTCTTAGGGCTACTTTTTCAAGCATATATATTGTTATATGGTCGTATAAGATATTCCAGCAGCAAAGCTGGACCCCACAAGACTCTGCCATATAGCTGGAATGTATGGAATGTAGGTATATGTTCATGCAGAATAGAGAACTCAAGAAACAAATCCACGAATTGCATAAATTGAATTCACGGATTTTGGACGAATCCACTCTCAAACTAAAAATCTGCATGCAGAGCTTGAGAACGGACCCTCCTCGCTTGAATTATGTGACTTGGGTATGACTTTTTTGGTATTGTAACCTCCATATAACACTGGAGATTTGGGTTTGGTTCCATCAAACATCCAAATCCGCTGCTTGTATACACTGGAATCGTTTTTTGCACCGACAAATTAGGCCATAAAGATAGGTCCATCTTGTTAGAGAAAAATATCCAAGAGTTTGGCATATTCAATGAACAAGAGTCTTGGTTTAGTCCATATTTTTGTGCCACTTCTTCGAAAGGTTAAACATCAACATTAAAGTTGCAGATTGAAGACAACATTTTAGGGGGTTCAGTTATAAGTCTATAAGATTTTGAGTGATTAATTAATAATTAGTTGGTCTAGAAAGTTCCAAATTTATCTTGAAATTTTAGGTTTAGAATCAATTAGAAAACTAGGACTGATCCGGAGTTAATTTGGAAAAAATTTAAGCTTCACTAAGAAGTTTGGAATTGAACAATACCGAATTTGGAGTGAATCCAAAAACATTAATTTTAGCTAGTAAGCTTAGATTTTGAGCTTGAACTAAAAACCAACTAAGCAACTGGTTTTGATAATGAGTTCATGTTGTCAAAACTAACTTTTAATATTTCATAACAAAAGCATAAAATTAATATGGACAAGGTTGGGAATGGAGTTATAATCACTATATGTGCTGCATATTTTACCTAATTGTGGCTTCCAACACATTGAAAAGCATGTATAAAAGAATTTGCAAGAGATAAACATGATCCTTATGGGTCTATCTATATATATATATATATGCACATATATAAATATATGTATATATCGAGTAGAGAGAGACAGAGAGGCATACCAATCTGCGGAGAGAAAATCTGGAACGTCTGCAGAAGCTCTGAAGCGAGAGGTTAAAGGTTTGTCGCTGTTGAGTGGCTTGGAGAAGAGAGGGAGCGACTGTGGAGATGACAAACAAGACGAAAACGACATCGTATTCACCTCAACTCCCTCTCTCTCTCTCTCTAGAGCTGTGACGATGGAGGAGAGAGAGAAGGTGAGTGGATGACTTGCTTACCTTATTCTTGGATTTACACCGCCCGATGGCCTTGAAAGAACGCATCGTACGGTGGGAATGCAACGACTAACGTACTATTGAGGACCGTTTGGGCATCGTATTTTAAAACTCCTTTTTTCGTTTTTAGAATTTTCCAGAACGGAAATGATATAGTATATTATTAGCACTTTCTAATACTTTCATTTTAAATATATATATTAAATTTTTGCGCAACTTCAATAGATAAAGCCTAGAAAAAATTTGTGTCCCTAATCTCTTTCCTAGATGATGGATTATCAAAAAAACGATATAACGAACTGGAATTAGAGTTTTAAATGAACCAAACAAAAAAAAAAAAATTGAAATTTTTTTTGTAATTGAACTAAAATATTCTCAAATTTGTCAAGTAACAAGTTTATTAGAATGTTTATTAACAAAATTGTTTAGAGTTTATAATATTTATTTGTTAAGACTTGTATGAATTTTTAATTAATTTTTTCTTCTCATTAAACTTGATCTCTAACTTTAACTTTAGATATGAGTCAATTCAAACTACCTGAATTTCAAGTTAGCAAATTGAGTTTTTTTTAAAAAAAAAGCAATTTTGAGTTCAATAACTATATTTAGGAGTTTAAGTCAAAATTAAATAGTTATTTGATTTGATTGAATAGAGTTCAAATAAAATACTATAATGAAGTTGAGTTGTCTTGTAACTTTTTTAGAGTCAAATAATAGAGTTAAATATGTTTTTTTTATAATTTTTTATTTTTTTAAAAAATGAAAGTTAATTAAAATTAATCCACTGCATTGTATGAAAATTCCAAAATTTTCATAATTATTTTTTCAAAATTTTTGAATCCAGAAAGAGATCAATGGGTTAGTTACCTAACGGTATCAGTCTTTACTTTCCAAAATGAAGTTAAGGATTCAAGCCTTCATAGGCATGTGTGTGTGAGTAATTAATTATGAAAAAAAATTCGATACATTAATACGTCACTGGTACGGCGTAAACACGGCTACTAAAATTTTTTCTTCTTAGTTTAGAAGAAAATGAAAATTATGAGTTAAATTTATTCAAATTGAGTTAAAAAAATAAATAATAAAAAATAACAAACAAACAAAATGTTCATATTCTTTAAATCATTCAATTATATATATATATATATATATGAATTTTTCATTACAAACCGGAATGCCTTCCACTTACTCTAGATTCTAGTATTATTACTTTGGCCTTTCAACATTATTTTATCTCACACCAAACAGGGTATAGACAGTGAAACGCGTATATATTAGAGCGTATAAGCGACCTGCAGTGTCACTGAGAAGTCGCTCAATGAGGCGCTCTCCTCCTTCCCTCCAATTCCTCGCCGCTGCAGCATCCACCGACGCCACCATGTATTCTCGCGTTCCTGTAAGCTCACATCAAAACTATATATATATATGTATATTCACTATATGTGTGTACAGAAACACTAGCAATTCCATTGATTGTGCCAATGTTGCAGTACAGAGGTGGTCGAAATCAAAGGCGGAGAGGATTCTCCGACCGACCTTTCGGAGATGGCAGAGACCAGTTCGTTACCGGAGATTCTCACTTCCAGTCGGTAAGAGACGCCAACCAAGGTTTCCGGCCAGTAGAGAGAGAAAACTTCGCAAATCACAGGTCGCATCAGCCTTCATTCAATCCTCCGCCTCGTTTCAATCCTCCTCCGCAATTTAATTATCGGCCTCCTTTGCATCATCCACCGCCTTTCAATCCGAATCAACATTTTCGTCCGCCGTTGGGTCCACCACTGCCTTTCAATCAGAATCAACATTTCCGTCCGCCGTTGGCTCCACCATCACCTTTCGGTCAGAATCAACCGTTCCGTCCTCCGCAACAGTTTCGTCCAAGGCCTTCGAAGCCGTTGGATTACCGGAATTGGGAGTTTGCAAGAGCAGGGCCGCCCCCTCAGTGTGGTATTAATATTTATGCTTACGCTGATTTCGATTTTGAGTATTCAGTTTTACTAGTTCTTCCTTATTGACGCAATGCCTCAAACAATGTTCTCATTTGAGCTCGATACGAGTCAAAAGATGTGTAAAGGATAGTTTTGGTCTGGCATTGTTTGAATATCTTTACCTTTAGAACAGAGCTACGAAGATTGAAAGCAAGATGGGTACTTTCAAAATGTTAACCAAACAGTAAGTTTAGTTAGGCTGTGTTCGGTTGCATGGAATTGGAACCTTGAAATTGGAATTGGAGAAAATTTTAGTTCAATTTTCTGAGTTGCTTTTCTCCAATTCTACCAATTCCAATTCTAGGACTCCAATTCCATGCAGCCAAACATAGCCTTATTGTTGATGATCTAGCAAAGCATAAGTTTTTGTTAAGTGAATTAAATTTGTGTTGGAAGTATACTAATTGAGGACAATGATTTGGTGAAGCAATGGGGAATTTTATTGGGATTTTTTGGGCTATGGAGAGCTGGAGATGTCATCAATTGGTATGTTCATGCATCTTATTAAGTAATTATATACGTGTTACTCAATTGAAGTAAAGGTGAGGTTCAGTTGCAAGCCCTAAAGGAACAGGGTGGGAAAGAAGGTTGCTTGAGGTTGATGGCATGTGATAGCATGTTATTTAATAGAAGATATATTGTCCCAGATAGAAACACTTGGTTAAAAACTGTTCATGCCCCATGTAGTTGGCATGGTTGGCATTCAGCAAGGGAACTTCTGCTTTTGGGTTTACTGGACTATGCCATTGATTATGTTTAATAAGATGAAATGGGTTATGTTGTGGAATGTGTTGGAGGTAAGCTATATATGGAGAATCCTTTCTGGATTGATGTCATTAATGCTTTTAAGCCAACATCCTAGCTTATAATTTAAGCTGTTCATACGTATGGAAATAAAATTAGTTTCATTTTGGATGTATTTTATGCATGTCCCCAAGGCAGGGAAAAAAAAAAAAAATTTGAAAAAATTCAGTTTTTACGGTGTTCGTAATTGTGTTGTACTACTGGATTTCACTTTTACTGCCTTGTTGTTGATATTCTGATTGTTGTACATTGGTTTGGCTTTCTATTCTTTGCCGCAATGTTGTTTCTGTGTTAACCTCATTTTTTGCTGGTATGATTTGTAGAGCGGTTTACAGTCCTCTCTTACAATATACTGGCTGACTATCTGGCTATTAATCATCGGCGCAAACTTTACTTTCACATACCTCACCATATTTTGGACTGGGAGTGGCGAAAGAGAAGTATTATCTTTGAGCTTGGGTTATGGTCAGCTGATATATTGTGCTTTCAGGTTATCATTCTGATATGTTTACCGCATAATTTTCAGTTCAACATATATTCGAAGTTCAAGGTTTTGTTCCATTTCCAAGTAATTAAGCCCACAGACTTAGGTGACTTACAGATACAAACATCTCTCCATTCAAAATGTTTGCTCCTGAATGGATATGTTCCTCACACACAGTCATCTTCTACCTCTCAATTTTTCAGCAAGGCTCTTAGTGTCATCAATGTTAATTTTTTATTGAACTTTTGTGTGGTGGCTTCTAAGCTACCTGCTTCAGGTTTTTTTTATATGGCTTAAGGTAATAATCGAGGTTGATTTACAAGCATTACTACTGGTGTAAATCTGTGTCGCAGATGGATATTCTAGTGTACTTCCTTTTAGCGAAGGACTTGGGTAAAATTTGGAGATAACAGTCTGCGCCTTCACTATTTTGTGTGCCATTATTTTGGTGTCTTCAATATTCTGTTTTTCTTTACATTTTGTCTGTTTCTGCTGCATCTCATTCCTTCTTCTTTCTGGTACAGGAGCATAAAATTTTTACATTCACCCCTTCACTGATTCTTTTTCTTGCTTTGTATTTTTCTTCCGTGTGGATTGTTATGTATTGTTCATCCATACCTCATTGTGTTTTTCTGTGGTTTTGAAATAATTGTTGATGTCATTTTCTATATTGCCAGGAGGTTGATAGATTTCAGGAGTTAGAGGATGAGTTGAAACATCGGGGATACAACGGCATTTGGAAGGTGTGCTTTGGAGGATGCTATAGTTGTTTTGAGCACATGTAATGTATAGGAGTTAAAATATATCAATTGAGATTTCATAAAGTAATTTTTTGGTTAAAATTAACAATTATTTAAGGATTGATAGAGTAAATACCTCCCTCCCTCCCCATCTATACTCGATGAGCAGACATGTATATGTATAGAGTCTGTTTTGAAACATCGTTACCCATGTCAAAGACCAATTTATTTACCAACAGGCCTATGGCCTAGCGGTACAAGACCCCTACTTTCCAAAGGGAGGTCAGGGGTTCGAACCTCAGTGGAGGCAGTGTGTGTGAGTACCAACTAGGAAAAAAAACAAAGATCAATTTATTTTACCCAGTTTTTAGTTATTACTACTTAGTAGGGTTTCCACATTTTGACTTGAATGGTTAGGATCAAGGATCAAAGACTTGGATAGTGGGATTCAGTCAGGAACTCGTGTCAACTGATAGATAATTAGATAGAAGTTGCTGTATTTTTATCCTGCGTACCTACATTCATTCAACCATCTGAAGTTCTGAAGAGGAACTTTTTATCAACAAGTGATATACATTATTAACTAAAACATAAGGATGGATTGTAATTGAGAGCCACATTACCTGGACTCGGTTACGTGCATCGGGTACAGTTATGTATCCACGCATCGGATGTGTTAAATCCCTATACAAAAAGACACTTGGGCCCTGCTAAATATTCATAGTATTTAGTATTTTTATTTTATATTCTAGAGTAAAATGATGTCCTTACATACCATAGTGCCTAATATGAGTATTCAACTTGTTTTGAAGCTAAAATATAATAATAAAAAAAATTATTGGATATGTTTTATAGGTGTATATGCAGCCAAAAGTGTCAGACACATATCCCATACATATGTCCAAGTTTTGTGTGTCCTACACGGGTACTTCGCCTACTTTTGAAGGGTCCATGTAACGTACATTGGGAAGATGTTGTTTTTGGTCTTAAAAATCTCGCACGTGTTCTTTTTCGTTTTTTTGGTAATCCCTTAGAAGAATACTACCTCAGCTACCAAACTTCCACTCGGTCATTCATTGGTAGAGCCTAGAGAGAATGTTATTGGTGCATATTAATTACAAGGAATGAATATTTTTATTTTTATTTTTATTGGAATGGTTATAGTTGGATTAAAATTAAAATTTATTCAGGAAACAAAGCAATATCATGTGACATGAAGAGATTTCTTCAGCTAAGAACAGAAGAAACAGAAAACAAATCCAAAGCCACCAAATATAAACCAAATATATATACATATATATACGTGTGTGTGTGTGTGTACAAAATAATAATAAGAAAACAAGAAAAAAGAAGAAGTTCCCAAATGCACAGTTTTTGATAAAGCACTTTAAGGTCTGCACCTATTCTGCAATTTATACCATTATATGACAATTAGTTGCAGGATTGTTATTATATTGTATAAAACTCAATTTGTAAAATGGGATTGGGTGGGTATGCTCATACTTGACACAACGATACTATTAAGATTGAATTCATCAGAACCAGTGAAAGCATAATACCTTGTGATTCTGTGATAAATAGCTAGCTATATTCCAAGTACTAAACACTAAAGAACAAAATTTCCTTCCTTTAAATGTGGAAAAAAAATGAAGAAAAATAGTACAATAGTTGATTTTCTTGCAGATTTGAGACATTTTCCATGATAGGTGAGATTTTCGTGCATAGCAAAACCCTAATATGCTTTTGTGATTTTGTAGATGCGAACTGGTGATCCAGTTGATGGTTGTGCAATATTTTGGCGTGTGTCAAGGTAAATAATTTTGTCTGCCTACACAGTCTATATTTCAGTATTCAACTTTGTTAAGACCATAATTCCTTAAATCTTCTTATTGTACAATTATTTCCACTACTTTCATCTAAGCTCCTTTTGGTCATCATGTTGTTTATATAGTTATATTCTAGTGCATTCTGTACAATTTAGCATTCCACATCATTTCTCTATCCTCATTTGTACTCTTTTTTCTTCATAGACTCGTGTTGACAATGGGTTTGTTTGAGCTTGCTCTTTTCTCTGAAACATTGTTCCATTGATGATGAATATCCAAGTGACCCAGTTGTTGCCGTATAAAAATTTCATTCTAACATGATTGCTATTCATCTAAGCTTTTAGAAGTATCTCACTTTGCTAGTATAACACGAGTTTTATGGGCAACACCTTCGTGCTCTCCCCTGCGGTGGCAAGGCAGTGCAATGGAATTGCTCTCTTTGAGATATAATCATTCTAATTTCTAAAGTAGCACAATGAATTTGTCCATGTTCCTCTCAAAGGTTGCTATTTATTTGCTCTCTCTCCCTCTCTCTCTCTCAATTTAGTTATGTTTAAGCCTTCTCCATTAAATGTGTGTGTACACTTCACCTCTTATAGTTCTATTAACCAGCATCACATAAGTTGCGAAAAACATCAAGGAACGTAGGGTTGGTTCTCGCTTGACTAATATTTGAGTGGTTTCAGCCTGTTATATGGGGTATTTAAGGCTGCACACATCTTTTTTTGCTTGTGCTAAGCTTATGGAAATCACGGTTCTTTGGTTATGATTTTAGGCTAATGGTTGGGCCAAATAGTTAATCTTCAAGACCAGGCTTTAATCTACAGGCCTGAGGTTGGGCCAGTTCACCCTCTAGCCAATGCATGCCCATTTTTTTCCTAGGCAATGCAAGCCCATTTCTTTTTCCCTTTTGTGGGGAAAGGGGGTTAGGTTCTTCTGACGGGGTAGGAACCCTTGTTATTTAAAAGATATACCTGGCTTGGGACAGCTTAATCATTTCCCTCCTTCGTTAGGCAGCAGAATACTGCTAATTTTAGATGTTAACTTGCCTAAGCTACACAGACACTAGAAACACAAACATATGGTATCCTTGTACATATCCTGAATAAATTCTATAAAGCTTACGAAGAAAACATATTCTGGTAAGAATTATAAAACGTATTCAAGATATGTATAAGGATACTAAGACAAGAGTCCGTACTATATGTGTGGAAACAAATGATTTTTCTATAAGAGTAGGATTACACCAAGGTTCGGTGCTAAGTTGGCATATTTATTTATGATAATTTTTATGAAATAACAAAAGAATTGCAAGAAGACCTTCCATGGTGTATGTTATTTGCAGATGACATTGTGCTATTAGACAATTTTAAGGAAGCCTTGGCAATAAAATTAGAGGCTTGGAGAACGGCACTAGAGTCAGAAGGCTTAAAAACTAGTAGAACTAAGATGGAATACATGGAATGTAAATTTAATAGCATTATAGGAAATGATAATATAGCAATAAAAATTCAAGACCAAAGCATTACTCAAAGTAATTGTTTTTCATACTTCAGATCAACCATACAAAAAGATGGTGAGATTGATGAGGATGGAAGTAGTAGAATTGGAATAGGTTGGACAAAGTGGAGGAATGCTAGTGTAAATTATGCAATAAATGAATACCAAAGAAATTAAAAAGGAAAGTATATAGAATAGTCATTAGACTGGCTATCTTATATAGAGTGGAATATTGGGCGTTAAAAAAAAAATAATAAAAATAAATAAAATAAAAACACGAACAACGCATTCATGTGGCGGAAATGCAGATGTTAAGATGGATGTTAGGAATAACTAGGAAAGATAAAGATTAATAATCAAATGATTAGGGAGAGATTAGGTGTGGTGCCTATTAGCGAGAAAATAGAGAGTGTAGACTTAGCTGGCATGGGTATATTCAACAGCAACCTATAGATGAACTCGTAAGGAAGATTGATTTGCATAGAAGCTAAGAGACAAAGAGGTCGACCAAAACTAACATGGAATAAAGTGATACGAAATGATTTAAAAAATACCAACACGCCAGTGGCCTAGCGGTACCAGGCTCCAACCTCCCAAAGGGAGGTCAGGGGTTTGAGCTAGGGGTGGCAATATTTGACACGACACGCTAACACGACACGAGATAAGCGGGTTAGGGTTTGGGTTAATCGTGTTTGTGTCATAATCGTGTCGACACGGATTGACCCGCTAACTAAACGTGTCGTGTTCATGTTTGACCCTGTAAACACGATTATGACACGATTAACCCGATTAACTAAACGTGTCAGATAAACGTGTTGTGTTCGTATAAAAAATGACCCATTTAGCAAAATATGTCATATTCGTGTCGAAAATGACTTAAATGTGTCTTTTCGTGTCGTGTCAAATCTTGACCCATTTATTAAACAGGTTATGCGTGTCGTGTTACACGTATAATAATCGTGTCGTGTTCGTGTCAACCCTAATCGTGTCCGTGTCGTAATCGTGTCGACACGAACACGACACGCCAACACGAATTGCCACCCCTAGTTTGAGCCTCGGTGAAGGCATGTGTGTGTGAGTACCAATTAAGAAAAAAAAAAAAAAAAAAGATTTAAAAAAATTAAATCAAATATGAGATACGACTTATGATAGAAAATATTGGAAAAAGAGAATTCGAGTTGCCGACCCAATTTGTACGGCATAAAGGCAGGGATGATGACGTCGACGGCCTTGCCTAAGCTACCAATGTAAAGAAGTACTGATAATTCATGTTGCTGACCCAATTTGTACAGCATAAAGGCAAGGATGATGATGTCGACGACCTTGCCTAAACTACCAATGTAAAGAAGTACTGATACATAGAGGCTGTTTGACAACCCTATTTAAGTGTAGAAAATTGAAAATTATGTGGTTTCTCCACCGAGTGAGTTTGGTGTTGCACAATAGTTACTATTAGAAAATTTTCACTGAAAGTGGGGCCAAGTTTTGAGCTGATGATGGGTTCAATTTTCACTTATCGTTCCACAAGGTTAGTGGAAGGTAGTTTCTGAATTGAATTTCAATGGATAGTTTTTTTCTTGAATATGTGTGTGTGTGTGTGTGTGTCTATGTGTGAGAGAGGAACCCTTAAATTAATCCTTCTACTTGGTGTCTTCGATGCTACTAATTTAGTACAATTTTTTAGTGCTATTTTAGTTTTATGAAATAGCTTTATAGTCTTGCACCTTCCTTAGAACATTGAAACATTTGGATTGGCCGGGACTAGTAGTGGCAATCTGCATAATTTTTTATTTATTTTATTTTTTATTAAGGGTATGCTTCTACTTTATCCTTTGCCCTAACCTACATACTAGCAACCACTACGGAGAACACAATAGCCAAGGTTTAAATGCTTTTATTTTTATTTTTTATATGTAAGTAGGTTTCATTCGAAGGCGCTCAAGAGGGGAGCACTCCCAAGAGAATACACAAGAGAGCTGATAGCGGCCACCTATACTATCAAACTATCAACAAAGTCTACAAAATCCCCCATAGATTTACAATTCCGCCCATTAACCCAAAAGAATAAAGAACTCAATATGTTGTATTTGAGAGACCAGATAGGACTCTCCTCTCCATCAAAGGACCTCCTATTTCTCTCGCGCCCCAAGCCCCACCATAAACAAAGGGGAGTCGCCCTCCAAGCATCTTTGCCAGGGTCCTTGACCTTGAGTGAAGGTGTAAATTTTTATTTATTTTTTGACAAGTAAGATTGTAATAAAAAAAAAAGGGTGTTCTCAAGAGAATATATTGAAGCTGAATATATTTTCTTGAGTCGGCCGTGACAAGAGATGGTCTACAGAAATGACCAAACAATTGTGTGGAGACAAGGGAGGGCACTCTTGATGGGATGCTACTATCTTGTTTTTAATTTAAGGACTTCAAATCTCCCAGGTTGGTCTGTGATAAATGGAAGTGGAGGTGAGATAATACATTTAAATAATGAAATTGAGGTGTAGAAATATGCTCATTGAAATACCCATTCAATTTACTGTCTATTTCATTATGAATTTTAAATTACATGGGACATACATTTAAGTAAAAGAAATAGAGAGGAGAAATGAAGTGAAAAAGAGGGCTAAATATAAAGAGAGAAAAATAGAGATTTTATTTTTTATTTTTTTTATAAGTAAAATGTATTAGAAAGCGTTCAAAAAGGGAACGCGTCCCAAGCTATACAAAAACAAAACGGAACCTATGAGCTCAAATAGCCCAAAAGGTCCACAATATCCTCGAGAGAAGAATAATCTCTCCCCCAACCCCAACAAAAAAGAGTACAAATAATAGAAAATTTCAGCGCCCCAATGGAGGACTCCTTCTCATCAAAAGATCTTCTATTCCGCTCTTTCCAAAGGCTCCACCAAACGCAAAAAGGGGTCACCTCCAAAAGTCTCTCGCCTGAGCCCTCACCCATTGGCCCCTCCAAAAGTCTCTCGCCTGAGCCCTCACCCATTGGCCCCTCCAAATATCCAACAATTCCCAAGAAGTCCGAGGCATGGCCCAATGAATACCAAACAAACCAAAAATGAGACTCCAATAGTCATGAGCCATAGGACAATGCAGCAGAAGGTGATCCACTGACTCCCCATTAAACTTACAAAAACAGTACCAATTAACAATGATATGTCTTCACTTCCTCAAGTTGTCCAAAGTCAAAATCTTACTCCAAGCTGCAGTCCACACAAAAAAGGCCACCCTAAGAGGCGCCTTAGACAACCACACCGTCTTCCACGGGAAGGTGGTACCATGAAAACCAGAGAGGCACACAAAAAAGGACCGGACCTGGAACATCCCCTGTGTAGAAGGCACCCAAATCAGGGAATCTACACCAGCGCCTTCCACCTCCTGTCTGTACAGGAGAGCCAACAAACCAGTGACATCATCCAACTCTCAATCCTGAAAAGATCGCCGGAATCGCACATCCCAAGACAACCTCCCGCTATTAAGGTGATAGTAGTTAGCAACCATAGCATGTTTGTCAACATCAATCCTGAACAGCCTTGGGAACACAAGAGCCAATGGCCTATCCTCGCACCAGGAGTCCTCCCAAAACCGGACATTCCTTCCATCCCGAACTCTGAATCTAATATGTTCGGAGAATTCATCCCACCCCTTTCCAATGGCCCTCCACGCCCCCACTTTACTAGCAAACCTGACTGGCCTAGCTGACCACCCCCCTCTCTCATCCCCAAAGCGACACGAAATAACCCTTCTCCATAATCTATGTCTTTCACTGCCGAATTTCCAAAGCCACTTGCGAAGGAGAGCACTGTTGAAGGCGGCCAATCTCCTAATCCCAAGCCCTCCCAACTGAAAAGGCCTGCAAACCTGCTCCCATCTGACAAGATGATACTTAAACTCCTCTCCACGACCCCCCCCCCCCCAAAGGAAGTTTCGTTGAAGCATCTCAAGATGTCCAACAATAGAGGCTGGAATCCGAAAAAGCGAAAGAAAGTACTTTGGGAGGCTTGACAAAGTACTCTTCACTAATGTAACTTTACCACCCTTGGATAGATATTGCTTTTTCCAACCAGCTAATCTTCTCTTAACCCGCTCAATCACCGGGTCCCAACTTTCCACCCTCCTAGCCGAGTCCCCCAGCGGCAAACCCAAATACGAGATAGGGAAGTGTTGCGCCCCACACCCTAAAACAGCAGCCAGAGTGTCCACCTCCTGAACTTCCCTCACAGGGGCAAGCACACTCTTACCTACGTTGACTTTCAAACCAGAGACAGCCTGAAAGCAAACCAAAACACATCTCAGATAGCTCAACTGGGACACCTCTGCCTCGCAAAAAACAATAGTGTCATCCGCAAAAAGTAAGTGAGAGATCTCCATCTGCTGAACTGAGTTAAGGCCGATCTTGAAACCCCTAATAAAACCCAAGTCCACCGCCCTTTTCATCAACTTACTAAGGGCCTCCATAACAATAATAAAGAGGAACGGCGAGAGGGGGTCCCCCTGCCCCAGGCCGCGAGAACTGCCGAAAAACCCCGTAGGAGACCCATTCACCAACACCGAAAATCTGATAGTGGAAACACATGAAACAATCCATTTCCTCCATCTCTCACCAAAGCCTATCCTCTCTAACAGATAGAACAGAAAATTCCAGCAGACATGATCATAGGCTTTCTCGATATCCAGCTTGCAAAGAACACCAGGAGCCCCACTGCAAAGTCTAGAATCCACACATTCATTGGAAATAAGGGCGGAGTCCAGGATCTGTCTACCCCCAATGAAAGCATTCTGAGACTCAGAAATAACTCCATCCAGAACCTCCCTCAATCTAAATGCAAGGACTTTTGCGATGAGCTTGTAAATGCACCCAATCAGACTGATTGGTCTAAATTCCTTGATGTTAGGAGCACCACCCTTCTTAGGAATAAGGGCAATAAGGGATGCGTTCAGCGATTTCTCAAACTGCCCCGTGGAATGAAACTTATGAAAGGTGCCCATAACCTCGTACTGAACCACCTCCCAACTCTCCAACAAAAATCCCATAGTAAAACCATCAGGGCCTGGAGCCTTATCACCATTACAACTCTTTAAAGCCTTTAGCACCTCCTCCTCCGAAAAAGGATTCTCCAACCCATCCCTTTCCAAGGCAGAAATAGAATCAAAGTGAAGACCATCAAGACGTGGTCTCCATCAAAGAGGTTTAAAATAAAGCCTTTGGTAGAAAGAGACAATAATGCTTCGCACCTCCTCCTCCGTAGTCAAGACCGCACCATCCACACACATCCGCCCAATGTGATTACTCCTCCTATGAGCATTAGCAGTTATATGGAAAAACTTGGTATTCTGGTCTCCCTCTTTGAGCTTCAAGGCCCGATATTTCTGACGCCACGAAATTTCCTCCAAAACTTCCATCTCCACACATTCTGCCTGATAAGCTGCTCTCCTACTACGTTGAGATTCAGAAAGAACACCCTCCCCTTCCAATTTATCAATCTCAGCAAAATCAGCCAATGCCTTATTCTTCCTCCACTCCAAGCTCCCAAAAACCTCCTTATTCCACCTTTTGAGATTATTTTTCAGGAGTTGAAGCTTTCCTACAAGAATATAACTCGACGTACCCACCACCAGGTTCTCCTCCCACCAAGAATGCACAGATACCTGGAAATTATCCGCACGAAGCCACATGTTCTCAAATCTGAAAGGAGTGCTACGAGATCTCAAACCTCCACAGTCCAAAACCAAGGGGATGTGGTCCGAAATCACCCTAGCCAACACAGCCTAAACAACATCCGGGAACTTCTCCTCCCAGTCACTGGAAATCAAAATTCTATCAAGGCGAGAGAAAGTAGGTGCTTCCCTTCCACTGGACCAAGTGAAAGAAGCTCCCTCAAGAGGAAGATCAATAAGCTGGTGGCCATCAATAAAATCAGAGAAGTGCATCATAGCCTGAGTCCACGGACCACATGTAGATCTCTCCGCCGGGGACCTAACCACATTAAAATCTCCTGCCATGCACCAAGGAAGAGACCACCTCCCCTTCACCCCACTCAACTCCTCCCACAACCCATCCCTCACACCATCATCAACCAGCCCATACACCCGAGAAAAGCCCCAAGTGAAACCATCCTCCTCCATCACAAAGGCACAAGATAGAGAAAAACTCCCCCTACAAACAAGAAAAAAAAGAAACAGAGAGGGAGAGGGGTAGAGGAAGCGAGAAATAGAGAGGAAAGAGAGATGGAGACAGAATGTAGAGAGAATTAAAGCAAGCAAGAAGGGGAAGAAGAGGATGAAACAGAGAGGGAGAGGGGTCTTCTTAAATGTGCTTTGGTTTTTTTGGTGCAGGACCCCTATTTGCTAGTAGAGAAAAAGGTTGTATATATGGATGCTGAGGGCTGCCACAAGTGGGTTCTTGTTCTTGAATCAAAATCGGCCATGTGTCCTCACCATTTCCTTTTTACAATAAGTCAATTGGTAGCTCCATTTGTAATATCCATCAGATGTCGAAACCCTAAAACTATCAAAGATACCATTTATTTAGCTGCTTATTTATACATGTATCTTTAAAACACTATATATTCTGAGGCTATAAAATTTTATTCTTGAGAAGTTTGATTTTCCAATGTTGTCTAGTTAGAATCAATCTAATTATATTCATATTAGATTCAAGATGGTGTACGAGGAATGCATTGAATTTAAGAAGCTTGGACTACGGGATAATGTTGCCCAGATTTGCGTTTTGGAGGTACATTGGATCTTGAGATACTTTGTTGGAAATGTGAAATACCAATATTAAATAAGAATTTTTTATTATTATTGTTCTCAACTACGTTTTTGTTCATTTACATTATTGTTTTTCTGTCAAACAGTCTGTGAATCAGAATCCCAGCATATATACGTCAGCTCTCCCAACAAGGTAATTCAACTCCCTTTTCCTCTGTAGATTATTTCTTTTGTAATAATAAGTGGTGTTGTCCTATTATAATTTTTTCCCCTCTTTCTGTGGAGATGTCAGAAACATCGATGTTATTGGTTTTTGTAGTGATCTTGAATTATTGATTACCAAATAATTGACACGAAACATAAGTTGTAGGTATATGTAACAAAATGAAATCTCCCAGCTTATATTATTTTATGATCCATTGATATTTGGTAATATATTGCTTTCTATAATTTTGCTCCTGGTAATAATTAATTCCCATCCTCAAGGATTGTAGCTACCCTGAAATCAACAATCCTTTTTAACTCGGAAGTTAATTTTATAAGCCTATTGAGAGCAAGTCCCTATATTTGAACAAAATAGCGAACCCCTGTTCTTCCGAATACTTGTCAATGAAAGCTAGTAGTGAAAGAATAGGATTATTTTACCATGCTCATTGCAATAGTGGAAGGACCAACAATTTTTTGTTGTAGGAATCTATACTATTTTCTCTTTGTGTTTTATTTTTTTATATTTAAATGAAAACCTTGTCAACTAAACAACATATAACTCCACATACTATGAATTTGGTTTTGGATATATGCTAAAAATACGAATGCTTAGAAGGGCATTGCTTTTGTTTCTGTACATGCATATTTAATCCTTGAATTATCCCGTTGAAAATATGTTAAGACAGTGAAGTCTGAACACAGAATTAAGGTTTATGTTCCTGCCAGAGTCACCAACCTTGTAAACTCGAGGAGTCCCTTCAGTGATAAAAATAGTTCTTTTTCATTTTCATAGTCCATCACTTAATTTTTCTTTTCGGGGAAATCGACTTGTTATGATCTAATTTGGTAAACTATTTTCAGTGCTGCTCTAGATTTGCTGCATAAATTATGTTCTATAATGTATAGAATCCATGAAAATATTTTGTTCCAACTTCTGGCTCGAGGAGAACAGGTCTGTGAAAAGGCTCTGCCTCCTTGGAAAAATGGGGGTGCTCCTCACTCAAAACAGGTCTTCCTCATTGAGGTATGGGGCCCTGGCATGGAATTTCAGGAGGACATTGGCCTTATATAAAGTCTTGAAACAAGTATGGACCTCAATTCTTAAGAACAACCTCAAAATGAAACTAGAACCATGAGGTTAGAAGAAAGATTATAACCACCAGAAAAGACCTTTGAAAACTTTTAGATGAACAGGAACGCTAACATCTCAAGAGAATGTTAAATGCAAGTGGCGTTCTATCCCTGCACTCTGTGAGTGATTCATGCCGCATGAGGGAACTCATCCAACCACTCCACATTTTTCTAGGTGGTAACCCTCGTCACTCTATATATTTATGTGTGTATATATATTGTCAAGGTGGCAGTTACATGGCTTTTTCTGCCAACTAGATGACTCCTATTGTCAGATAAGGTCTTTCTAAGGTCGATTTACTTGTGCCCTAGATATGATTGAGAATGTGAACTTACTACCTTGTTCTTCGCAATTCTTTATCTGCCTTGTCTTTAAAAGTTGTACTCATAAGACAATTTGAGACATTGCAAGCATAGTTTTGAGTAGGAAATTGCCAACACGACTCGTATACCTAACACTACTATTTGTTAAATGTATGGTAGCAGGCTCACATCTTTTCTTTCCTAATATAATATGTTATTATAGTATTGTTGCCTTTTTTTATGTACATCTTGCTTTTAATGAAGTGCTTCATAAACCTTTATGGATGTATAAGTTTTCCTGGATGAAGATTGAGTATTCTGTATCTGCAGCTCAACGGGTTCTAATAAAGTTGTCTTATGTAACATTCACGTGCTTTACAACCCTAGAAGGGGAGAGATTAAGCTTGGCCAGGTATATACCATTTGTGAATAGGCTTTGTCGTTCTTTTCTCCTATGATTACACATTTTATGATTATTATTTTTATCTGATTTCTACATTAATCTGCTTGGAATTAACAGAATGAGGTGATATTGTTTACCCATGTCCCACGGGCAGGGTTACCGATGAAGTAGAAATCACCTGACACATGTGAACTGTTCACATTTTTTTGGTGACTAGAGCGGTGTTCCCACCCTTTGGGTGAGATTAATCTCCTCTGTACACTTGGTAGACCCAATGTCAAATGCAATTTAATCCAGGGAAAATCCGTGTGAGGTTAGCCTTAAAGGAGGACAATTGAACTCAAGACTACGACTATGTTTACTGCAACACAATAGCATTTGAAAGGGATGACGTGAGGAAGAGACTGTTTGGAATCCATAACTCGATATTTAAACCTGTCATCAAAAGAAGAAGTTTTTAGTTTCCCGTTCCTCCCCCATCCACCCTCTCTCTTCCAAACCGTATCAGTCCCAATTTATCTTTGGCAGTGATGCTCAGTCACTAGGGACAAACACATTTATTATTTATTTATTTTGTTTGTCTCATAAGATACTGTTAAACCAATAAATATATATATTTTTGGTGGGAAAATAATAACACATGCATTACATGATCTGTCTTGTGAACATAGGTAGCTTATCACATTTCACAATTATCATAATAATTACATATATCCTTGAAGCATTGTGGATAGCTTGAAATTATAGTGGCAGCCTTTGGCGCCTTGTGTATTCTCTTGGGAGTGCTCCCCTTTTGAGCGCCTTTAATATATTCTTGCTTATCAAAAAATATCCCTGAAGCATTACTTGGACCGAATGCACGTATTGTCAAGGCATATCCACCGATCAAGGTTTGGCGTTAGTGTTTCGTGAATGACTCCTTTTAAACTTCTATCATTCTACTTATGTTTCTGTATTTCTGACTTGTATATTTCTTTTATATCTTTAACAATTTTCCACTGCAACTTGCAAGCTTTCATGTTTGTTTTCTTCGAAGTGGAGTTTTAAGCCTTATTAAAGGTTTTCAAACAGATATCGTGTCGAGTTTTTTATTCCATGTTTTATGAAAAAAATATAGGATAGCTCTACTCCAAATATCCATCTACTCTACATAAATTTATTCTATTCCATGTCAATTTGGTATTGTGCTCTTATGAGATTTATATAAGCTGGAACCAAGTTCATCTGGAAAGTTTTTGACCAGCTGCAATGTGGAGTCGGTTTGATTTTTATCGGTTCGATTGTTAGAGGTGCTTGATCTTGACCCCTCCGTTAAAATTGTTAGTGGAACCTTGCTTGATTGGTTCACTATAGTGTAAAGATCCTTGGGGTATATTGATATGCATAAAAGTTAATATGTAAAGTTCAGATATTTTTGGGCCAAAATGAAGCATTATTTGTTCTGCATGACTATTGATAACATGCAATTAATAGGGGTGGAAAAATTGTTTTGGTTGCAGGTGGAAGTTTGTGTGTTTTTTATTCCAATATTGCTTAACATCCATGAAGCTAAATAAAACTTTATATCTGAATGAACTTAACTATGTAAAGCATATCTGCTTGTGAACAGATTCGAGTGCTTATGGAGAGGGCTCATGCTGTTTCTAAGCTTTGGGATGATGCTCCTGTTGTTCTTTGTGGGGATTTTAACTGTACTCCAAAGGTAGATTCATTTAATTGCTTACTGTACTCCTTGAATTTTTATGTTACTTCTTTTGAGAGGTGGAAGTTGAAATATATTGTTTTATCCATTATTTAACAGCTTAAGCTATTGGGATGACTTGCCTAATATAGTGTTGGACTTCTGGTCCCTAGGAGGTCTTGGATTCAAGTTTCTGTGTCTATCTGTTCCCCATTCTGTTATTTTCCTTGTCTGCCTCTCCACATGTGATAGAAGATCACGCGTGAGGGGGAGTGTGAGAGATTGATTTACACTGTTTGACCCATTCCTGAACAGCTTAAGATTTTGAGGCTAGTGGGTTTTTTTTTTTTTTTTTATTTTGGAAAAGATATTTTGTGGCTACTTGTTGCACAACAATTTCCATCGCATACGCCATTGCGTTGATTTTTAAATGTCTACTTTGTATTTGGTTGTCTTTGTATTCAATAACATTCTTATTTTCCTTTGTATCAGAGTCAGTTATACAACTATATAGCAGAGCAGAAGGTAAAATGATTTTTTTTTTTTTCTAAATTTGCTTAAAATTGATAGATTTTTCTGATTAGAATGTTCAAAATTCAAATGAACACTGTTCTTCCATTGCAGTTAAATCTTTCTGAGCTACCAAGAGATAAGGTGTCCGGACAAGCTGCTTTTGAAATTCGTGCACCGGGGCAGTTTGGTCCTTATTTCGGGTATGATTTTTAATGGTTAAAATGTTCATCTGTTTAGGTCAGAGCCTTAGAGAGGCTTCTGATGCATGCTTATAAAAGCTGAAGCTGTAAAGGTTGCAAATATTCTAGGCCCCAATCCGTTCATAATTCAGTTCAAGCTCCAACAATTGCTGATGACAGGAAAGTCAGGCAGACTGATTCCCTCTCAGATGTGCAGAAGCAGAATGGTTCAGGTAACAGACAAACAGATTATCTCAGCCTCAATATGTTAGCAATCTGTTGAATGTGTCTGACTATTCTTGCATTGAAGGTCAATATGGAGATGAGAACAGTGCACTGTCCCATGAACTGACAAAAGAAACCCATCAGGATGCCGTGAACGATTGCAAGAAAGAAACTGAATTGACCACCTGTGTTTCAGATAGTTGCTTAAAGGAAGGCCCAAGTAGTTCTCACAACGAAGGTGGTTTTGCTGTTGATGAAATGAAGGATAGAACTTGTGAATTGACTAATAAAGATTCTTGTCGTGAAGATATTTATTCTAATGTGATTGAGACTGGACATGATGAAAAAGTACATGCAAACTATACAAAATCCGATTCATTCAGTGAACACTCTCATTCAAATTTATATACAGAAAATGGAAGTGTTACGTGCGATAATGTTAACCTCTCCTTTGTGGGTGAAAATCATTCTACGACTTCCATAATTAATCCTGAGCCTGCAAATGCTTCTGATTTAGCAACTGCTTCATCTGAGCTATTCCAAGAGACTTCATTTCCCAATGCTGTAGAAGTCTCTCCTCTTGGAAGCTCAGAAAATTTGTCATCTCTTTCAGTTGCCAATTACAAGGGTAGCCCTTCTGGCTTATGCGAAGGCTATGAATCTACAAGCAATGACTTTGTGGCGAATGAAAAGAAGAAGAATTTAACCCATGATGAGCTAGATGAAGTTAAGCAGGAAGATGAGAGCATAGGTGAAGATTGTACCACATTCTTATCTGCGCTACACAACGCTGATGGCAGTCCCTTTCCGTCTGACTTAAATCAATTTGTAGGATCTGACTTTGTGGAATCAAATGAGTCATCGGGGGGAAATGTTGCTATACCCCAAAGCCAACATTTGCATCCTCTTGGTGATGAGGATTCTCCTAGCATGGATAATGTGTCTGTTGATGCATTTAGAACTGCTTATGATCCATCAGCATGGACTCCAATGGAGATAGAAACTGCAACAGGTAATGCAGACTGTACACTTATGGAACATCCTCTGAAGCTGAGAAGCACGTATGCAGAAGTTGAGGTAGGTCATCAACTCAAATGTTTTCCTCTTTCTGCTACTTAATCTTCCCTTTTGACATACTAAAAATAAAGTGGGTAAACTATTCTGATGCTCTCTGAGGATTGCCTTAAATACTATCAGATTAAAATTTTGCAAAAACAAAACTCTGAAACCTACTGGCTGGGTTTGTTGGATTAATGGTGTTAAATTAGTCACCTCATTGACATTTTCACCCCTAAGTTATTGTAGTAGTTTTTGAATTAAAAAAAAAAAAAAAAAAAAAAAAAAAATCAAAATGACAATTATCCCCTCACATAACCTCCTTATTTTCTCTAATGCTCTGTTTGGTAGGAAAGAAAAAAAAATTGGATGGAAGAGAGAGAAGAAGGGATGGATAAGACATCCCCAGGGAAGAGATTGTGTATTTCCTTCTTTCTGTTCGGTTGGATATAAGAGGAGAATAAACTCTTAATTTACCATGTTCGTTAAGAGATAAGGAAAGAGAAAGTTTTAATTGTTTTTACCATTATATCCAATATTATTTATAATATTATAATTTATAGAGGATAGTACTGTAATTTAAAACTTGTAAAATTTAGGGTAGTATTTAATCTAAAACTTCTATAATATTCCACTTGTCTTCCCTCCTTTCTTCCGCCCACTTTTGGGCGGGGCAGATGAAAATTTGTAAAGGTGGAAGGATGAGTCATCCTTCCTATTCTCCTTTCTTTCCTTGTATCATCTCTATCGAACAAACGAAGTTCATTCCTTCCTATTTTCTCTTCACAGATCTTCCTTCCTTCCTACCGAACACAGCATAAAACTTTATCCAAATTTCTCAACCCTGTCCACTTCATGCCTTCACTTCTGCATCTCAGAGTTTTTCCAAATGAAATTAAGTCTCTCAAGACTTTTTCTTTTCCTTTTTCTGGATTTGCATAAGTGGCTAACATCTTTTGTATACGTTAAACTGCAAATGAAATGGGTAATCATGCTTCGCCAAAGCTGAATAAAATTCTCAACAAGCATATGGAACCATGATTAAGTTGTTCTCTCTGAGCTAAATTAGAACAGTCCACATAAGAGTCCCTCATATGACTCATAGTTATAACTTTCCAGAAATGACATAGATGATCAACTGGATTTGTGTTTCCACTGTACAAGTTCAAACATGTCACCAAACTGCATAGGAGCACTGCACTTCTCATTGATATGGTTCTGTGGTGGCGGCGGCCGCAGCGGTGGTACCGGTGGTGGTACTATGAATTGGGTTATTGAAACAAGAGAGGAAAGAAGACAATAGAGAGAAAATGAGAAAGAACTGAAGGGAAAAGGTCTACGAGGGTATTTTCAAATGAGTTTCCTTTTAATTAAAAGTGTTGACATACGAGGGTATTTTGGTCCAAATAATTATTGTTGAAATGGTCATTTAAAATAGTCTATAAGGTTCATTTAGTCATTTAGCTGCACAGAAGGGTAGTTTTAGCATCTCATTTTATTTCTTTAACCGGCTTTTAACTGGACTAGCGGTCAACTAATGGTAGGGGACGTTGAAGTTATTTCAAACAAACCTCAAGGGAGGTTTACTATTATTATTTTTTTTGTTTCCAGAAGTTTAAGTTGAAGGTAATTAACCCAAACCTCTAGGGAGGTCAGGTTAATTTACTCAAATAAAATTGACATTTCTTAATTTGTAAATATGGAGTTTCATACTTATTTAATTTGCAGGACTGTTCAGGGACTAGAGATCCAATTGGAGAACCCCTGGTGACCAGTTACAATAGGTGTTTCCAAGGCACAGTTGATTACATATGGTAAGTACTCATTAGCACTATGTTCCTGTCATTCTCTGTGGTACTGTGGACACATCATTAATGTATTTGAGATTTAGTTTCAGATTGTGATCTTACATCTTTTTTTCTTTTTTTTCCTTAATAAAGTAGCTCAAAGCAATGTATAGTAGGGTGAAATTTTGTATTAATTCATTTCAACACACAGGCGCTCCGAAGGACTTCAAACTGTCAGGGTTCTTGCTCCTATTCCTAAACATGCAATGCAGTGGACTACAGGATTCCCCACAAAGGTATGTCAGTGTTTTAATTTTGAAGTCGATACATTTAAGTTCTCTGAATCAATGCCTAAATTGCAAGTTATGTAGTAATAAAACCATTGGTAGCCAATCATTATGTCAGAGACCTGAAATTTTATAACCTATGCTTTGTTAATAGTTTTTGGAAGACTGTGGATCATCTCCTTGCACTAGATAAAAACAGGTGGGGAGTCTCATGATGAGATTGATCCTGCCTTCTGCATTTTTATGCCAGTATCTATTCACAATAGAGTCGAATGTGTCCTTGTATCACATCTGAACAACTAGTGGGGTAAGAATGTTTTAAATATGCTTTTTCTGACATCAGCCAAAGTTTAAAAGGAAATAGATGTGGGTTTAGAATGATTTTAAAATAATCATATAACAATTTATTATTATTTTTTCTCGGATAATTTAGTTGCATTTTTTTATACTCGAACTCACAATCCTATATTAAATTAGGTTGCATTTCTATAGATCATAAATGCAGGAATATATATATTTTTTCCTGAATGGGATAATTTTATAAATAGAAAAAAGTATACGTTACAGAAGATGTGAGGGGCATACCCCTACATTACAGCATAAAACCGAAGAAAAAGGAATGATTTCATTCATTCTGGAAGAATTAAGGGACATTACCTAGTGTGGTCCCTCTAATTGAGGGTACTCAGGGGGGTGCACTAGATATTAGACCTAACCTTTGGTATTAATTGTTCAAAGTGGTTGCCAGCACCAAGCAATGCCCCCTATTCCGGAACACTTTGATATTAGAAAATTTAGGAAAGGTTGTTGTCATAACTAAAAATGAAGTTAGGAAAGGTTGTTGTCATAACTAAAAATGGGCACAGTTCAGAACATCATATTGGTATGAATATAAAGGAAATTCAATTGTATTCAACAATTGTAATTGTTGTTAGGCATAGCTCTTGTTTATGTCAGAGCTCTCCACCTCATTGAAAAAAATTGCTTTATTATATGCTAATATGAAAATACTCGTGAAATATCACCTTTCTATTAGAAAATAAAAATAAAAAATAAGATCAACCGTGTGAGAAATGTGCTATTATAAACTCATTAGTTTTCAGTAAGACACGTTTAAGAGGTTGATTTGTTGGCTGTGATTTTCAGAAATGGGGGAGCGATCATATTGCGTTGGTTTCTGAGTTGGCATTTACAAAAGACATGGTTAATCAAAATACAGAAGCTCAGTAGTAGCTGACAAGTCTTGCAACACTAGGCTTGCATCAAAACCGAACTTATACCATCAAGTTTTAGGTAATGGTCCTTGTTGAATCAAATCACCAATTTTCTTCCAACAGCTTTTGGTTAGCCCTAGTCCCTTCTAGATTTATCATTGTATATATGTTGTTTCTAATTCTCAATTAGTTGCTTGTGTTATAACAGGACCTAATTAATTTTATTGTTTCCACAAGTACAAGACATTTTTTTTTCAATATTATTAATTGGTTAATACACTTGACATTCAGACATTTTCTTAAAAATCAATAAAGGAAAATTTCATAGCAATGTCTGTTTGGTATCTATGTGTTACCACGTACCCAGACTAGGATATAAGTTGGATCAGATTTACATCTTATTCCTGTATTGAGTTGCCAAATGGTGGAATCTTAATGGCCATTTCACTAACTTCAATGTTAACTTGTTTAACTAACTTTTTGTGCAATTTATTCTGGACCTTGTCATTGTGCTCATTCTGTGTGTGTGTGTGTACTCTGTGTGCCATGGTTTTGTTATTTAACCATTGTTTGGTGTGTTCTAGAGTTGCCAAATGGTGGAATCGTAAAACAGCGGGGGGTGTGTGTGTTGTGTGTGTGTGTGTGTTTATTACACTTATTTGGGAAGTTTGTATAGTCCATGTGGACCCAATGCCACAGGTCACATGACATATACGGAGTAATAACCTGGAGACAGCTAATAAAAATCAAAGAAAATGGGAGGTGTCATGTGACCCACATGTAAAGCTTCTATCGTTTCTACCACAGAAATAGCATGAGACCGACCACTTTTTGTCTTCTTCTTACCTTTTATTTTCACACTGTGCTAGATTTTTTTTTTTTTTTTTTTTTTAGCACTTACACCAGACCAGATGGTCATCCTCTCATCTCACGTCGAGTACGCCATCCCCTCAGTTATTGAATTGAAAGACTTTTAAGAGCGGTTGAATGAGTGTCCAGTTATATCCCTCACTTATTAAATTGAAAAACTTTGAGAGCGACTGAATGACTTTTAGAGCAGTGCGGGGGTGCTCAAAATTTAGCATTTTCTTTACACCACTGCAAGCACCCGTTGTTAGCGTTTTCTGAGCTTTTTTTGCTACAAAAATTATGATAATACACAGTAAAGCTGTTGATGTCTACCTAGTGTGGGCATTTTACTCGAATGACATGTGACGTCTTCTGAAAATGGCAGATTGTTTATGTGGGGATGCCCTAGAGAAACCGGTATAAGGCCTTTGTTGCTAGCCAGGAAGTCAGTATTGCTAGTGTTTGGCTTGGTATAAGGCTGGCAATTTGTGGGATCTAGAGAAAGAATAGCAAAGGACATAGCAACAGAGAACAATGGTCTTTAATCCAAAAAAAAAAAATGGTCTTTAATCCAAAAAAAAACAGCAGATAACAATGGTGTTGAGGGCATGACTGGGCCCACAACTGCTGCAACAGCTCTTTTTTTTTTTTTTTTTTTCTTTTGGTTTTTTTCTTTACTATTTCCTTTTATATGTAATTTATTTTTATTGTAAAATAAATATTTATGAATAAATAGGTGTATTAAAAATTCTTTCGGTTGACCTAGGCCTCTCTACCCCGCGTCACATGCCAGCTTATCAAATATTAGAAATTTTCTTTCGGTTTTCTAGAATCTATAAATAAATCAGAAAATTTTGATTGCCATCCAATTTAGAATTCTTTTTTTTTTTTGGTGAATTTTCTTCCTTGAATTTCGATAACCTTTTTTTATTTATGTCAGAGTGAAAAAAAAAAAAAAAAAAAAAAAAAAAAAAAAAAAAAAAAAAAAGAAGGTAATTTTCTCATTTATTTTTCCAAAATTAATCAAAGGTTGTAATGGTAAAATGTTGTAGAGATTTTTTGCTTGTTGGAATGGTAAATTTTGTACATACTAACGCAACAAAATTGAATAGAACGGAGAGAAGAAGATAGGAACGAAACATCTACAGGGAAGATATTGTGATTTAGGGGTGGCAAAGTTTGACACGATCAATCAACACGACACGAGTTAAACGGGTTTTATTGACCTTAAACGGGTTCAATCGATTAACCCATTTAATTAATTATGTCGTGTTGGGTTGAGGTAGTTCAACCCGTGTAACCCGTTTAATTATAAGTGTCGTAAATAAATTTATATTTAAGTTTCAAAATAATTATCTAAATGTCTTATAATTTATTCTTATATTTTTCTAATATTTATTGTTTGATGGAGTATTATTAATAATTTAAATAAAATACTTTTTATTTTAGTAAATAGGTCATTAAATGGGTTACACATGAAAAGTTTTACACTCTTAAAACTTTGAGTAAATTCATTCACACTCCTGTGGTTAAATCATATTTCACCTGCATTAACATTTTGGTTTTAGATTTCACTTGTATTTGAATTAGTAGTTTAACATTTCACTTACACCCCAAATGTCAATTTTAATTGAATCAAAATAATTTTGAGGTGTTAAATAACTATATTACCCTTTGACCTCATATTGACTATTTTTACAAACCACTACCCATCACAATCACCACTGCCACCCGCCTCTGTCATGAACCTTCCTCTCTCTCTCTCTCTACCTTTCTTTTTCGCCTTCCATATCCAAGCAGACTTCCTTTTCACATAGGCTCTGCGCTCTGGCTATCTTCCTTGTCATAGGCTTTGCTTTGTAGGAGATTCATTTTTTACTTTTTTCCTCAGATAGACGAGAAAACTATAAATCCTCATAGATTTCCCAACAACAAGTCTTTCAGGATCAAAAAAAACTTCCGGCGGGGGAGAGGGGCTTCGCTCTCAAATCCCAACTCCCAATCGCCTAATCTCGACCAACCAGTTTCAATTTAGGTCAATCTCTGTTCACAACTAAAAGGGAAGTCAGCGATGGGAGGATATTCAGCCCACCCAACCAAGAAAGATCTGCACCCGAGGCTACCGAATTGACAACACTGTTGCCACCCGAATTGCCGCCACCGTCGCCGTCGAAGTTGCAGTGATGGACGTCACGATTTTGGTTCGTTCACCCACGTGGCGCGTCAGATTACCATCACCAACAGCAGGGGTGCTTTCCGGTTTGGTTGGTCGCTGATCTTCACGTTAATGGGCGCCGGAGTCGGAGAGGATGCTGGCGTTGACAGCGGGGATGTTGACGACTCCGCCGCCTGCTCGGTCTGTGTGGATACCGTTGCATCCGTGGTCACGATTTGTGGACGTCGCAGATCGATTCGTCAATGAGGATGGGTTTTGGGGATGGTGGAAGGTGCGGACAGAAAGGAAAGCCGCAGATCGATTAGGATGGGTTTTGGGGATGGGTTATGCCGCAGATCGATTCGCTGATGAGGATGGGTTTTCTGCTCGGTCGATTTTCGGTGATGGGTTAATGGTGGTGGTTGTGAGGATAGAGGTGGGGATGGTGGCAGTGGTTTGATATATGTGGTGGTAGATGTCGGGATGGAGATGGTGGCCGTGGTTTGGGATAGGTGGTGGTGGATGTAGGCGAACTTGAAGGAGCTGTACACGAATTGGTTCATCAGATGGAGCCAAAGATGGTGGTGTTGGGGTAGGGATAGGGGCTCTTTTGTCAGTTAAGATTATATATATTTTGTATTAAAAAATTGAAGGTAAAAGGATCAATTCACATGACTAGGGTGTAAGTAAAAGTTAAAACTAAAATTTTCATCTGCCTGAAATATAACCTAACCTCAGGCAGTGTCGGTGTAATTTACCCTAAAACTTTTACAATAATCATCCCTCTCTTCTCTTTTCTCTTTGCTTTCTCTCTATCAAACCAAACAAATGAATTTTGTTTCTTACTTTCTATCTTATTTCCACCCTTCTTCCTTCCTTCTCACCAAATAAAGGATAAAAGAAAAACTACTTTAAAAAAATTGAACCTAAAATAATGTAAGCCATCAATTTGGACAATATTTGTCTACTCACCAGTGAGTAGGTTATTCCTGTTAATTGTTAATGTGGTCCAATTATAAATGTACAAATGATTCATAATTACAAAATCAAGAAAGTAATAAATAAAGGCAATAACTCTTTTTAGATTAATTTATTCACCCACCGCCTTTCTTTTTTCGACAAAATAAATTCTTGAAATGCTGAAGTCCTTTCAAAGTGCAAATATGGCAAACTAGTCATTATGTCTAAACTGTATCATTTCAAATTCTTTCATTTTTTATTTATTTTTCTTTAAAAAAAATTATACACACCATTATATCTTTCTTTTCCTACCCTTTATCTTTCATTTTGAATTCTCTCCAACAAATTAGCCTTTAAGGCCCACGCGACCACCATCATAAAAAATTGGGAAGGTTCGTAGCAAGTCCGCGATTTCAGATGCTGTCCGGACCCAAACTCCATTATTTAACATCACCATCAACTTATCAACCCGTCTTAAGTTGTTAACCATTAAAAAAAGAATATCCCAAACTCATAATTTAACATCACTATCATCACGCATGCTATGCTGTTAACTATAACTATATAGTGTGTATATATAGGTGGGTGTGTGTGTGTGTGTGTGTGTGTGTGTGTGTGTGTGTGGGGGGGGGGGGGGAGCCTTTGGTCCCGATGGAGGTCCCCCATGTACCCACGGGACGAAAAAAAAAAAAAATTATTAGTAATATACTTGTTAATTTGTTTTTAAAAATTATATACTAATAAAATATTATTATTGCCCCTGAAATCACTAAAAGAAAATTTATTATTGTTCCCTTCACAGAATTTAGTTTCCTTCAATAAATCCAAGTACTTGGACTCGGCTCAAGTATTATTTTTTTTAAGGAATTATTTATTAAAAAATTAACAAGGTTGAATTGATAGATTTAGTATTAAAAAATTAGGAAGGTTATATTTTTACTCCACTTTAGACTATTGCACTTCAATCTTAAAGAAAATAACATTTTTATCCCTAATTTTAAAAATTAATAATTATTTTTCTCAAATATCACAATTACTTTTTTCAGTTACGGTAGGATCTTTTTGTTTCCTCTATATTTTCCAATTAATATTTTTGATAGCTTGTTTTTTTTGTTAACTCGCTTCCTGCCATTTTAATCTCTAACTTTCTCTCTTCTCTCTTGTTAGGGTATGATATTAATCTTTGTAAGTAATAATAAAAGATTTTACAAATGAAAAAATAATGTAATTAATCTTGTTAGAATAAAAAATATTGAATAACTATTAAAACTTTATGAACCATTAAACTCCTTTGATGATAATAGTGATGAAAATGGTAATTTATTTATTTTTTTAAAATTAATTTGGATGGTGATGGGAATGGTACTTAATATATATATATATTATGTTTTATGCTTTGAGTTTAGTTTGATTTTTATTTTTCCCGTGATTTTAAATAACTAATTTGAAATTTATTTGAATCTTTAAGTTTACCTTCCTACCTTAAATAAATATAGTAAAGAAAGTAAATGAGGTAACAAAAAAAAATTTATAGTGAAAATGATAAATGTAATATTATAAAATGAGAAATGATGCATTAATGAGTTTAAGGGTCTTTTTATCATTTTTGTTAAAAATAAAAATAATCTAAAAAACTGTTTTAATAATTTGGGTGGTCCATGCTCATTTAAAGTATGAGTATGACATAAAGTCGAATATAACATTTCCTCAATTTATTATTGCTTTTCAATTTGAATAAGAAATCTTATAAAAAATAAAAGAAAAATAATTATTATACAGAATAATTGTAATGAATTGTTGGACATAATTTTTAAATAAGGAACCCTCTACAATCTCCATTTAAATATATTTAATATAAATAATTAATTAAAAATTTATAAAAGTGTTCGAAGCAAATATCAGTACCTAAAACAAAAATAAGAGAGTAATACTTAGGTCCTCGTTGGTGAAGATTTACACCATTCTCATTAATAAAAATTTATACCATCCTCACTAATAATATAAATTAATAATAAATAAACATATCATCACAAATAATTTATTATTAATCCATATGACCGGCGAGGGAAATGTAAATCCTCACCGGTGAGGAACAAGTACCATTCAAAATAAAATTGAACACGGAAACCGAGGGCAGACAAGTCAGAATTGAGTCGCGCAAGAAAAAAAAAACCGTTGGTTTATCCGACCTTGACTAGTCTCTGGTTTAAAGTAGGGTCAAACATCATGTGCGTGTGTAGGCTGTCACACGTACACACTCGCACCACCCAAGCTTGAAATTTCAAGGGGGTCCCACACGGTTCCTTTCTGTAAATCGCTGGTGGGTCCCGCACAAAAAGTTGTACCTGTATATAGAACATACAATGCAATTACAGCTCAATTCTGTTCACCTTTCGCCACACGGAGTCGCTTAGCAAAATTTGGAGTTTTAAAAATCAAAACCTCTCTGTTTCTCTCTCTAAAACGCGCTCAGAATCTCTCTCTCTAAACGTCGTCACACATTGGTTTCTCCGGCGAAGACTTGGTGATATATGGTTGAGGAATTCATCACTCAAAGGTCAGTTTTAGATTCAATTTTCTCTACTGGGTAATTTGTATTTTTTCTGATACATGTATGGGTTTTATCATTTGTGTGCTTAATTTTTTTGGGTAAACATTCCTTAGATCTAATCTACGATAGCATAGATGAACATTTTATGTATGTATAAATGCTGAGAAGTGTTGATTTTGGTATATGTATATATATATATATATATATTTATTTATTTATATTGGTTATCTTGTTTTGCAGGGATTTACGGGGTTTTCTTTGAATTGCAGTTGGTGATTAATTTGTGAGACTTTCCCTAGAAAGTTGTGATTTTGATATCACAATTGGTTAGGTTAGACATTTTCTGAGAAACCCACCCTTTTCTTGCGAGTGTATAGATCTTAGGAATTCAAACTGCAATGCTATGGTAATATGTTTGCCATATGCATTTGAACCCAATTAGCTGATAGAGGTGTCACTAGATGCCCAGATCTTAAAATCCCATTTCTATTCTGCCATCAATCTTCAATTTTTTCCCGGAAAGCTTGAAAAATCTTCATTTTTCTCAGGAAAGTTCAAAATTGTCTGCTGACTTTGGATTGGTTGCATTGATCTTGATCCATTATAATCCAACCCATCTCATCTAAATCTACCAAAATGAGCGAATCAAAGCCGGTCACACCCTTACTCCAACCATCTTCATCTCGGAAGCTTCCTGATTTCAAAAAGTCTATCAAATTGAAGTATGTAAAACTCGGATATCATTACCTCATTACCCATGGAATGTATTTATTTCTATCCCCCCTGGTCGTTATTATTGCTGCTCAGCTGTCTACTTTCTCACTCCAGGATCTTTATGTTCTTTGGGACCATCTAAGATTCAATCTCATATCGGTGATCGTATGCTCGACCCTTCTTGTCTTTCTATCAACCCTCTATTTCCTTACTCGCCCTCGTCCAGTTTATCTTGTGAATTTCTCGTGCTATAAACCAGAAGATGCTCGGAAATGCACGAGGCAGATCTTCATGGAGCGGTCCAAATTGACGGGTTCATTCACTGAGGGGAACCTCGAGTTTCAGAGGAAGATTCTTGAGAGGTCTGGCCTTGGTGAATCAACTTACCTGCCCGATTCTGTCCTAAGAGTGCCTCCAAATCCATGTATGGCAGAAGCAAGAAAGGAAGCAGAGGCTGTAATGTATGGTGCCCTTGATGAGCTCTTTGCGAAAACCTCTCTAAAACCGAAGGACATTGGGATTCTAATTGTGAATTGTAGCTTGTTCAATCCGACACCATCACTATCTGCAATGATCATTAATCATTACAAGCTCCGAGGGAATATTATTAGCTATAATCTCGGTGGGATGGGTTGTAGTGCCGGTTTAATCTCAATTGACCTTGCTAAAGATCTTCTTCAGGTCCATCCCAATTCATATGCAGTGGTAGTCAGCATGGAGAACATCACTTTAAATTGGTATTTTGGGAATGAGAGGTCGATGCTTGTTTCAAATTGCTTGTTCCGAATGGGGGGAGCTGCAATTTTGCTTTCAAATAAGAGTTCTGACCGACGCCGATCTAAGTACAGATTGGTCCATACAGTTCGAACCAACAAAGGAGCTGACGATAAATGCTTTTCTTGTGTTACCCAAATGGAGGACCCCAATGGAAAGGTTGGGGTTTCATTGTCAAAGGATCTGATGGCAGTTGCAGGGGATGCTCTGAAGACTAATATCACCACCTTGGGCCCTCTTGTGCTTCCAATGTCTGAACAGTTGCTTTTCTTTGCGACGTTGGTTGGGAAAAAGCTTTTCAGAATGAAGATAAAGCCTTATATCCCCGATTTCAAATTGGCTTTTGAGCACTTCTGCATTCATGCGGGGGGAAGAGCTGTACTGGATGAATTAGAGAAGAATTTGCACCTTTCAGATTGGCATATGGAGCCCTCCAGGATGACACTTTATCGATTTGGCAACACTTCAAGCAGTTCTCTTTGGTATGAATTGGCATATTCGGAAGCCAAAGGGAGGATAAAGAAGGGAGACAGAACATGGCAAATAGCATTTGGGTCCGGGTTCAAGTGTAACAGTGCAGTTTGGAAGGCTCTGAGGACTATAAATCCTGCAAAGGAGAAGAACCCATGGATGGATGAGATCGACTGGTTCCCAGTGGATGTTCCAAAGGTCGCAGCCATATAAAATACAAGTAATTATTTTTCATTCATCAGCAGTGGTATTATGGTGAAGGATATTTGGCGTTGAGTGGTTAAATCTTCTTGTTTTTTCATTAGTGGCTGAATCGGTTCTTTTCAGGTGCTGCAGGGATTTAACTAGAATATGCATCTACTAATCTGCATTTTAGGATAGAAAAAGTAGTAGTCTATTCTTCAATCTGTTTGTTTTTCTTATTCTTCTTTTTTGTTTTTTTCTCAGTGTAGTTCGGTGGTGCTTTTGGGTTCATGGATATGTGTGTTATAGTTCGTAGGCATTTAAGGACTATTTATTCTGTGTATTCTGGGACTAGCCAAAGTTTTATTTTATTTAGTAGGAAGCTGGTGTTCAAATTGGTTGCTGTCTAGGGATTTCATTGCAGATTTATATTGAGCTAGGACCAGAAAAGAAGATATTGTGCTTCTTGTGTTAACTTTTTCAGGAATCGTCATTTGGGGTGTTTGGGTGGGATTGATGTATATTGATCATACGATGTATATTGATCATGATGTTTTCCTCTTATTTATTCATCTTCACCAGCATTTGTTGAAGAGCTGATCATTTATTTGTTTTGTTTATGTGTGGAACTGGTGATTGATGTCAAATGGATTACTATTTGTTGCTAGCTTTTGTGCCCCTCTGTTTTGAATATATACATATATATACACATGTATGCATGTATTGCTTCTGCTAACTTGCCCTTCTTGGCTGGAGGTCTTCTTTCTTATGTCGCCTTCAAAGTAGGGTAGTAGAATAGCAAATGTCCTCTAGCCAGCCAGCGCTCGCATTAAGATCCTAACCAGGTCATACATACAGAGAAGTTTTCCCTTTTTATAGAGAACAGGGCTACTAAATCCAGCCAAAGCTATACCTGGCATGACAGGTTTAACATAACCTGCTGACCACCTTCTACTGGGAAGAAAGATCCTGCTTTGGGGGAGGGAATCGGTCATGCTAGCTCGAATCTCATACAACTGTGTTGGTTTAGGGAAGAGATCGACTGTCCTATCATTGTTTCCTTCTTTTAAATGATTTAGTTCTATTTTGTTGGCAAATTGGTGTGGACACCTTTCCGTTGCTAGTTTTTGGTGAAAAAAAAGAAAAAGAAGAAAAAGGTGGCTATTATTTTGGAAAACCCTAGTACTGGATCATTGAGACTTGTGTTTGAGGTTTCAAAAGGAATTAAGGAAATATGTTGCTTCAAAATTATTATAAAATTACCTTTTACTACAACATTGTTCTTCTGATTTTGTGAATCACATACCTGATCTGTTTGTTCTTGAATCTTTCTGCAAGTTTGGTTGCTACATGAAGAAGTTTAGGAGATGTTGATAGTGAAGAAGCTAACTGATGTGTATCAATCAAAGCTAGGATCTTGAATTTCCTGCCATAATTGTTTGGTATTGAGAAATCTTTGGGTGTCACTGGAATGTAAATGGTTCTGAATTTGAGTTGCAATTTTACTATTATGAGTTGTGGATGGATGATGAATGTAAAATAAATAAAAAGTGCATATATATATATATATGAGTTTCTGAATTGAGAATGTGTATAGCTTTTGGTGCATGTCTAGTTGGAGTCTTGGAGAACAGATATGCTTTGGATGTGACATAGGGGAGTACTGGATCTGGTTAAAAGTGCAACACCCATTACATCGAGAATGTACCATCATTACTTTTGAGTGTTGCATTATCTAAGTAATTGTGATCACGATCTTGAACATCACATCGAGAATATAACATACACAATACTCATTACATCAAGTATGCAACATATAACAATGTTGCTTTGAGTGTTTTTATTCCCTTTGTATGTTATTTCATTTTCGATATGATAGTGTTGTATGTGTTTCATTCTCGTACTCAATGTCATGGGTGTTGCATTTTTAATTTTTAATGTGCGTTAGTTAGAAATATGTTGAATTGCATTAGAATAATAATTTTTTAAAAGTTTAAAATAGTAGGCTAATACGGAATACTTGAATTTATGGAGAAAAAATAAATTAATAAAATGTAAATTTAATATAAGAGCCGAATGTTAATAATATAACCATCGCACTTCAAAATGAAAGAATTATCTATGGTAACCATTTTTTACATCTAGGCTTAATAAATAATACAGGAGGATGGCGAGATATATGACGATATTATTAGTAGAATTGAATCAGGTTGAACAAATGGAGATACGGTAGAAGAATAACAATTAAATTTTTTTTAAAAAAAATTATAGAGCAGTTATTAGGCCTACTATTTTATATGAAGCTAAGTTTCGGACTATAAAAATAATAATAACAATTAAATTTATAGAAAAAAAATTATAATACCAATATGAACAAATCCAAGACTTCCTTATAGAGATATTAAAACTACCATAGTTTGTTTATTCTTATATCTATAAAATTGAAATTTAACTTAAAAAAAAATAAATAAATAAAAATAAAAACCTACCATTGCGATTGGAGGGGCAGAAAGCTGGATCAATTCTGCTATATGTTAATTCATATAATTCAGATCACACAACAAATTTAAATAACTATTTCTCAGATTTTGTAGTCCCTAATATAAATAAATACTAAGAAATGATAAAGGGAGAACAAAAATAACGAAAATTAATAAATAAATATATTAGGGTTCAAGATATTCATTACAATTACGTCACCAAACCAACTTTGCAACCCATGCGATCAATAACAGAACAGAGAATGATAGCTGTCCCAATCAGCTTTTCTTCTTCTTTTTTTATTTTTTTTATTTTTTAAATACCAACTAGCCACCAATAGAAAATCTAAAATATACATACTACACAACTAAAATAGTAAACCAATACTATTCACTACATGACATCCAGTATTTCAGCACACGGCATGAAAGCAGATTATCATTAAGAAGTTACTCCTTTGATGACTTGTTGATGAGTGACTTGTGGATGTGTGGGATTACACCACCGCCGGCTATGGTTCCTTTAATGAGGGTGTCAAGTTCTTCATCACCCCGTATTGCAAGCTGCAAATGCCGAGGAGTGATACGCTTCACCTTCAAATCCTTGCTTGCGTTACCCGCCAACTCCAACACTTCAGCAGTCAAGTACTCTAAGATGGCTGCAGAATACACAGCAGCCGTTGCACCAACTCTCCCGCTAGCTGTGGCCCTTGATTTCAGGAGACGATGAATCCGACCCACAGGGAACTGAGGAAATATGTATAGAAGCAAACAATCAGAGAAATTTAACAGTTAATACAGCATCTATCAGCAAATTAAGTATCAAATGTAAAAGAATGTTTAGGTGTTAATACATGAGTTACCCAAAAAAAAAAAAATCCTTGCATCAACTGAAGAAATACATATATGCCTCTAAGGAGCAACAACTATTATCTCAAGCTCAATTATTTGAAATGAGATAAGCCTTGCTGCAGTCTGGAAACATAATTTTGTTAAACTTTGGAGGTTATGAAAACAGGCGGCCAACCAAGGAGAATAAGATGAACAGGAAGAATGAGGGATTTTGAATTTTGCATCCTTCAAAGTGCATATAGATGACCTTATAAAATGGAAAAAGGTATCTTTCAACATCCACTGGTACCTCCTTTACCATGGGGAGGTGTTGAATAGGTAGAATTCTATATACATTGTATTTCTAGTTTTTGCTCTTTATGTAGCTTTTAGAATTCATAATTTTGTCTCAAAACTGTACTCCATTAGCCATACATAGGACGGGACATTTGGAAGAGGTGACATAAACAGCAAAACGTATATTAATATTCGGACCATTCTTCATATATATCATGTTCATTTGCCATTTTCTAGGTTGAGTTAACCACTAAACACCTCCCAGAAATTCTCAAGGTAGGGTTGACTAGCGAAACAGCATTGGCCTGATGGGTAACTGATTCCCAGATGATAGAATTTCATCACTGGTAAGTGGCAACTAAAAAAACTGTTATCGTATGAATGGCAAAAATTTACCTTTTATATAAGCATATTATGCATTCTTAATGAGGGTGTATAACTTCTCATGCTTTTAAAGGTTCGATTAATAAGTTTCAAAGTCTCTTATGTTGGTGCTAAGCAGTAGTTTACCATATTTAGTTCACAACTATAGCAAATTCATTTCTTTGGTAAAATGCCAAAAGAATTGGATGGGATGATCACCCAAATATCTGAATCTGTGTTGCTCGCGTACTCTTACTGGGTAAAAAAACATGCAATAAACATAAAGGAAAAACTAATATATACACGTATTCAAGAAGAATGCCACCCATATGATCTCAACTGATTTCCGATAAACAAAGTATAAAAATCTTATTTAGTAGGCCAGGCATCTGCTCATCAAATGTACCATATTTACTAAAAGTTTTCAGCTTTGACCAACTCTTGTTAGAAAAATTAACCTCGATGCATACACACAGGAAGCATGTGAACAGACTTCACAAATCTACATAACATAGATGTAGCAGATCTAGTAGGCACTTCTTACAGGCGGGAGAGCAATGAGAAATATATTAGATCGCCTAAAATGCACCAGAAAAATTATCCTCATAATAAAATATGAAAACGAATCAGCATACAATAGTCAATATTTTGCACATGCTATGAAAAGAAGCACTTTACAAGTATGGAGTTTAAACTACACTTCTAATTCCTAAATAGCATTATAAATAGGAACAATCAATTTGAGAGATTGATTTGAGTTCCCTTGTCACATACAATTCCGTGAATCAAAAGAGAGGTGGGTGGGAACTATATATAGAGACACCACAATTGCATGTTAAACTAACTGTGCTTTGTGAAACCTAACTACAGTAACTTCCAGCCAATTTCTGATTTGCTAAGCAAAAACTCTACTAAAAAAAAGCTCATTAGGAGCTAAAGTCAGTAACTTTAACCATCATACCAGAGTAGTTCAAACAAAATAAAAGACTTACGCAAGGGTGGCATGTGTAGGCAACTCATATGCAACAACAGTCTATTTTCCATCCAGCTCTGTTTTCACACACAGTCCATATTATACTTGCTTAACAAATCCTCATAATTTTTGAGCACTTCAATCTTCATGAGAGAGAAGCTGAGAAGTGAAGAAGGAGAGTATAATTCTTTCACATCATGAGGTGATCTGGTGTAACCCAAACAATATGGTTGTGGAACCTGGGAATTATGGGTGGATATTAACTTAGGTGAAGCTTTCTCAGAGCTTTCAGGCCCTACCAATATTGTCATATATATATATATATATTTTGGGAGATTGTTTAGACTTTCAGTTTCCAATCAAAAAGTTTTTTTTTTCTTTTTTTTTTTTGCATAATTTTATTGTGTCCATCTTGACACACACATGCACATACTAAAGAATCACCAAAAATAATTCTGATCATCCCTTCTATTGAAGGGAGACTAAACTGCCCAGTTTTGTTAGTTTTCTTGTTTTGCCATTAAGAAATTGAGTTCTTGATAATTATAAGGAGTATGTGACAAGAAAGGCCACTTCCCTCCCCTATCTCTTACTTCTTTACTTAGAGATTTTAGCTTTCTTGCATAAGAAGCATGGACACGGGACACGGGACACGGACATGGATACGCCGACACGTCAAATTCTAAAAAAGTAGGACACGGCGTGGACACGCCACGGCTAATATAAATATAAATTTTCATTTATATATTTACTGAACAATACAATTATAGTAATTTGATTACCTTATAATTTATATACTAAAGTTACATAAGTTAGAAGGTTATATGATACTACTATTCTATGTTGTCATTAAGTTTATGTTTTTGTTCATATTACACATTTTTTTTTTTTTTAATGATAAAGCAAACACACACACCCTTTTTGCCCACGCCCGGGCCCAAACCCCTCCCCTCCTCTTTGAGGATCGCGAGGTTATACCACTAGGCCAAAGGCCCTTTAGTGTTCATATTACATAATATGACACGTGTTTAATGTCAAATTTTTAAACAAAAAGAGGTTGGATACTTCAATATATATTCACAATGTTGTCTCTAGGACTGCCATATGTTTGCTTTATATAAGACAGAGTGTGGGATACATTGTCAAGTGTCCGGAATGTGTTGACCAAGTGTCCGAGATGTGTCGGTCAAGTCTAGCAAGTGTCCGAAATAATAAAAATTATTTTAAATCATGGACACAGTTATGAAGTGTCGGAGACGTTCCCATGAGTGTCCATTAAGTGTCGGTGTCGGACACCGACACGACACCTCATAGAAGTTTTCATGCCTCTTAGGTTTTTATAGTTAGTTTTGACAGAGGATAATCTTAATCTCCCATAGAAGAGACTGATCTACAATGCTTTACAGTATTGACTTACAAGAACTTTATTGATTCATTGCAATTTGGGGACATTTGTGTATTTCAGAGCTTTGCTTATTTGGGGGTCCCCTCTATTGGCATTCTTGGTATGTAATATAATAGCATTTACTTACTAAGAAAATGCCCATTTCCTTATCAAGCTTATTAAATCCATCTCTTTGATTGTTATACAGAATTACTCTTTTGAAGCCACAAAATAACCTTCCAGCCTGCTTTTAGAACTAATTATTCTATTAAGCTCCCAGTCCAATGCATCCTTCTTATCTTCCTAGGTTTGTCTTTCAGCAAGATAAATTTTACACTTTTGACACCACCTAATTTTTGGAATAAATTCATAACTAAATTCTTTTACCGCTACACACCAGCATATCCACATAAACTCTTTCATTTGGGTATGGCAAAATAGTTTATACCCCGTCTGGAAAACTCTTCTTATTCAAGGAGCCACTTCTCCTTGGCATACTTCAAGACTTAAATATGAAGGAGGAGCTTCAAATGGTAAGCTTCACTATGCAGCATGAGATCAAAGAAGAAGCAACTACTCCCAAGACAATATAATATCTTACCCCTTAAAATAGCCCAGAATTTCAATTTGGAATAGAAACTAATTAAAAAAAAAAAAAAAAAAAAGACACAATGTTGTAATGGTTTCAAAGATAAGAATTTCGGACACAAATCTCCATCCCAATCAAATTTTCTCTCTCGTCTGTCTGATGGCCGGGTTTCAAGTGTGATATGTTGGCCTTTCATAATTTTACAATTTACTTCATTGTCAATCTACCAAGTGGTAACTCCTAAAATATGATTTTATCTACAATTTGTCTATTGAGTTTGGTTTTTGTGCAGTACGCACGACAAGATATACAGAAGTACCGCACTCTTTCAACGTTTTCCTGATTTTGACACATTGAAGATTTGCTGTTGTAATTTGGAATAAATTGCAACTTCACATAATGTAGAAGTTCAACAATTACAGTCAAATTGAGTTTCCTCTCCTTAATTGAAGTAATTCCATTCTTTTCAGCCTCCCCTACCCTCTTTCCATCTTAGAAAGAGTTGTGCCATTTTTCTCATTATTATCTGATAACAAAGTAGAAGCCAAGATATGGAAAAGAGATTCTGCTTCTCGACATTGTGCACACGAATTCGGTCCAAACTGTGATCCAACCAGATCCATGCTGGTTATTTTGGTTTTAAATTTTAAAGAGGGATTGGTTCGGTTACAGTTCCATTTTTTTAGAAATAGTACAGATCGGTTCGGTTATGGATCGAGTGTGGAAAAATCCAATCCAATCCAAACGGATATATATGTACATTAAGCTTTATATGATTGGCTTTCTATACTTTATAATTCTCAATGAACAAGTTGTCACTATTTATTTTGTCTAAGATTCATATTTTCTCCCACATATTCATGCAATATTCATCTATATCAATTTTTTCGTAGTCCTTTTTGGCGACTAGTTCCTTATCAAGAGAAAAGCCTAATCCGTGAAACCATACAATCCGGTTTGGTGTGGTACGGATTGGTTCAGTTTCGATGCTCACTTTGGTTCGGGTTAATGAAACCCTTGGGATCGGATTGGTGATTTTGTAGGCAAACTGTGTGCTCCCCTAGTTTAACGTTTCTATAATACTAAAATCTCACTATGCAACTAAGTTCATTAGTAGTAGTAGCATTAGAAAGAGCTCTCCGTAAAGGTTATTGACTTACTGGGTCCCAGATAACTAAAAATCTAAATTCCCAAAATTCAGTTTCTTTCAATTTCCCACCTTTTCACATCAACCAAACAGATAATTTTGTTTAAACAGATTCTCACAAATTCAAATTAAACCCTTTGATACAGAAAACAGAAAGCAAGAATGCAAAAAACTCAATTAAACAATAAAAACCATTCTATTAGTGATTTAGTAAACATGAAGCAACATTAGAAGCAAAGATCGTATGTATATATATATATAGAGAGAGAGAGAGAGAAGAGGACCTGAAGACCAGCACGAGAGGAGCGAGAGACGGGTTTTTTCTTGTCTTTGTCCTTGTTTCCAGCCGGGGTTTTCCCCATAATCAAACCTTTCGCGCCTTTTCCTGACATTTTTGCCGCGAGTCTTGTCACCGACGAATCAACTTCGGAGAGGAGAGAGGGAGAAGAGAGAGAGAGAGTCGCGAACGATGCGGGACCTGGGTCGCAGAGACCTCTTATAGGAAACTGGTTACAAATTTAACCCCGCAATTTTATTGTTATTACGAAAAGTTGCAGTATACTTTACTTCATTTACACTCCATTGGTTTTTTATAATTATTTTTTAAAATTTTACGTACTACACTTGTACAGTTTTTTTTTTTTTTTAAAAAAAAAAAGATTGTCTTTCGCTTCACTTTTGATTTTTTTTAAAAGACCGTCTTTCGCTTCACTTTTGATGAGTAGTTTTGTAATTTTCAAATGGAGTGTTAGTAAAGGAAATCTATAAAGAGATTATTATCGCGACCTAATAAGTACGCTTGTAAATGAATGGAATTCGGATTGAATCGATTAAATTCATATTCGATTTGTTAAGCAAACAGATTATCAGATTCGAATCACTAACTGGTTCTCAGATTAAATATCTCAATTCATATCATATTTAGATCAGACTCTGATCGAATTAGATTCGAATTCGAATTCGGATCTAAATCATATTTACTGACATATATAATTATAAAGTTAGATGAAGCCGATAATTGCTATATATAATTATAACATTGATATATAGTATATTGTAAATTATTTACTCTTTGTTAATGAATAAAAAGTATGATATTATTAGTAGGTATATTAAGAAATTTATTAGCATGTGGATGAGAACACTACACTATTGTATATATAACATTATGATTCTTTTTTTTTTTTTTGAAAAATTTTTGGGTTACCTCTAATACAATTTTAATAAGAGTATTGATATATATATGTGTGTGTGTGTGTGTAAAATTATTGATAAATAATTATATATCATTATTAACGGATATAATTTTAATGGGATCGAATCAGATTAATCGAATCAGCATATATAATTCATATTCAATTTGTTAAGCTAACGGATTATCGGATTCGGATCGTAATCAGATTATCGAATTTTTTGTTCAATCCATATCCGACTAATCGGATTGGATTCAGATCGGATCTGGATCAGGATCCGCTCCATTAACAGGTCTACTAATAAGTGCGGATATAATAAACAGGCCATTGACTTAGCCCGTATCAGGCTCCTGCTCCTCAAAATGAGGTATAAAAAAATAAGTACGTGATGCGACAAAACCCAAAAATATATATATATATATATATTTAAGGTACGACGGGATATGAAAAAAAATATAATAATTTTATATACAAAAAATAAATTTTATAATTTGTTTCACAACACATAAAACAAACATCCTTATTAATCACTTAATTAATGTTGCACTTTTTATAATAATTATACTATGTTATTATTATTAGAAAAGTTACATTTTAATTTTCAAAACTTTTTAAAAATATATTATGAAGTATATGAGAAGTATTGGATATGCTAAAAAGTATCGGATACGCATTAGAAATTAAAAAATATATTTAAAAATTATGAATGCGTTTAAGAAATATTGAACATGTATCTACGAGTATCTAAGGAATATCGATATGGGACACGTACACGTATCCGATAAGGGTACGTGACCTTGTAAAAGTATATATGCTTCATACGTCACAACTCATAAAAGGTAATACTATAAAATAAATGATGTTCATATTTTTTTTTTCCATTTCACTTGCACTCTTTAAAAATAATAATAATAATAGTGTAGTAATTCTGAAAAACGTATTCACACTTTACAATTATGTTTATAAGTAATTATAATGTTTTATACACTCAATTTGAAGGATAATTTTTCACAGGAATGGACAAGAATGGAATGGAATGGAACGTGTTGATGTAAATTCTGCACGATCCGAAACCAAATGCCTTTCTTATAAGAGAAAAAGTGTCCGAGACTAGCATCGGTGTGGTGTCAATCAGGTACACTTCGATGATTAAGTTAGTACTTAAACGATTATATATTCAATAAAGGAATTTGTATATATTGGTAGTTTGTGTTCAAGTTTGAGACTCTCTCATTACCTTTCCGTTATCATCTAGAAGAGATATTTAGGATAAGGAGATTTAATTACCCTAATCTCACTGGAGTTTATATTATTCGTTAGACTCTCTTCTCTCTTAATGTTGTGCTTTTAATTTATTTTATTTGTTGGACTCCTTTTGCTGGGAGTTGCGGAAATTCTGATACCAATTTGTTGGCCAACAACAATCCAAACAAATATACACACAATAATGGCAAAACCTAATAACAATAAAATATGAATAAAGATAAAAAGAAAAACACACCATGAGATAAGATTTATACGTGGTTCACCATCACAAATAGGGCTACGTCCACTGGCAATGATGATGCGTATCATTATACATAAGAAGATTACAAATTGAAGAATGTTTTGGTTATTCCAGAAAATAATCACTCTTATCACAATAAAACATCATCCACCAAATGAAGAAAAACTTACCAAACGCTCCCAAGGAAAATCCCCAATAATTATATGGTTTATATAAAGAAGAAAACTCACCCAAAGATAAACTTCTAATATCTCTCTCGAAGATTGTACACACAAAAGGATTTCCTCACATAGAAACCATTATAACTTATTCTGACTCTACCCTCTATTTATCCTAATATCTCTACGGGGTCTCTGAAAGATCTCACCAGAATCTTATCTTTTGTTGCGTGTTATGTCTAATTTATAGGCCAGAGTTGCCACCTTTGAATATCTTATTTGTAGCTGGTACAAAGTAATTTATTCCTAATCAATTACTTTCCTTAAAGTTTGTTTATTGCCTTATCAAACCCTTAGCTTGCCCATTAAGCCATCCATGCGACCATACAATTAACCACCACAATTGTATCATTCAACCAATGAAATTTTGTCAAAATCCCAACACCCTTGACGTTGGGCATCCTTATCAGCATTTTCATTTGCCTTGGGAGAAATATTTAGGAGGAGATGTACTTACCCTAATTTTGTTGTAGTTTCTTTTGTCAATTGGATTCCTGTTTGGCCCTCCTTATTGTCCTTTTTCTAGGAGAATATTTGGTAGTTGTGTCGAAGTCTCAGACTCCTTCTAGTATCTTCTCCGTTACCATATAAGAGAGATATTAGAAGGAGACGTAGTTACCCTAATCTTATTGCAACTTATTTTATCCCTTGGATTTAGGCTTCCTCATCAACTTAATATTGTGTGTTAGAATACAAGTGGGAATAAGAATGGAATGGTCGTTATCAATGTTTATTTTCAAATATGAAATGATGCATAAATGGTGCTTAGACTTCCTTGTCATTTAGGCTATCTTATCGGTTTAATATTCTGAAACATAATTTTAACTTGGAATGGATTGAGAACATAGATGAAATAATCATTATCATTCTATTATTTTATTGCAAATATGAAATTATGTTGGAATGGAATCATCGTCACCATTGATAAGTGATTGGACTAATTTAAAACTTATAATTAAATAAATTTCAAATTGAATTATTCAAAGTTTCCCTCAATGACAAATAAATTAAACTAACTAAATAATATTATTCTGTAACTATTTTTAAAAAGAAAATGGCGGTGGTGGCGGCGACAATGGTGCAGTTGGTGTGGTGGAAGGCGGCGATTATAACAACCCACTCCACCACATGGTAAGATATTGTTCGCTTTGGGTTCGAGCCCGCATAATTTTTACTATTGGGTTTTATCCAAAAATGCACCTTTCCCTTACCTAGGCAATATAGAATTGTGCACTTGCTCATAAAGTTGCCACAATCATCCCCCTTTGGCACACTTTCGGTTGGGGTCAGGTTCTGATACCATTTGTAACGACCCACTCCATTACATGGTATGATATTGTCCTCTTTGGTCCCGAGTCCGCACGATTTTTACTCTTGAGTTTTACCCCAAAATGCCTCATATCAATTGGAATGACATATCTACATATAAGCACTTCACATTTCCCTTATCCAGACGATATGAGATTGTGCACCCGTACTTCGCCTAATGTGGTAGACTGACAGTGCCTCTTGCACCCGTTCACGACACACCTGCTCATAAGGTTGTTATAATAAGCCTAAAGCGGACAATATTATACCATGTGATGATACAATTGTAAATCAAATTGAAGGCAAAATCTTGATTGCGTAATTCTTATAAAATAAGTGTATTATATACAACGAAAAAATAATGCTATCAAGAGAGAAATAATCTACCTTCCAAAAAAAAACAAAAGAGAGAAATAATCTCTCTTTTTTATTTTTACATTCACAATAAGTTGTGTGATACTTATACACGACTTGGACAAGCAGACCAATTAAATTCAGATTCCCATTTGATGTCATTTTATTTTTGTTTTTATTTTTACAATTCACAATAAGTTGTGTGATACACGACTTGGACAAGCAGACCAATTAAATTCAGATTCCCACTTGATATCATTTTATTTTTGTTTTTATTTATTTATTTTATATATTTACGTAGTATTTACTCCATATTTATTTTATTTTTTTTTTTTTCCAATTATATTTCTCACCTTGCAAGTATTCCTTGTGTGTTTGATATTTTTGAACATCACGAGGCTAGAAAAGGTAATGAGCAAAGTAGCTTCACACACACTCGTATATATATAGATACATAGATATTGATACAGATACACAGTTACACACACAAAAACCCACCTAATATATAAAAACCAAATCTCGAAAGGAATACAGATACCAAACCTTCGCACATCTCCTAGGGTTTCGTTTTCGTCACTAAGCAACAATGGCGACAGCAGCGATTGAACAAAACCATCCAGACCAAGCAGTTTCAAGCGAGACATGCACGACCAGAGCGGCTTCGTCGAAGCAAGGCGAGGGTCTGAGACAGTACTACCACCAACACATCCACGATCTTGGGCTCCAGGTTCGACAGAAGACTCACAATCTCAATCGCCTAGAGGCTCAGCGCAACGATCTCAATTCCAAAGGTATATGATTCAATTAATGCCCAAAAGCCCTAACCAAAAAAGCCTAGATTTTTAGCTTACTTCACATGGTAATTTGAATTATAGGTGTTATGTGTATCTATAATCTGTATATCTAGCTTAATTATTGTTTTGGGCTTCTAGGAATAATTATTGTGTTTTTTATTTTATTTTATTTTATTTTTTGATTTGATGTTCTTAGCATTTGTTTTTGACTAGGTTGGTTTACTACTAGTATTATTTTTTCGGTTCCCACTCTGTTTTGATTTGTTGATGGGTACTGGAATTAAAAAAGGAAAAAAAATGAATAAAATTGATCACAACGTGAAAAAAAGTGTCCAACATTGATTTATTGGGTTCCAAATGATTTAAAATATATACTATAAATGGAATAGAGTGATGGATAAATTGATATTCTGAGTTTTTGGGAACAAGAGATACAAATGTGACGCACCACACAATTGCTTGTAAATGTAAATATAATTGCGGAACATTAGGAAACACCAACCGAACAAATTAAAAAAGATACGAAGTTGGATCTTGAATTCACTACTGGGATTCTGGTGGTTTCAAGCAGTTTATTAAGTCAGTTTTCACTAACTAAGGTCACTGTATTGCTAACTAAGGTCACTGTATTGCTAACTAAGGTCATTCTATTGCTAACTTATCATGATCCTTTTTTTTTTTTTGTAAAAATAAAAAAATAAAATTGTTTTGTTGAGCTATTGTTTTCCTGATGATTTGGAGGAATTTTGAAGTATTTTGGTTCAAGGGTTAGATACAGGCTTTGAAGAATGGTTTCCATTTTTCTATTGGGGAGTAAAGAAGAAATATAAAGAATTTGCATTTTCGATTACTTAGAACCATTGGATTGTCAATTATTTCTATTAGTAATAACAGAAGATTAAAAATTTTTCTCTCTACATTTAATCACAGTTCTTTATTAGAAAAACTGGAGCTACGGAAAGAAGACAGCTTTTTTGAAAAGATTTATAGTCCCCTAGCAACAGTAGGTTTATTTGAATTAATTGAATATATCCTGATTGTATTGATGACACTGTGCTTTCAAGGCATTTATAGAAAATCTTTTAGCTGAAAGTTATTTATTTTACGGCAAATGACTTCTAATTGGTTATGACCTTGTGTTCTCAGTTCAATTTATTTTCCAACAATAGCTTTATTTGAAGTTGATTGAATATATCCCAATTGTAGTGATGACACTGTGCTTTCAAGGTATTTCTTGAAAATCTCATAAGCTATGTTTGGTTGCATGGAATTGGAGTCTTGGAATTATAATTGATAGAATTGGAGAAAATTTTAGTTCAAAGTTACAGAAAATTGAACCAAAATTTTCTCCAATTCAATCAATTATAATTCCAAGGCTCCAATTCTACGTGACCGAAGATAGCCTTAATATATTGGATTTTCATATTTTGATTGATTAATGATGGTGTGTTCAGTGAGGATGCTTAAAGAAGAACTACAACTGCTTCAAGAGCCTGGTTCATATGTTGGTGAAGTAGTCAAAGTTATGGGAAAATCAAAGGTCTTAGTGAAGGTGAGCCTTTATTTCTGTAAAAAATTTCCTATAATTTAGTTTCTGTTAAAAGTTTACATCAACTGTGGTTAAGAACTTAGCTTTTTTTACCATTTATTTTGGTAACCAGGGATTGTTGTATTACTTTTTTATTGGTAGATAAGCACACATCCGCCCACTTTGTGAAATACCTGTGATTGTGCAATACCTGAACTCACCCCCTAGACACCCCCTGAAGCTTCTCTAGCCTTCTTTTTCAGTGGTGGTTGGATTGGAAAAAAAAATACGATAAGTAGAGAGAGTACTACTAATTAATGTTAGCAATTCTTTTTTAGATGGATAACGCATCTTCTGCTCCATCAATTTCTTTCAAATGAAGAAAAATTTATTCCCCTATAAAAGGAAACCCTTTTCACCCTGAACTCCTTACGGATGTAGCTTTGGAATTAGCACCCCTACTACTCATGGTGCTTGTCAAGCTAATTAACCCCCCATTCTCTCTCTCTCACCCTGAATTTGTCTGTTTTTTTGAGCTACACTGGGAGCCAACTGGCTTAGAGTGGGTGAGAAGAGTATGGATGGAGATACATTCATGATAAACAGCATTCGGGTAAATACTAAATTGTATTTTGAAAAAAAAAAAAATTATGGTGATGATGGTCCTTGATTTGATAGTTTACATAGCAAAATAAAATAAACTGTAAACGGTGAAGAGGACCAATCAGTTGGCACGTTAGGAAATATCTAGCTAGGGGATTGATTAGTTGAGTTACATCTATGAATAAAGTTTATGCACATTATCATATGCATTAATCTGCTCACCTAAATTACCTTGTATTCTGTTACGCTAGTGGCATGAGGTTCGATTGCTAATGAAATTACTTTTCGATTGGTTATCGCTTAGGGATTGGTAGACCATTAGCTGTTTCTGAGTTTTCTGGACTTCTATGTTTTAGATTGAGCAAATCTCATTGCCATTTTAGTCAATAAAAGAACCAAGGGATCTTTGGCAATCACTTTTATTTTGCATTCTATTGTAGAGTAAGAAAAACAAAAATGAGTGTAGCAAACGTGTTTTTGTGAAGTTGCAGGTTTTAGAAGTTGGTAATACTTCCAAAAGTGGGAAAAAATGGAAGCAATAAAATCTTGCCTCTTAAGTTTTTCAGAAGTATAATATTGTAGCGTATGTATATGGATTCTCATATACATAGCATATGTATATACATTTATTCATATACATATATATGCATGTATACAAGTATATATACATGTATACAAACATGTACATACATAATTACATGTATACATGTATGTACATTGTGGGTTATTTGGATATAGCAATAGCAAATTACAAGAAATACAAAGATATCACATATAATAAAATGGGACCCAGAAAGATAATTTGGATAGAGGTGGAGAACTAGATGACACAAGGATTTGTGGGTTGATAGTGTATTCAATATGCAAATAAAAAACTCAGCTCATTCAATAAGCTTATTAATTGTAGTCAAGTTGTCCTTAATGCTTCTTGGACAACTCTATATACATTATCTGCGTGAGTTGGTTATTGACCGTGTCAATACCTTGAGGGGCATTGCTCAATGGTTTGAAGGGCTATACCTTGCTAAGCGTCACCTATCTTTGTTTGATAGTGGATGATTATTTAATTCCTCAATCGTTGCATTTAATGGTATAATGGTAGTGGTTGAACATTTAATGCTATTGGTAGTGGTTGAGTCAGAGTTTGCTTCTCCAAAGTGCGCACGGTTTTTTTTTTTTTTTTTGGGTGGGGGGGGTGGTCACACACCACTTGACGTGGCATATAATTTATCATTGACAAGAACCCATGTAAAGTCAAATGGTCAATATTCAAACATAATCCACATGGCGCTAGCCATGTTGTCAAGACAATGGGGTGCAACGTTGTGGAGTTCTCGCAAATAAACCTCGAGTGAACTTAACTAAACATCATGGACCTCGAGTCAGTTCAACTGTACCTCCAGGAGTCCTTTCCTGCAGATAAACCTCACGTCAATTCGACTAAATCTAGAGGAGTTCTTCCCCATAAATAAACCTCTAGTCAACTTAAACAAATCTCGAGGAGTTCTTCCCCACAGATAAACCTTGAGTCAACTCAACCGAACCTTGAGGAGTTCTTCCCTAAAGATAAACCTTGACTGACTTAATAGCTATGAAGGGCATCGAGTTGAGAAGACTATTTATCCTTGCTACATATGGACACTTGGAGGTAGTTGGCTTAGAGTCCAAGAATCAAAGCTCGTGCAAGAACTTAAATGCTTACCCTTACCCAAGGTTCGGTCACCATGTGCTAATGCATAAACCTCAAGAAGCAAACTATGACCCAACCATTATCAACGGCATTAAATGCTTAACCACTATTATTAGATGCTTAACCATTATCATTAAATGTAATGGTTGAGGAATTAATGAGTTAACCACTATCCTGCATAGATAGGTATGATTTGAGCTTGATAGGGTACGATCCTTTGAATCACTAGACAATCCCCCTTGAGTAACCAATTGCTGGACAATATAAATAAAGTTGTCTTATAAGTGTTAGGAACAACTTAACCATTACTAAGCTTATTGAACAAAGTTGGGTTTTTTTTTTTGTTATGTCATCTTGAAAAGCAGATTATAGTGGCTAACAATTGTTGCCTTCATAATGAGAGGATGACTTAGGATGTCCAGTTTGTTTGTTATCTTCAAAATAGGGAAATCGAGGATATTGTAGCGTTCTTGGATTTGTTGTTTCAACATAATGTATATGGGTAAGGGTTTGATAAGTGGGGTTGGGTGGGTTGCTGGTATGGGGGATTTGAGGTGCGATCCTTTTACCCATAGTTCTCTTTTCTCCTTACCAATCTTCAAACTCTAGACCTAAGGGTTGATCACTCAAGCCAACTGCTAAGGTGCGATCCTTTTACCCATAGTTGTTAAAGGCTCAATGCGCATTAAGGCGCCAAGGTCTCCTGGGGGCTGGGGTTGAGGTGCAACCACATAAGCATAGTTGTTAAAGGCTCAAGGTGCTAAAGGCCTTTTGGAGACTAAGCGCAAGGTGCAGTATAAGGCACGAGCCTGATCAAAGTTGTGTGTGATAATAATGCATATTTAAACATTTATTGTTATATGTATTTGAATTAAGCACTAATTGAATTAAGCACTAGTAGAGTGGCATTCTTTATTTGGACCGCTGTTTGGGGTAAGATCCTTACGATTGATAATCCAAGGAAAAGGGGCAATTGTCTTGTTAATTGGTGTTGTTTGTGCAAACAAGATGGTGAGTCAGTTGCTCACATTCTAATACATTGTCCTATAGCGACGGATTGTTGGAATCTTATCTTTTGTCTGTTTCATATGCATTGGGTTATGCCTCGTTATCCTAAGGATTTGATTTGTATATGGAGAGGATGCCGTGTGAGTAGCGCTGTTTGCGATTATTGGAGAGTTGTACCACATTGTGTTTGGTGGTGCATTTGGAAGGAGAGGAATAGTAGAATGTTTGAAGGGAAAGAATCGTGTACGGTGAGTCTGAAACTTCACATCATACGCTCTCTTTTCAGTTATGTGAAGAGGAAGTCCTGTTCTTCTTCCGAAGATTTAATTATTTTTTTGGCTTCTTTGGGATCTTAATCCCTAGTTCCATTTTTGTATAAGGGATGCGTTCCCCTCTTGAACGCCTTTTTTATTTCAATTATTACTTATCAAAAAAAAAGTAATATATGAATTGAAGTCAATGTAACTTTAATTTATGAATTTTGTCAAAAATTTCATAAGGTTAAACAATACAATATATGATATCGAACCTTTTAATTTAGTAGTCATTAAATAAAAAAGAAAATGATGTGAATAAATTATTAAAAAATACAAGGCGTGCCTTTTTTGAGCCTGGAGCCTACTCTTAGCATGAGCCTTGAGGCTTTATGTGAACTTGATTGAAAGGGCCAGGTGAAACGGGTGGACGGGTGGGCGCTTGCCCGCTGACCCAAAAGCTTAAACTACTGCATATCCGCTCATTTATACCTATTTCACTAACCATTTGGATCTGATGTAGGACACATAACATTCTTCCTCACCCGAACTCACAACGTCCTCATGCAGTCGGGCCACCCTGCCTACCCGAGTGACAACCCAGACTCCTCCGGGTCGGACACTTGGCACGACACCATATCAAGAACTAGGTTTGGTTCCAATACCAACTGAAATGGGTGGCCGCTTGCCTGCTGACCTAAAAGCTTAAACAATTGGGTTGTGCTGCATACCCACTCATTTATACCCATTTTACTTCCCATTCGGATGTGATGCGGGACACCTCTAACACCTGGCGTGTAGTATTTTGAGGTGCTCTAGCTGAGCCTTGATGAGCTTGGGGCTTTTTTGGAGTCTAGGCGCGCCTGCGAGGCACAAATCTGATTGAAGCAAGGTGCAAGTTGCACAGAATTTGTGAAAAAAGTAATATAGCATTGCAAATAATGCAACATAAAAAAAACACAGCCATCATGTCATATAATATGACATCATATAACCTATTAAGCTACCCTATCCAAATGAATACATGCAAAAGAGTGTCACAACAAGCAAAGATATTTGTATAATAAAAAGCAGTGTCCAGCTAATTAACAACAAGGATTATTAATAAAGCATATATGCCACACTGCATTATGTTATAGAATTCTACAAGAAAGATGGCCAAAAAATTTTGCAGACTTTAGGAAACATATATGATGAAAAATGTAGCCAACTCAAGAGAAGGTCGGCATTAAATAAACCAGAGATGCAAAAAGGAAACAAGACTGAAGAGAAAATAGAATAGAAGAGTTAAATAAGAGGAAGATTTGGGAATCAGTTGAACAGGAAAAAGAAGAAAAAAACATGAATGGGTAAATAAGAAGGCTAATAAATAGTTTTGATAACAGTGGAGTGTCTCAGTGTCTGCTATCAGGATAAGAAAACACTTTCTATGTAGCTTTGATCATCACATATAATGCTCGACATTGATGGAGAGTTGGGCAGTTTGAAAATCATTACTGATGCTTTAATGGCTGTAAACTCTTTTGTAATGTATAAAACATCATTTTTCTTTAATTGATAAATCTTACGTTTCCAAGTAAACCACGATTCCCTGATTTTAGACGGAAAATGGGAATAAACCTTTCAAGGATTTTCCATCAATACTGATCCTTGCTTCTTAAAATCTCGTCTGAAACCTTTTGTAATAATGCAACCTTCTTTGTATTGTTCTGTGAATGGCTAAATTGTGATGTAATGACTAATTGGAATCAATATGTTGTTATGTAGGTGGCTAAAATTGTGATTTTAAGACCACTTGGAATCAATATGTTGTTCCGTAAGTGGCTAAAATTGCGATTTTAAGACTACTTGCTGTCAACATCATGCCATTTTTGTAGTCCAGTGCTCATAAAAACATGTTCATATTAAGCATTCATTTCTTTTCTTCTGATGGAGCACTTTGGCAAGCATCATTTCTCTGTAGTCGCTTTAATGACCGTTGAAACTCTTGCGCTTGTTCATCTGCACCATTTTGTATCATTATGCTTCTAATTTTTTTGGGAAAAAAGCATCTTTCTCCTCTTTGCTGTGCTACTGTTGTTAATTTGATTTTCTTTTTCCCACTTCTTTCTTTTTTATTTATATCTATAGCTTGTGGAACTGATTCATCAAACCTGAGAATACATACCATTTGGTTAATAGTTTTGTGCTTCTACTCTTTTCAGGTTCATCCAGAAGGAAAGTATGTTGTTGATATTGACAAGAACATAGATATAACAAAGATCACACCATCTACCCGAGTTGCTCTTCGCAATGACAGCTATGTGCTTCACTTGGTATTACCCAGTAAAGTAGATCCTCTTGTTAATCTTATGAAAGTTGAAAAAGTTCCAGATTCTACGTATGACATGATTGGTGGTCTTGATCAGCAAATTAAAGAGATAAAGGAGGTGAGTCATCTGAGAGGTTTTCCCTGGTATTTCGGCTAACAAAAAAATGCTATTGTCTATCCTAAAGATTTGCTCTAATAGTTAGTGGTTGTGGCTCATATTTTCTGCATGGGCCCTTGTCACTATTCTAACAAGTATCTCTTGAAGATATGGATGTACAAAGGGTCCCGCTGGCACCATATCCAGAGTGGTTAGATGTGTTCCCTTAGCCTATCCTCGAAGCCTTAGAATCCATGGTAGGTTTATTTTATGCAAAACCATTTATCAAATACACGTGTCCTCGTTAATGCATTAAAACATGTCTAAAAACGAATTCAAACAAGTTTTTTTCTAAAAAGCAAATGAGCATGCATATTATGGCGAGATGTGCACCCTAGTTGTCATGCTATCATTATGCTGAAATTCTGCTCATATCACCATTGTAAATTTGTATATAACCTTAGTATTGGTAATTACTCCATTATTTTTACATATTACACTGTTGACCCAAGGTTTCCAACCAAAGATACATTAGGACATGTTGATGATAACAAATCATTAAAGGAGTTGTATTTAATGTCTACTTGAGTTTATGCTAAACATGTAATACTTGTAAGAAACTCGAGAGCTTTTGGATCAATGGAAAGGCCAAGAAGGATCCAATACTTAAAGATGAATGCCAAAGCTCAAAAGACATTGAAGTCAAAGATAGACTTTCAAAGTCCAAAAGACATTGAATTCCAAGACGAAGACTTCCAATGGACAATGACATTGAAGTAAAAGATGAGGACTTCTAAAGGTCAAAGATGAGGACTTCTAAAGGTCAAAGATGAGGACATCAACCCAAAGCTTAAAGAATTGACGGTAAAAAACTTAGTTAGATAGTATTGGGTGAGTGCTAAAGTTAAATTTAAAGTTATTCTTTTAGTATACCATTTAAAAAGTTTAACTCTTGACTTAGTGATATAGGACCATGCATATCATTCATAGCATTCAAAAGTCTTTAGACCAAAAGCATTAAGCCATGAACGCCATTGAGATAAATTATAAGGCCTTTGCTAGGTTTTAGTGAGCTCAAACTTTCATAAGTTTAGAAGAACTTAACTCTTAATGTAGCAAAATTTAGGAGTTGTTACTTCATTCATATCATTTGACTTTGTTTCTAAAAATGTTGATGTAGGCTTTGAACTTAATTATTTTAATCTCAAAAAACCTTAGTTGGAACCCGGTGATTGAGCGGGTTGAGAGAAGATTAGCGGGTTGGAAAAAACAATATCTGTCAAAGGGCGGTAAAGTTATGTTAGTGAAGAGCACTTTGTCAAGCCTTCCAACGTACTTTCTTTCGCTTTTTCGTATTCCAGCGTCTATTGTTGGAAGACTAGAAATGCTCCAACGTAATTTCCTTTTGGGGGGGGGGGGGGGGGGGGGGGGGGGGGTTGTGGAGAAGAGTTCAAGTATCATCTTGTCAAATGGGAACAGGTTTGCAGGCCTATTCGGTTCGGAGGGCTTGGAATTAGGAGATTGGCCCTTTTCAATTGTGCTCTTCTTGGTAAGTGGCTTTGGAGATTTGGTAAGGAAAGACATAGATTATGGAGAAGGGTTATCTCATGTCGCTTTGGGGAGGAGAAAGGAGGGTGGTCAGTTAGACCAGTCAGGTCTGTTAGCAGAGTGGGGGTGTGGAGGGCCATTGGTAAGGGGTGGGATGCCTTTTCCAAACATATTAGATTCAGAGTTCGGGATGGAAGAAATGTCCGGTTTTGGGAGGATCTATGGTGTGATGATAGGCATTTGGCCCTATTGTTTCCCAGGCTTTTCAGGATTGCTGTTGACAAACATGCTATGGTTGCTGACTACTATTGCCTTGATAGTGGAAGGTTGTCTTGGGATGTGCGTTTCCGGCGAGCTTTTCAGGATTGGGAGCTGGATGATATCACTGGGTTTTTGGCTCTCCTTTACGGACAGGAGGTGGAGGGGTCTGGGGCAGATTCCTTGATTTGGGTGCCTTCTTCTCAGGGGATGTTTCAGGTCCGGTCCTTTTTTGTGTGCCTTTCTGGTTTTCATGGTACCTCATTCCCATGGAAGACGGTGTGGAGGTCTAAGACGCCTCTTAGGGTGGCCTTTTTTATGTGGACTGCAGCTTGGAGTAAGATTTTGACTTTGGACAATTTGAGGAAGCGAAGGCATATCATTGTTAATAGGTGTTGTCTTTGCAAGATTAATGGGGAGTCGGTGGATCATCTTTTGTTGCACTGTCCTGTGGCTCATGATTGTTGGAGTTTGATGTTTGGCCTGTTTGGTATTCATTGGGTCATGCCTCGGTCATCTCGGGAGTTGTTAGATATGTGGAGGGGCCAATGGGTGGGGGTTCAGGCCAGAGTTTTTTGGAGGGTGACCCCTTTTTGTATTTGGTGGAGCCTTTGGAGAGAGCGTAATGGAAGATCTTTCGAGGGAAAGGAATCCTCCATTGGGGTGTTAAAATTTTCTATCATTTGTAATTTGTTTTGTTGGGGTCAGGGGAGAGACTACTCCTCTCTTGAGGATATTGTTGATTTTATGATCTCTTTGAGTTCATAGGCTCCGTTTTGTCTTTGTATAGTTTGGGACGCGTTCCCCTTTTGAACGCTTTTAATACAATTTACTTATCAAAAAAAAAAAAAAACCTTAGTCAAATATTGAGATGGTTTCACTTATCAAAAAAAAAAAGAGATGGTTTCCAATTGGAATATCTTTCAAAATCTCTATATTCACACTTAGACTCTGTTTGTTTCGACGTAAAATTTTTTCCTCGAAATTTTTTTTCCTTTTTCAGGTAAAATAATTTTTTTATTTTTATTTTTTTGGTGTTTGGCAAATATCTAGGTCGAGGTTGAGGTCGAATCCATTAGGTGGGGCGTGTAAAATAATTTGCCGAAAATTGATAGATAAGTTATTTTTGTTAGGTTTTAATAGTTTTTTCCTTCGTAAATATTTTAAGACAACTGAACACCAGAAAATTAAAAAATATTTTATGAAAAATATTTTACATCCAAACAAATGGAGCATTAAAGAAGTCAAGGACCATTAGATCAAATTCATTCATTCTATGTTAATGGTTCCTCCTATATTCAATGGTTTAGAACTTGAATTAAATTGTAAAATTCCTTAAAGTCTTAAGTGAATATGGATAGAATTGAGCCTATGATTGAAAAATGAGAAGAATAAAAATATCTTTATATCAGACCAATTGAGCACCAGTCGACTCATTCATTTCATGACATTTCTTATTTGAAGGTTAAATTGGTTGAGTCGACTCATAACATTGGGTCAGTTGACTCGTATTAAATAGGAAGTAGAAGTCAATCGACTGATCCCAAAGGATTTTGTCCAGTGAGTTGAAGACCAACAGAAAGAAAGAAATAGAAGTATTAAGTGGAAGTTGACATGATCAGTTTAAGATGTAATTAAGTGGACCATGACATAAACTTAACGCAATTGCATAAGAAAGTTTGAAAGAAAGAAAACTACTACTATTGCATGTGTACTTGGAGTGATCCATCCAGTTTAGAAGGGAGTTTTAGAGAGAGAGAACCACTATTACTACATGATTCGCTTGCCTTTTCAATCAATCTTCGTACCTGAACGGAGAAATATGTACTACGTATGAGGGGTGATTCTTTCTTAGTTATTACTACTAGAATTTTATTTGGAGTGATCGAGTTGTAGAAGACGAGAATTTTAGAGAGAGACATGTAGGAGGCATCTACTCCTTCATCTCAAGGTATACATACATATTGTGAGAGGGGTAGGGTGTCCTTATCTCTAAGGTAGTCAATTCATGCATAAAGGTGCCTACAGACCCCTATTTATAGAATTCTAATCATGATGGGCAAGAAAAGGCCAATTTCAAAATTCCAGAGTGATTGCCACATCTTAAGGTGCGTCAGTGGTAGGTGGAGTTATTTTTGGAGGGTGCAGCAAAAGAGGGGTGACAAATTTAGGTGACTAGAGAGTTGTCGTATCTTGTTGTGTGGCAATCCCTAGGGAATTTTTTAGAAACAAGTTCTAGATTGTGGCGGATCCCGAGGGTTCACACGCAATTGCTTGGGTCTCAAGTCAACTCTAGAATGTTCTTTTCAGTGTATTTTGACAAATTTGCTCCTCTTTTGGAGGTTTATGATCGAATGGTCAGAGTTAGGTTCTGGACTTGATCTCTGGGCATAGGTTTGTAAACAATCTGAGCCAAACTACGCTTTAAGGTGGTGTGCATTGGCTCATCAACTCCACAATTGTTCTCTAGCTCGATTGAGCCTTGACTAGCTAAGATCAAGTTTGACTGGGTCATGTTTGAATGAGCCTGTATGGCTCGATTGAGCTCATTTACTTATTTGATTATGTGTGTATTCATAATGTATTTGTGTGTGTGTGTGTGTATATACATATATATGTGCCTACCTGGTGGAAGAAATTCCCTTATAAATAATTTAAAGCTAATCCAGAGTCATGTTCAAATGGTTGGGTTTTTGGCCCACTGGTTGGGAAGCATTCTAAATTGAAAACTTTCAGCTCTAGAATCACCCACCAGTTGGGGTTTCTACCTGTTGGAAATCATTCTAGAGTGGTCAAATTCAAACCATAATCACATTTAATCAGTTGGGGTTTATGGTTAATTGATTGAGGAGTGTTTTATTTGAGCAATTGAACACTTAACCAAATTCCATAACTTTCCAACACTTTCATCTCCGTAACTCAGTCTGAACATTGTTGTTCAACATAACACATTCATCCCACAATTTGTTCACACCCCTAACGAACACACTTTGGAATGGAATTTGCCAAAAAAATACTAGAATTACTCTTAACAATTTCATAGGTAGGAATTTGAAATGCAGCCAAAAAAAGTTTAAAAATTAATGGGAAGAATTATATAGAAATAGTATATGAATTACTACTTTATTCAATATATACATTGGTGGTGTGGGTAAATATGTGAGAAACTAATTTTGTGTGGGCTAACTTTTTGGTCAAAATTTATTAATTTTTGTTTATTCGAGTCTCAATTTTGAAAGCCAAAGATTTGATTGATCATATACGGTGATTAGAGTTGAAAATTACTTAGGAGTTAGGACAGGTAAGTAAGCGTGTGAGTATACATTGTTTTCGAACATGGGGTGTTGGCAAAAACCCCCAACCAGTTGGAAAGCATTCTAGAGTGGTCAAATTCAAACCATAATATTCAATGGGTTGGGGTTTTATGGTCAATCGATTTGGGAGTGTGTTTGCTAGGGGTGTGAACAAAATGTGTCATGAATGTGTTGTGTTATGTTGAATACTTCAACAATGTTCATCTTTGAAGACTAAGGGTTACGAAATGGAAGCTAGTTAAAACAACGATACAAGATGTCCGATGATGCTCAATCATATTAGGCAATGGTAAAAAAGATCTTAGAGACCATAGGATTTATGTTGAAATGGACTTAAGAGTTTTCGGACCTTTCTTGTCTGAATGAAACTGCATCAGCCGATATACTTGGTACTAAATTCTAGATCAATAATGAAAAGCATCACTGTTCAAAATGTTTGCAATTGTAGCAAATTTAGCAAAGAAGGTTCATTTTGGAAATTAGAGGTGTCATATTTCTACCAGTTTGCATGGAAAAAAATATACGATACCATAAATCTAAAATTTAATTTACTGATACCACCATCCAAGGGTCTAGGTTAGTGGTATCTTGAAGCCGGATACAAGGCTAGGCCATCGAGGCCCTTGCCTAAGGCTCCACCAATAAAAAGTCCTTCTACGATATACTTTATTTCTTACTTCTGTACATTATCTCACATCTTTTCTTTTTCTGTTGAAGTTTTCAATTGTTAACACAAGTTAGGGAGAGAAGTCCATCTCATTGAGTCATATGATCCCTCAAGGCTTAATTTACATGATGAAAAATATATTGAATAGGGAATTGGGGGAGTCATATGATCCCCCAGTCTAAAAATTCCATCTTAGGCATCAAATTGTATTGAGTTGGTCCTCAGCATCTCCTCACTTTTCAAAGTAAAACTACGAGTCCCCATGGTAAAACAGTGGTTGTGAACTTGTGTGAGTTATTTAATGGGACAAAAAGAAAGAAAAAAAAAAGGCAAAAAGTTAATATACATCTGTAATTTGTAATAAAGTGCAATTTGATCCTGAAAATTTATAAATGTCTTCAAAAGTATTCATATTCATACCCCAAAGGTTGGCTCAGGTAGGTAAGTCACTTGGCCCTGGTCTAGGGTTCGACTTCTCTTGGGTGCAAACAATTTCTTGGAGGGGGGTGTGTGAGTACCAACTAGAATAAAAAAAAGCAAAAAAAAGTATTCATATTCGAGAAGTTTCAGCTATGTAAGTGATGTTAATTAACTCTTTCCCTTCTAATTCACATCCCGAAAATGTGAATTAGTAGGGAAAGAGTTAATTAACATCACTTGCATAGCTGAGACTTCTCGAATTGGATGCAAGTCATGTGCAATAGTAGGTAGTCATCATACATCTCATCAGATGTATTTTATGGTCTCTAAACAAAAGATTGAGTGGTCATGAAACCAAAATTTGATACTTCAATTTGACAATTTGACCCACCAAAAACAAAAACACAATATTTGTGCACTTGCACTCTTTGATCCAAAAAAATTATAATTGTCATAAAAAAAGCAAATATTTGTATGTTCATAATACACATATATTGGTATTGTGTGTGTGTGTGTGTGTGTATGTATATGTATGTATACTTTGAGATGAAGGAGGAGGAGTATTGGACTGTACCGACCCCTTATACGTAGTACTTGTCTCTCCGTTTAGGCACGGAGATTGACTGAAAAGACAGGCAAATCCTGTAGTAGTAATGACTTTTTTTCTCTAAAACTCTCTTTTGCAACTGGATGATCACTCCAAGTACACATGCAATAGTAGTAGTTTTCTCTCTCTCTCAAACTCTCTTCCGCAATTGCGTTAGGATGATGTCATGGTCCACTTAATTACATCATCTTAGACTAATTAAATCATCTTCCACCTAATACTTCTATTTCTTTCTTTCTTTCTGTTGATCTTTAACTCACTGGACAAAACTATTCCTTTGGGATGACTTATACTTTTTGATTAATATGAGTTTGACCAAATGTCATGAGTCCACTAAACCATTTTAATCTTCGAATAAGAGATGTCATGAAATGAATGAGTCGACTAGTGCTTAATTGGCTTGATCTAAAGATATTTTCATTCTTCTCAGTTTTTAATCATAGGCTCAATTCTATTCCATATTCACTTAAGACTTCAATTTAGTTTAAGTCCTAAACCAGCGAATCTAGGAACCATCAACATAGAATGAATCAATTTGATCCAATGGTCCTTAAATTCTCTAAGTGTGAATATAGAGATTTTGAAAGATATTTCAATTGGAATCATATCAATATTTAACTAAGGATTTTTGAGATTGAAATAAGTTCAAAGCCTAAGTCAATATTTCTAGAGAGTAGAAACCAAGTCAAATGATATGAATAAAGTAACTACTCCTAAATTTTGGTAGATTAAGAGTTGAGTTCTTCTAAAGCTTGTGAAAGCTTGAACTAACTCAAACTTAGCAAAGGCCTAGTAATTTATCTCAATGAGGAACTTAGCAAAGGCCTAGTAATTTATCTCAATGAGGTTCATGGCTTAATGCTATGGTCTAAAAACTTTTGAATGTTATGAATGATATGCATGGTCCTATACCACCCACTAAGTCAAGAGATGAACTTTTCAAATGGGATATTTTAAGAATAACTTCTAATTTAATTTTAGCACTCACCCAATACTATATGCCTAAGTTTTTAACCTTCAATTCTTTAAGATTTTGGTTGATGTCTCATCTTTGACCTTTAGAATTCTTCATCTTTTAGTGCAATGTCTTTGTCCTTTGGAAGTCTTCATCTTGGAATTCAATGTCTTTTGGACTTTGAAAGTCTTTATCTTTCTTTCTTTTCTTTTCTTTTCTTTTTTATTTATTTATTTATTTTATTTTTATAATCAGTATTGAAAGTCTTTATCTTTGACTTCAATGTCATTTGAGCATTGGCATTCATTTTGATCCAAAAGCTCCCTTGAGTTTCTTACAAGTATGACATGTTTAGCGTAAACTCAAGTAGACCTTAAATACAATACTTTAATGATTTGTTATCGTCAACATGGCTAATGTACTTTGATTGGAAACCTTGGGTCAACAGCGTAAGATGTAAAAATAATGGAGTAATTAGTAATACTAAGTTTATATACAAATTTACAATGGAGATATGAGCAGAATTTCAGCATTATGATAGCATGACAACTAGGGTGCATGTCGCCATAATATGCATGCTCATTTGCTTTTTAGAAAGAGCTTGTTTGAATTGGTTTTTAGACATGTTTTAATGCATTAATGAGGACACATGTATTTGATAAATGGTTTTGCATAAAATAAACCTACCATGGATTCTAAGGCTTCAAGGATAGGCTAAGGGAACACATCCCTACTCTAACCACTCTGGATATGGTGCCAGCAGGACCCTTTGTACATCCATATCTTCAAGAGCTACTTGTTCGAATAGTGACAATGGCTCATGCAGAAAATGTAAATCACCAAGTTAGTGTGCGGACGGGGTGAAAATTGCCAGATTCATCTCATGGTGTCCTTTTCTTTCCAGGTCATTGAGCTGCCAATCAAACATCCAGAATTATTTGAGAGTCTTGGAATAGCTCAACCGAAGGTAAAATGCTTTATATGATTATAATATGAATAATGTCTGATGTCTCTGCATAAGTTCAACATGGTTTAATATATTTTCTTTTTTATTAGTAGTTTTTTTATATATTTATATCCTCTGATACAATTTTACACCCACATTGAACTCGTTATATTTGAGTAGCCATCCAAATTTCTAATATTAACATGTAATTGTTTATTTTCATTTTATTTTATAGGGAGTCTTGCTCTATGGGCCACCTGGTACTGGTAAAACACTTTTGGCAAGGGCTGTGGCTCATCATACCGATTGTACCTTTATAAGGGTTTCTGGCTCTGAGTTAGTTCAGAAGTATATCGGTGAAGGCTCTCGAATGGTTAGAGAACTTTTTGTTATGGCCAGGTTTGTTTGATATCTTTTATGGACAGCACGAATGATGACGTGCCTAAGATCGCATGTATTAGATCATTAAATGGTGTTGGATTTCATTTAATGTGCTCAGGAGGCTCTGTATTTATGGTTTCTTCTGTGCCTGCTGTTTCCCAGGGAGCATGCTCCATCAATCATCTTTATGGATGAAATTGATAGTATTGGATCTGCTCGTATGGAATCTGGAAGTGGCAATGGTGATAGTGAAGTGCAGCGGACCATGCTGGAGCTTCTGAATCAGCTTGATGGATTTGAAGCATCAAACAAGATCAAAGTACTGACTTCCTGCTTTATTGTGTTAAATTGTTTAGTGACGCAATGGTGTTAGATTAAAATGATGTTACCAAATCTTATTTGATTGCAATTTCACCCTGTTTCTCAGGTTTTGATGGCTACAAATCGCATTGATATTCTGGATCAAGCCCTTCTGAGGCCTGGAAGAATTGACAGGAAGATAGAGTTCCCAAATCCTAATGAAGAGGTATATCTTTATTCATCATGGATCATCTTTATGTTTTTATTATTTAATCTCCACTCTAGACCGTGTTCTTACTTTCAACAACACCTTTTCCCCAGCAGTTATGTTATTGTCCCCTCCATATTGGGGGAAAATCCTCCTGGTGGATGAGCTACTAATAGGTTGATATTTTTTTTTTGCTTGCTTCTCATACCCCTTATCCTGTTTGGATTGTCATTAATAAATTAAAGTCGGTTGAAGGGAATTTACTAACAACTGCTAAAAATAAATCAGAAATGTTATATAAGTGAGAAAAGTTTGTTGATCACTGACAATAATTGTGCACCATGGATCACTATCCATGACCTAAAAAGAGAGTACGATAAAAAAAAAAAAAAAATTGGCATTCCTGAGCTAAGATAATAATCAGCTTAAAAGAAATCATAGGATGGCTGTTGTTGGTCCATTATATGCGGGAATATACACTTCTGCTGCAGCCTGCAGGATCAAGGAGGTTAACAGTTCTTCCTTATTACACAATGATATGGGGAACCATGTTTATTTCTATTAATAGAAAAAGATGTATTCTAGTCATAAGAAATGCAAGTAACCATTTAATATTTATCTTTCACTGAAATCGTTGCTGTGTATGAACAATAATTTCGATACCGTTTTTTTTAAAAAAAATTTCAATCATTTGTTGGGCAATGTACCAATGTGCTAATATACTCTCTGCTATTTTCAGTCTCGTTTTGATATCTTGAAAATTCACTCAAGAAGAATGAACCTTATGCGTGGGATTGATTTAAAGAAGATAGCTGAAAAGATGAATGGTGCATCTGGTGCAGAACTGAAGGTGTGTTTCACCCCATATGTATAAAATTTCCTTTAGCAGCTTTATATGCATAGACTTTCCTTTCATAGTTTTATCCTTTTTCCCTAATTGGAACCTCCTGTTTTAGAGTTTTTGTGTGTGCGCGCGCACACGCATGTGTGTTTGTGTTCGCGTTTGCATGTGCATGTCAAAAGTGGGGTTGGGGGTTTGAGGTATTGGTGTACATTAGAAACTATGATTGTTAACTTGATGTCCACCCTCATAGGTCATATTGGAGTTTTAAAATTGAGTATCTCTTTACCTTAAAAGCCTTCAATAAATTATAAACCTACTGTTTCCTTGTTTGCAGGCGGTTTGCACTGAAGCTGGTATGTTTGCTTTAAGGGAGAGGAGGGTTCATGTAACACAGGAAGATTTTGAGATGGCAGTTGCTAAGGTGATGAAGAAGGAAACTGAGAAAAACATGTCCCTGCGGAAGCTCTGGAAGTAACCTTTTCAGTTGCTTATTTTCTATTGTTCTTCCAAGTTGTAAGATCACTCATCACTTTCTTTCTTTACAAGAAAAAGAGTTAAAACAGTAGAGAATTTTCCAGTAGTAAATTTCGGTTACTGGAATAACAACTCTCTCCCCTTCTAGTGTGCTGAATAGTATTCTTTCTGCATCGATTGATATCTTTACACCCCAAACATTCGACTGGCTCCTTTTCCCTTTGAACCGGCACACTGTTTTTTCAAATTTTTTTGGTTCAATAATATTTTAGATTTACATCTCCTATACTTGCCTATATCTGATTCTATTACCATTATACGCTAAATATTTCTGTTCAATGGACCTCTGATTATCGGAGACGACGATATTTGTGGGGTCATTTTTGTTGAGTCTCTTGTAACATATTATATATAGGATTTGGGATGAATACCATATAGGTTTTATGGATAGAAGCTTCTTGTCCCAAATCCATACCATCAACTTCAGAGGTAGATTTTGTAGGAGATGTCTCTATGTAGAAAAGTAAATGGTTGAAGTCTCAGTTGTGTTATGAATGGAGAGAAGATTGACAATGTCTTTAGAGAGAGGAAGTGAGATATAAATAGAGAGAGACCATAGTTTGTAAAATTTAATGGCTTATTAAATTATTATGAATCTCTCTTAGGATTACCTAATATTTGAGAAGACAATTGCTTATTGGTAGGTCAAAGGTTTGAGATATTTGTTTTGTTGGATAACCTGTGTCACCCACCAGAGATATGTATCAACATATTTCTCTCTCTAGAAGGTATGACTATTATAATAAAATATCAGAGATGTAACATTCTCAAAATAGTTGGAAGTTGGAAAATTTTCAGATTTAATAACCTAAGGTTCAGACAGTTGAGCATAATTTTACAACAATTATCAATGATAGGAGGGGTAGTTGATTTTTGTCTGAAGGTTTGATGTCAACTTCTAGAATTGTCACAATTTATGATTTGTTTGGTTGGAATGAAAAAGTTGGGGGAAAGGAAATTAGGAAGGAATAAACAAAATTTCATCGTTATGTGGGGATGATATAAGGTTATAAAGGATAATAATAGGATGAATGAGTCATCTTTCTTCTTTTACAAATTTTCATTCGTACAATATGGGTGGAAGAGATGAGAGAAAACAAGTGGGCCTATTATGAAAGTTTTAAATTACTGTATCATCCTTAATAAAAAAAGTAAGTGATGGGTTTAATGGTAAAAATAACTTAAAAATCTCTCTTTCCTTTTATCTTATCAATCAAAGTAAATTGTTAGTTTATTCTCTTTTCGAACATAATCTCTTCTCTGTGGATCCCTCATTCATCCCATTCATCCAATTTTCTTCCTTTCCTACCGAAAGAAGCGTTAGATTATCTGCACTATGAGATCAATCACTGCATGGAATCAAGTACATTTTCTTAGTTGACCCTCTCTTTCTTCATCGCAAGTGGTGGCAATTTCTTCATCTCAAAAAATGTGTTCATTTCTACACCTGCATCAATTTGTGTTCTGTTCACATTCATTCATACCATATCTTAGTCATTCACCATTTTGCCCAAATATACAAACAGTCAACTCGTTTTTCACTTTTCATGTGTCTCCCATCTCTTTCTAGCTATATATCTATATATATTAGAAAAAAGCCGATTTTAGTTACAATGTCATCATGATCATGTGCATAGTTACATCCTGTATTAGCGGTTGGTCTCGAGCTAAGTTGCATAAAGCGGAAGCGTGAGAGCGGCAAAATTAAGTCATAAGTAGTGAGAGTTTGAGTGAGAGCGTGAGAGCGGCAAAATTAAGTCATAAGTAATGAGAATTTGAGTGAGAGCGCGCTCGGAACGTGAGAGCGACGCCTGTTGAGAAGGATTTCGTGACTTAGATCCTGAGACCATTAGTCCTTGTGCCACAATAAGTAGCTGACACACTAGTAAATGTGTTAATTTTTTTTATTTATTTACATGTAAGTTAGTGATTGGTTGGGACTATTGTTTTCGGGAGTATGGAATAATTTCTTCCATTGTGAAAACATTAAGAAATAAAAATTTATTTATCCAAAAAAAGGAAAAAAAAAACCTTAAAATTTTGCATAATGCTTCAAAATCAAAAGGGTATGATTGCAATCTTACAATTTGCATGAGTTATATATGTCTGTGAATTGGAATCAATCAATACCTACATAACAAAAATTGGTGATATTCTTGGAGACTTGTTTTACTCTTTCTTGTAAACCAAACTCATCTGGTTCCATAGTCATTGCTTCAGTGTTCTCAATGAGGTCTCTCTCTCTCTGTTCTTTTTTCTTTTATTTATGTATCTATTTTTTTGTTTATTTTTTATATATCAAAATAAAATAAAATAAAATAAAATAAAATATTAAAATTTATTGGAGATTTTGGGGTGCTGAATGTCAGCAGTGACTACATTACCATGGTTTCAGATATTATTATAAAGAGTTTGAATTGTATTTAGCTGGCAATTCGCACTTTAATATTCTAGAAAGTTAATGAAAAAAAATATAAAATAAAATGATGATGAAACTTGAGAAGAGAGATTCATTTCGTGTTCTAGAATCTAAAGACTTTTTAATGGGGAAGTTGACTTTGGAGGAGATCTGGAGCTAGTATAGTTGTTACCTAATTCACACAATCCTTTTTAATAGGTGTCTTCTTGCGCTTTGAGTACTCTCACGCTCCGCGTGCGTTCTCGATCAAATTCTTACGGCTTATAACTTAATTATGCAGCTTTCACGCTCCGACTCTCGAATTTGCTTTTGCTACCGATTTATGTGATTTAGGTTGTTAAAGCGGACAAGTTGAGTTTGTTACTCTCTCCGTCTCAAAATAAGTGTCCTGTTTGGAAAACCGTGACTTACATTAGTAGTACTTTCACTTTGTAATTCTTTTGGAAAAAAACGTAAAATATAAAGCATGAAGGAAAATATATCAAATCATTTGTCATTAAAATTTTAATATTTGTTAGATTCATTTCGAATCCAAAAAGTTAATATATCAATGAAAATGAAGTTATGTGAAGAATTTTAATGAATGGATTTACCGAAAAATAAAGATGAGGCCTTACTCAAATTTTGTTAGAGATAAATCGGTGCGGGAGCTAATTTCTTTATGCTTTAAGAACAACTTTTGTGTCTGCCTAATTTTGTTTTAAAACTCAAAAAAGAAAAAAAAAAATGAAAAAAGAAGAAGACAGACAAATTTTGGATTGGGTGTGTGCTCTGTGAAGGTAATTTTTGAAAATAGAATTAACAAAGTTTTGATTTTAAACAACACTTTTTGTTAATAATAATAATAATAATAAGTAGTTCCAGTGACGCATTTGAATTTTTTTATTTTTTATTTTTATGTGAGTAGAGATTAATATCATTATAACGTTACAACGTTATGATGACATCATTTTTCACTCACATAAATGTCATCAAATGTGTCATCACAACTCTTATAAGCATAAAATATTGATTAAATTATTCTAAAAGGGCGACCATGACCAAAAATAAATAAAAAAATGCATGTGCATGGGAGTGGTCTGTGGAACCGTAGATGCAATTTTATAACCCAAAAAAAATAAAAATAAAAATAAAAAGATTATCAATTTTCTTGGCGCAATGTTACATTAATTAACATTCAACATTTTGAATAGCCATATCTGCTTAGAAATTAGTGTTATATATATATATATATATATATAAATTCTTATAGGGGAGTCTCAATTCATTGCTTGAATCACGCCTCCATAAACTAGAGTTTACAATCTCTCATGTCCATATCATACTGATGTTAATTAGTGGAGCCAAAACATGTTCCTTTGTCAGCACCAGCCAGAAAATTAAATGCACTACGTTGACCTGGTGTGATTTTCCCGCCAACCAAACAAACTAAAAGAACGCCCAAGTCAACGTCCAGCAATCCATAAACACCCAGTAATCAACGATTGCAAATTGGTAATCCATGTGTGACAATTCACACCTTCGGGAAGGAAAGATTATACAATCTAGACAAATGCCCATTGCCCGTCCCCGTCAATTCAAGACTCGAACACCTTCGCGAAGAAGATATTATACAATCTAGACAAATGTCCATTGGTACATTTATCTATCATTGCCGGGGAAACTAAGTAAAAATCTGTAACATTAATTTTTCTGCTTGGGAAAATCCAAAGCAATTGAGTTGGTGTAATTTTCCCGCCTTCATGTTTTATCCTTCAATTTTCTCTTAAGATACAATTTGTGTTGTTGATGTAAGTACTTATATATGTATCTATAGAGATGATGCATTGCTTATTATGTTTTTTTTTAAAAGTAATTTAATATTGTTTTTCAATTTAGGATGTGTTTTGAAATCAAAAAAACAAAAATAAGTGAAACTCCAAGAGCTATTTTGTTTGGAGAATTTAATAGATGGTCCAATCATGCAGTCCTGGATTATATAATGATTTTTTATTTTGTTTGCTTTCACATGATACGACTAAATAGTATGGGTAAACGGTATTATTTTTCTAAAATAGACTAAAGATTCTTCATGTAAAATGATTTTAGTCCAATTTTTTTTGTTGCTGGAGAAAATCAAAAGCATAAATAAGAATAAATTTAATTTTTTTTAATCTAGATAGAGACTGTATATGGAGATAATTAGTACTCATCCATTAAAATATAATGAATGGCTGATCAATACATTTTTATTTTTTCAGAGGCTGATCAATACATATATATCCCCTATATATTAAACCATGAAGAAACAGCTTCCTTGAATCATAGAATGAGGTCTCTAACTAGCTAATCCCCACTTCAAACTTCAAATCCTGCACATGAAAAAAAAAAAAAAAATTAGAAAAAGAAAAAAGGCAAGTGAATAAGAAAACTGAATAATGTGAGTTGACCACCTTTTATTTATTATTATTATTTTTATGTACCCAATCATTATCAAGGTAGATCTGGTCACTGTTGTGAATTGGGTGATTGATTAAGAAAACCAACAATTAGGCAACATGAGAGACAAAAAGACGAAATAGAGCAAACGCCAAACCAAATTTCCCTACACAGTTAATTCCTATGTGATTGAAGTATGTGTTTGTGTCTCTGTGTTTTTTTTTGGGTTTTATTTTGTTAACTATAAAATTTTGATCTTATTCAATATATTCAAAGAAATAAAAAAATTTAGATTAGCATGTTCGGTTATACTAGGTTTGAATGGACACTTCTGAACAAATGCACACCCACTCACAATATCACAATATTACCGTAAAAGGGTTTAACTAAACTCCATTGGTCAAATAATGTATCTATGGTTGAAAAAAAAAAAAATGAAAGATCAAAGACATATATATATATATAATAACTTACTGTTGAAATTCTATGTTAACGGATGGCGAAGAACCGTCGGAGATGGCTGCATAAGCAGTGGAAGAGAGGACCATGGTGGTGGCAGCCCTGAAAGGCCTAGACACCGACGTCTGAGCTCGATCCACAATCTTAACTTGAATAGTCTGGTTAGGTTTGCAGCTTCTTGGATTAGCTGCACTTATGCACCTAACCAAGTATTGCCTTCCACACGCTGCACCGTTGTCCCAAATCCCCTCCCCTGCAGCTGCAAACAAGTTCGTCGTCGGGAACTGTGACGGGTCATTTCCATTGCACGCCGTCGCTGTTAAGAGTCATTACCCAATGTGATCCTCGTTAATCGAAAGTGTCAGAAATAGTATTGACACATTTTTCAAAACTAAAAAGATTACATGTCAAAAATGCTCGGTCACCACTCTGTGACCTTGGCGCCTTAGTACGCCTTGAGCCTTTAAACAATTACACTATACAATGCATGCCCCACCCAATACTTCACACACACACACACGATGAAGAATCGATCGATCTAGGGAGCATTCCACCCGCAAGCAGCGGTGGACGAACCAGAAGCGAGAATGTCCGCTTGAGTAACGCAAACATTGGTGAAATCCAATGCCCCAGAAACCCATGTTCATCCACTGAGTTGTGGCCTAAGATCAGGCCGAAAGGGTTATTAACGATGTTTTGTAACATATTTTTCTCAATATATAAAAAATGAATGATATGTTGTAAGTTAAATTTGTAAATATATACATAAAGAAAAGGGACTTACGTATATATGGTGGGTTATAGTGTGAAGTAGTGCCAATGTCGCAGAGAGAAGCATGGAAGAACTGTGCAAAGAGGAAGAGAGACAGCCATGGAAGGAGTTGTTGATGATGCTTTGACATCCTGCATACGATTTATCTAACGATCTTCATTAGCTACCACACACACACACACACCCACACACACACATATATATTGAATAATAGTCAACACATTATAAATTAGGTTTAACTAACATTTAAATAGTGGCTGAGAGAGATCATGTAGGTTAAAAATTAAAACGGCTTGTAGAGGTTTTCAAACTCTCGGGACTGTGAAAGGTTCTGATTTTCCTTGGTTGTCCTATTTCTCTTTATTTTCGGTAATAAAATAATACAGTTACCTAACATAAATATATATATATATATATATATATATATATATATATATATAATATAAATAAAAATTAATTATGCAATGCAATATAATAAAGTCAAATCATAATCATCTTAATTCTTACCTTTATTTCATATCATGAAAACATTTTAAAATCTGAGAATACCTACTGTGTGGTGTCCCACACATGAAATATTTACTTTCTTTCTATAGAAATAGAGTCGATTACATGAATTTTTTTATATATATAAAATTATACTTTTGAATGTAAAAATTACTGAGTAAATTTTTATTGACTGAAACTAAGATTTCGCAAACATATTTGCTTTGTTATTGTTGTAGCAAATAAATTATTGTATGTATATATATATGCCAAATATTTTTTTGAACATTATTTTCAAATTGCATGCATGCTGTAATGATCACCATTTGGCGGTATGAGACCTCCTTAATTATATATATATAAGAAAATAAAAATAGGAAAAGGACTACGCATGTATAGATATATGAATTCAACTGAAGTCCAAACACTAAGAAATAGTCAGGCCTGGTATATATGGGCCGGCCAGACGGCTGTAGACGGTGTCAGCCCACAAGACACTGTCATTTTATATAATTTCTTTAACGAAATTATATATATATATATATATATATATATATATATATATATATATTTCTTGTAAGTAAGGAATGCTTCTGTAATTATATTAGTGATTTCTTTAATTGAAATTCTTTAATTGAAATTGCATTATATAGTTTGCTCCTATTGCATCTACACAAGGTGATGGGATGTGAAGATTGGAGACCAACTTAGGAATTGTTCGGTTTATTTTTTAATTTATTTTTTGTTCTAAAATTTGTTCTAGAATTTTTAAGAGGATATATTGAATCAAACAGGCCATATGCCTCCCATGGTTTGATCATGCATAAATCCTAGTTTTATTAAGACCTTTTCTTAGAATTTACTCACACACACACACACACACAGTATATGACCACTTTTTTTTTATCAATAGCTGCACCAAACAAACATAATCGGCTCACCCAACTAGGTGCTAGTTTGAACCATTCCACAAACTTTTGTCCAAATTTACACGTCTAGACTATATGTCAAGAAAAAACACAAAACAAAAACAAAAAAAAAATTGTATAGAAAGACATAGCAGCTTTGAATCATGGCCATCTCCAAAAAAAACTGGGCCCACCAGAGGAAATAGAATGAAGCATACCTTGAAGAGTATTTGGCTAAGTTGGAGGAATGAATTAAGACCCTGCAAAGAAAAAGATAGCAGGTCAAAAGCTAAATGCAAGGCTGAATAAGAGGCCTATACAAGTATATATATGTGTGTGTGTGTGTGCATTCATTGTTTCTGAGTAATTAATATTCTTATTTTGGTATATATATATATATATATATAGCAATCTGACACGAGATTTCATACCTTAAATGTTTTTTCCGCTGTTTCAAAGAAATTAATGACTCATTACATGGATATATATATCAAAAGAACAATTTGGAGATCGAATCAAATGGATTGCTTCCAACATATTACATATTTATACATTCCTTTTAAGAATCAATTTGAATACACCATAAATGTAGCAAAAAGTTGGAACTTTAGTCAATTACTTGCCTTTTGAGAGAAGTAAATTTCTTATATCTTCCAAAAAATTATTTGAATTATTGGGTTTTATCATATAATCTAGTATGAAAATGTTTTTTTTTTTAATATAACTTGCACGTATGTCCAATCAATATAGCTTTCTTTCCTCACTCAACCGGGGATATATTATGGGGGGTGTATATATATATATATTCAATAGTACAAATGGTGAACTTTTAGATTTTTTTTTTTTTTTCAAGGTGAACTTTAGATTGCAGTTATGCTTCTAAGTACCGTGTAACTTATCTAAGGTATCATGAAAATTGCCACGTGTAACGTAAAGTTATGTAACAACTAACAATAAATTGTTTTTGTTTACCATATGTAACGTAAAGTAATTGATTGTGTTTGTTGATATATCAAAGTTAATCCGGTTCATTTATGAGATTATTGTAATCTCACTTTGAATTCAATTCATAAAGAATCAAGGGGTATGTCCAAAGTCACGTAAAGGTGCCGGAGTGAAAACGAATACGTAAGCAGAAGTGTAACAACGGTAAAATTTAAGCGAACCAAAGTAAGAATCGAAACGACAGCATGTACGGAGCATAAGAGTGGGAGTATCACAAAATGTAAGAGCAAAACCAGTTTAAAATAATTGTGACTTGAGTTATACGAAATTGCCAACTCTGTAATAATGCTAGGAAAATGATAAAGTAATATGAGAGTGAACACAACCCACCCAAGTAAATGTAATCCGACTTTATAATGTTATGGTGAGATCTACCATTTGCTACAAATTTTATAAATAAAAGATATTGATAAAACTGGAATTAAGAATGTTTAATAACGAGCAAATAATGAGTCCATAAGAAGTGATCCCATTTTTTTCATCGGGTCCGGGTAGAGACCAAAGATCTTGAACGACCGATCCGGCAGAACAACTCAAAAGATAAAGAAGTATCGTTAATTTCTTCATACTCGTTCCAAGTTCGAAGTACCATTTGTACAAATAAAAATCCCCTTCGTTACATGATTTCTGAATATTAAAAGAAAAACGTATTTGTGTTGGCACATAAAAATGAGAGTCTACATTGACCTGAATCAACAAGAACTTCAACATTTGAGACCTGAGATGTAAGGGTAACATTTGTAACCCCCGCAACATCAAACAACTTCATTTAATGTATTTTGATTTAACAATTTTAATACAAGTTCAGCATTTCCATTCCTTTATATACTTCAATTCCTTGGTTTTAACATTACAACCTTAATAGTCCTTTCATCGAAGGCACAAGTATTTTGTTATTCCTTCTCTTTTATAGTCGTCTGATCATTCAAAAATGATAACTTTTGTAACTTGTTCGATAATCTTTGAATCTTTGGATACTCTGGCATGCCCACACACTTCTAGAACAGCATTTGTGAGCCAACAATGTATAATAGAAAAAACTCTAAGGAAACCTACTAAATGAAACTAAAAATATAAGGAAACTAGTAGAATGTTATCTTAAAAATTATGAGAAAATAAGGTAAGAAACCTTATTATTAAACCCTATTAATTACCAAAAATAAATTTTAAGAAAAATTCTAAAATATTCAAAATTAGTAAAACGCAATTTATGAACCATAAATGATGGGATTTGTCTGAAAAGTAGCTGGAGTCAACAACGTCGAGTTTTGTGAGTTAGGCCATTTCTTATCATTGTAAGGTCTTGTTGGATCAAAGCAGACTTATCAATACTACTCCAAAAAATTGTGTCAACACTTGATTGGGTTTTGGCTGTCCAAACCGGCTCCAAAATCCTCAGCAACTTATGTCAAACATATGATTTGTTTAGTTCTGTTTCTGTTTTCTAAGAACTAAAAATTGAAAAACACTACAAAAATCAGTATTTGGTTTAATTTTTGAAAATCTCAGTTAAAAAACGAATGGTTTTAGAGGACTATCATATATAATTTTGGGAAAACTAGTATAAGTAGACTTAATAGCTTTAAATAACAAAATAGTCTACTTTTAAAGTTCATTTTTCAATTTGATTAAATTAAGCAAATAGTCTACTTTTAAAGTTCATTTTTTAATTTGATTAAATTAAGCAAATTAATTACAAAACATCAACAATTATTTTTAAGGTCCAAAATATCCCTCAAACTCTAATTCTAAAATACTAAAATATTCATATAATTATATAAGAATAATAATACTTGGTCCAATATTTTAGAGCCTAATTTGGTTCGGTTCTTACGTGGCAGGACACATCATCGCTCTTACCATTTTTTTTTTCTTTCCAAAAGGACGTTTCTCTCTCTCTTCAATTAGATTGGGTTCCATTCCCTCTATCTTCTCTTCTTCATTCCGTGCCCCTCTCTATCTTCATCATCTCTCTCTCTTCCCTCTCGTTCCAGTATGAACAACCACTTTGATGAATTGGTTTGTCTTTGTTGTCTTCCTCATATCTCTTGTACAGTGGCTTAAGCTTTATTTTTTTTATCTACAATGATTTGTTTACCAAAAATAAATAAAGGATAAAGTGAAAATTTTGGTTCTTGGGTCAATTGATCTATATCCAGTATGTTACATATATAACCCATGAAAAAAAAAAAAATTTCACAAAATTTTGAAATCAGAAAAGATCTAATTGAAGAGAGAGAAAGTCTCATTGAAGAGTGAAAATTTATTTCAAAATTAAGAACAAGAGTCACAACTTAAACCATAAACATCTAGGGTTGATCCCAAATTTTACTATTGAAGAGAAAATAAAAAAGAATGAAAAAATCAGACCATATCTAATTGAAGATATGGTATATGTATAAACATGTAAATAGTACCTATAAAGAGGGAGAAAATGCCGTGTAAAAAAAATAAAAAAATTTAGTTTTGTAAGATATTCCCTAATCTTTTGTCATGTTTGTTGCAATGGATTTGATTTTCTTCACAAATTTTCTCACTCACGCTCCTTCCAAACTTAGGATCCACCATCAAGATTCAATAGTTTCTTATTGACATCTGGTATTTTGAAATTATATAACTCTAAGGATATTTTGGTATTTTAGAATAAGAGTTTGGAGGGTGTTTTGGACCTTAATAATTATTATTGATGTATTTGTAATTATTTTATTTAATTCAATCAAATTGAAAAATGAACTTTAAAAGTAGACTATTTTGTTATTTAAAGGTACTAAGTCTATTTATATGTAGTTTTCCTTATAATTTCCCAATTTTTAAAAATTTGTTTTCAAAAAACTAATCCAAACATACCCCTTAAAAAACAACGAGGTAGTGAGCTATTCTATCGTGAGAGACATCGGCCCATAAATCAATATGGGCCTCAATTTCATCCATACTGGGTCCAAGACTCGGTCCATATACCTTTCCCATGTAATCACTTCTGTCCAGTTATGCTCTGTTTGTCTTCAGTGCCATTTGCTTTCCGAATTCTGATTCAGTGAACGACAACCAAAATTGTTTTCTCAGTGAGCTTGATTTCATAGTCTTCTGGATTTCAATCAGCCACTTCTGGGTCTTCCAATTCCTCAACTGTAAGTGTCGTCTCTAAAAGCTTGCTGCTTCTTGGAATTGATTGGTTCTGGTGAATTGGGTTATCTCTTTTCTTGATGGGTACATCATCTGCACAGTACCCATTTGGTATCAGTGTCCATTTCCATGGAAATTCTAGGGTTTCACCTTCTACAACTGAGTTCTTAAACTTCAAATTTCTTTCCAATGGAGACTTTTCAAGAACAAATTCGTACTTGAGTTCTGCTCCAACTAGTACTTCTAAGGTATTCAAAGTTCCTTTCATTTTCTGTTCTTTTATTGCACATATGTCTTATATTGTCTTATATTTGGTTAATTTTGATTATTTGATCGTGTTACATGTTCGAATTGAAGTGAAAGGTCCAAGCTTGTAAGGCTGTATTGTTAATTTGTTATTCTAGAATTTATTTTACAAATAATGGCTTCATCTGCTACTTTTTGAGGCTCTTTTTTTAGTTTTAATTCCATAAATCTGCTTCGCCCAGGCCAGGGTCTTTCTTTGCCACTGCTCAGTTCATGTTCAGGATTTATTCTGATTTGGGTAATAATGAAATTGCTTGAAATTTATAGACAATATTTTCCTTTTGGGGACTCTGTTCCCTTTTTCCATCCATGCTTTATAGCTATTCAAGGTCGAAAGACACCTATACTTATATTGATTTACTCTAACCCTGTGGTGATGAGTAGTTTTAACAACGAACTTTCCACATTTGAGAGTCATTATATCTTCTTTTGGGAGTAAATGAAAATAAAATCAAGGTTGTTTGCTTCTAAAAATATAACTATGTGAGATGGGTTTTGCTATCCATTAAGGTACGTAGCAAACTTATAACATTTATTAAAAATCATCAAGCTTTGCTATTAATTAGACTTCATGGTAGGTAATAAACGTATTCGAACTTCTAAAAATTAATCCTAAAATTGTTTTAATTTAGCCATGCCAAGATTTTAATGTCCTTTGACTCTTGACAGAAAAAATTATTGATCCTTCATTCCCCCTATCGTCTCAACTGAACTGTGAACCTCGTTACTTGTTAGCAACTTTCGAGCTTCCAATCTATTTGTTTGGATTAGAACTTAGTGTAGCAAATTTTATAACAAAAGTCGGCGTCTATATTTTATTTTTAGATTTTGATTTGATTTTTAAAATTAGTTTAGTTAGTTAGTGGCGATTCCTGTGTCCAATGGCAGAATCAGATATGAAGATATGTCAAAGGACAAAAAGATAAAATTAGCTCAAAAATAACTAACTCACTGATTATGGTTTATATTCATGCATTCTCATTTAGGGCACAACTCATGAAAAAGTGTTTTGAATACATGAAGTTGTTTTTGGAATTAATGTTTTTAAAGAGGAAATGTTAACAAAAACGATGAGCCTCAATCGATGTGCCGGTCAGTCAAAAATTTCCGGAATATGTTTATCGATGTCTAGAATGCTTTGAGCAAAGGCTTGATCGATCAACGTGTCCACGAATAGTTGTTGAAAACTTCTCTAAATCAAAATCCTAAAATGTTTAGGTTTCCTATACCGATTACAACTAAGAAACCTTAATTTCTTTGAACTAAAGGCATTATTCAAAGACCTCTAGGCTCTCATGCTATATACTGAGAGATCTGTAGACACATTATTGAGAAATCATATAGAAAGAGTTACTGGTCTACCTTTGTCCTAATTGGTTTGGGTCTAAACTCCCAACTCCAAGGTCAAGGTTTCAAGAATGGTACTTGAGAAAAAAAAAGAAATCATATAGAAAGAGATCACATATTTTTAGAATATTTTGATATCTTGATGATGCATTAGATAGGTGAGTTATTATTCAAAGTGTTGAAAATCATAATTTTTGTTCTACACGGAGAATTCGACAGAAAAGTATACACAATGAATAGGCAACATGGACGATGAGATTAAATTACTTGTTGGAGAAGCAGGTCGCGTGAGGAAACGGATCTGTTGACAAGCGGATTGTGTGACTAGAGATTTGAGTGGAGAGTTTGGTGGAGCATTTAGAAGGTACCTACGAGTTTTCTAAGGTTTGGGAAACTTGTAACCTAGTTGTATGTGACATCCCACATCGACTGAGGGAGAAATTGTTGACACTTATATATGTAGATGCTCCCTAACTGTATAGACGCGTTTTAAAAACCATGAACATGAAGAGTGTGCAAAGTGGACAATATCTAGACAATGGGTCGGGGTCATGATAGATGGTATTAGAGCCATTCCCTAACCAAAAATAGGGAAGCGATCACAATCCCATTAGGGTTGGGCCAGTGAGGACGTTGGGTCTCAAGAGGGGGTGATTGTGACGTCCCACATTACCTAGGGGGAGAGGTTGTTTGGCACTTATATGTGTAGATGCTTCCTAACTGTGTAGATGCATTTTGAAAACCGTGGGGGTGAGGTTCTTGGTATTTATATGTGTGGATGCCACCTAACTGTGTAGATGCGTCCGAAAACCGTGAGCATGGAGAGTGTGCAGTGATTGTGACGTCCCACATCGCTTGGGAGGAGAGGTTGTTGGCACTTTTATGTGTAGATGTCTCCTAACTGTGTAGATGTGTTTTGAAAAATGTGAGCATGGGGAGTGCAAAGGGGCCAATATCTACACAGCAGGGTGGGTCGTGACATTGTAATATCTCTCTCTAGTGGATTTGATCTGTTTGGACTCATGTTGAGGGTTTTTTACGTAAAAATTGTGTGTTCTTGTGTGTTTGTATGGTTTATTGCTGCATTTTTTTTATTTATTTTTTGATAAGTTAAAAGGCAAATATAAGTGAATTGCTGCATTTCGAAATAAATATTAGAGTTAAAAATCAGTTATTGTTAGTTAAAATTGGACAAGATCTATTTACCCCCTCTAGATCTATTATGGGACTTGCATGAACTCTCTATCAGAGCCTTGGGTTCCAGTTCTGCACTTAAGACTATTGTTATACAATAAGTTCTGGTTCTAATTCCATTCAGTATGACGAAAATTTGAGCTCCTCTCCTTCTATTTGTGCACAGAGATTATTTTTTTTGGGTGCATATTGATAATTAAAAAATCCTTGTGGTCATATTCTTTACAATCAGTCATTAGTTGATGGGCAGGTAATTTATGATTTTCCTTGATGCAGGAACGTGTTGGCCGGATATATTCTCTGCCTGATATTGGTGATTTCTTCTGGGATAAAGTTCCAACACCCATGCTAGATATGGTTGAAAACCCTATGCATTTGAAGAACTTGTCTCCAAAGGTTATAGAGTTAGATTTCTGATATATTTGAACTTTTAGAAGTCTCAAAATTTCAAGTTATCTTGAAATCATTGGCTTCTCAACTCACTAAAATTAGCTGTATGCAGGAACTGAAACAATTAGCTGATGACATCCGGTCAGAGTTATCTTTTATAATGTTGAAAACTCGAAACCCCTGCAAAGCCAGTCTTGCGGCAGTGGAGTTGACAATTGCAATACACCATGTTTTTCATGCTCCGGTGGACAAGATATTGTGGGATGCAGTGGAGCAAGTAAGATCATATTTTATACCTTCAGATAAAGGTGCATACTTATTCTGTAGGGTGAGAGGGATGAGAGTGCATTAACATTACTTGGTGTGGTTGTTGGGGATATGGGGAGGTGGTGCCAGAGTGAGAGAGCAGTGGGAGCCAAGCTAACATAGGTGAAAGAGAGAAGACAGAGAAGGACTTGGTAATAGCATATGCTTAGTGTATATCTTCTTTCTGGTGTTACTAGTTTTAAAGCATATTCCAAGGAAAAAAAAAAGCATATTCCAAGCATTTATATGCCATTTTTACAAGTTAAAATGTGATGCACCTTATGATTAATTCCCTTCTTTTAACTGAACAGACATATGCACATAAGATCCTCACTGGAAGGCGGGCCCTCATGCATACACTTAGAAAAAAGAATGGTCTTTCAGGTTTCACATCCCATTTTGAGAGTGAATTTGATCCATTTGGTGCAGGGCATGGATGCAACAGTATTTCTGCTGGACTTGGTAGTACTTATTTGCATCCTTTTTCATTCTTTTTCTTATTGTGAGTGAACGGTCATCTGTCAATGATTCATGTTTCTGCTGCTATTTTATATACTAGTCATGTATTTTGTTTCTGTCTAGTTGGAAACTCAAGCCCTCAAAGCATTGTTAAAAACTTGGTTACAGGAATCTTATTTCGCCATTCTATTCTGTTTACATCTATAATTTCAGTTAAACTACTAGCTACTTTGTCTTTCCTTACTTTTCTAACTCATGTCAGTGTTGGTCATTCCTTCCGCCCCCCCCCCCTCCTCCTCCTCCTCCTCCTCCTCCTCCTCCTCCCTATCTGAGTCAATTTTACTCTCTCATTGTTATTGTATTTCACGTACACAAATCATCTTAATTGGTTCCATTTTATTTTTCACCACTTGTTGCCAAACACCGTCTCAGGAATATATTTGTTCCCTTCTCTTAGCATTATTTTCTGTAAGGATGCTACTTTCACATCCATCTCAGTATCCACATTTTGGTCATGTTTATAAGGCCATTACCTTGTGCTGGTCTCATCTGCACAAGGTGCTGAGAGGAAAAGATTGGAGACAGACGTGACATTTAGTATTATTTTACACAAAAAGGCTGCACTCAGACTCTAACGGAATCTTAATGTTTGTCAATTTAATCTTTTTCAATTGCACTGAGCTATGATCCTATGTTCATTTTATAGAAATATTTTATTTATTGAACCACCCAGTATTTTGTCATTGTTCAGTAACTATTCTATACAACTTTTCCTTTAGTTTCATAGGTGTGCGTCAATAACACAATACACCAAAAGCATTCCATTACTTATGTTATCTACTTTAATTTGTACAAGCAACATTATCTCCAACTTTTTTCTTCTTGTAAATAATTGAGCATAGAGATTTAACCTGTTTTGCTCTTAGTATCTTTGTATTTTGGAGCTTTCCTTTTTTTTTTTTTTTTTTTTTTGAAGTGTGAAATCTATAATAATATATGTATAATCATACCATATCATCTAATTCAACCAGTTTTAGGTGAAATCTTCTTTGGACTTTCTAAGAGAAGACCCAACTTATTTTAGAAAAATCTTGCAGCATTCCTTCAATTTTCTTTTCAGGATTAAACATGGAAATTGAGAAATGGTGCATGTAATTCTTTAAATTCAGGAATGGCAGTTGCACGGGATATTAAAGGGAAGCGAGAACGTGTAATTGCGGTAATCAGCAATGCGACAACCATGAACGGTCAGATTTATGAGGCAATGGGCAATGCAGGTTATTTGGACTCAAACATGGTTGTGATATTGAATGACAGTTGCCATTCATTACACCCAAAGCTCGAGGAGGGCCACAAGACACCAATCAATGCTCTATCTAGTACTCTAAGCAAGCTGCAGTCCAGTAAATCCTTCCGGAAATTCAGAGAAGTAGCCAAGGCAAGCTTTATTGGTTTTCCATTTATTCTGCTTAGCTATATCCATGGAATAATTTGATTCCAAAAAGTATTTAAAGAAATTTTGAACATCACAAAAATTGTGAAGTCCTTTTGTAAAGTTAAATTGTTATGTAGTCTGCTAAAAGATTAATGTGACCACTGACAATTGCATCGTGTACATGATTTACATTACATCTATGCAGGACATGGGCGCAGCAAAAAATACTTAGTTGTGGGGGCCAAACTAGTATTATGAAATTAAAATTAAAATTATTTATAAAATAATTGAATTTTTCCTTACAATATAAGTCTTTTTATTCTTCAGAGCATGTCTACATAAAATTGAGCTTTGTCCTTGTAGTTCTTAGATCCAAAGATGGTCTCACAGCCTTACAACACAATGTTATAGGGGGGCGAGCTTAGTGAGAGCGCCCTTGTCATTACTTTTTCCTATTCTTGGCATAACCTAAAACATAAGGAACATACAATGATATAACCTAAAAAAAATGGGAAAATAAAACTTGAATAAATAGAACTGGGAAGATTGATGTGAGAAGGAAAAGATAAGAGAAAAAACATGATGAAAGGCAATAAATGAGACTGTCAGGTTCGAGCATACAATTTTCTTTTTTCCTTTAGTGATATAGATAATAGAATTATATACACACACATATCTGAATAGAGTATGTAATAATGAATTTATTGTTTTACCATATGTAGACTTTCTAAAGCAAGAATAAGAAGGTTACTTTGGAGGGGGCACATTTTTTTTTTCGAGTTCGTGATTGACATCAATAAGGACCCATTTTTTTTTTGATAAGTGACATCAATAAGGACCCATAAATAAAGGTTTTGAAAAAAACATGGGTGGGCCAGTGATCCATGGCCCTTCTTAGTCCTCTCTGGTTCCGCCCCCGACGCAGGACCTTGGAAAAAAGGAAAAAGGTAGGACTGGGTGGATTTTTATAAAATATCCTGGATATCGATTGGACTGCATTGAAAGTTATAATACATGGGATGGGTTCAGGTTACACAGGCTTAATTAGAAACTTTTTCGTACTTAACATGGTGAATAATGTTGTATGGTAAATCCATGCATTATACCTTCATCACCATCAGTCATATGTTTTTCTTTTCAGGGTCTCACTAAGAGATTTGGTAGCGGTATGCATGAATGGGCAGCCAAAGTTGATGAGTTCGCGCGTGGTATGATGGGTCCACTAGGAGCAACACTCTTTGAGGAGCTGGGGTTGTACTACATTGGCCCCGTTGATGGACACAACATCGATGACCTTTTATGTGTTCTACATGAAGTTGCATCCTTGGATTCGATGGGTCCCGTGTTGGTTCATGTAATAACAAAGGAAGATCCGGAAGTAGAAGTTACCCAAAAGAACAACACAGCAAACAAACATAGCGAAAGTATGCTTCTTTTATTTATTTTTCTTGTTTCTCATATTCTTTTTGTAATTTCTTACACATAAGCTCTCAGAATTTACATGTTCAAGCTGAGTTTGGGGGCAAAAAAGAGTTGCTTAGACAAACTTCACTTTAGGCTCATGTTTTGAGGCTTTAGCTCAAACTTGGACCAGGCCTTTGGTCAGACCAAGAGCTGGGTTTGTGCCTGGCTAGCCATGTTGCTGAGAGCTTGGGAATGCCTAAGCTTTCTATAGTCCCAATTGAATATGACTTATTTTAGAATTTATATTGATGCTTCTATTTATTTATTTTCTTTGTAGTAACTAAGGAATAAAAAAATAAAGTTAAAAAAGGGAGCACCAAAAGGAAGTGGAAACCAACTAGCCAAGTACATGCAGACTACATAGGAGCAAGAGTGCAAGATAGAAACAAACTAGCCAGAATTCTAAATGATAGTACATCTCTTTAAGAAAATCAACAGGAAAAAAAATAAAAATTCACACACTAACCCAAAACACAAATATGCAAATATTTTAAAAGCACAAGTATGACTATTATACTCCTTCCAAATGCACTAAGGCATGACTGTTCTTTTTACTTTCATTGAGTTCAAAATTACAATACTTCTATTAGCCTGTAATTTTTGAAAGAGTGTCATAGAAAATGAATTTAGAGATAAATATTCAAGGTAACTTACCAGTAAGTTGAATGGGTTTTGCATCGTCAAGTTCTGCTTAGGAGCCACTTGTATGAGATCAGCCTTGTCCTGAGTGGACATAGCAGGGCTTGTTGACTCTTAACATCAAAAAGAACTTATTGTTATGACAACAATCAGGTTCTTCTCACATAAGTACATATGTACATGCATAACATACATTGCACATACATATATACATGCATGTATCTAAGTGCCTCTGTGTATGCACAAGTATATAAATAATTAATCAAGTCAAATATGTTAGGAAGTGGATGCCCTCCCTTCTAATGCTATATAACAGGACATTTGAAATTTCAGCAAGCATCTTTGCAAGGTCCTGGGTCAGTTCCAATTTCAGGAAAGAAAAAAAAAAAATGGACTGCTTGACAAAGCATCTTAGAATCAATTAATTACCATTGTCCAAAAACAATAACTATTATTAAATTTCTTGTTTCTATATATTAACAGGTCCATAACAACCTCACCCCATATTCTATGTGTTGCAGCTTGTCCTTTTATGCTTCTCGTATACTAATTTATTGTTTCTTTAACACAAAAGAAAGGAACCACATGTGAGTTTTCTCAATGTTTTCGTTGGCTTGTTTCTTGTTTAAAGCAGATTCATGTAACCGTGATTCATTACCATGTAGTAGTCACCCTCGAACATATAGTGATTGCTTTGTGGAGGCTCTGATTTCAGAGGCAGAAAGAGACAACGAAATTGTCGCAGTTCATGCAGGAATGGGAATGGAACGATCACTTGAACTATTTCAGGAGAAGTTCCCAGACAAGTTTTTTGACGTGGGGATGGCTGAGCAGCATGCAGTTACATTTTCTGCCGGTTTGTCTTGTGGGGGATTGAAGCCATTTTGTATAATTCCATCTGCTTTTCTGCAGAGAGCTTATGATCAGGTCCCCCTTCTCTCTCCCTTTCTCTCTGATGTCTTATGGAAATTTTATGACTCCTTGCAAGATACTTGAAAGTATAGAATTTTTTTAGTAGTTGGGCACTAAAGGAAGCCGTCACATAACTGATTGCTTATGTACTGACTAAGGATTTTATAACATGATGTTTCAGTTTTTGCTATCATTTTTTGATGGAGGCCATTTTCTAGTGGCTTTCTCTATCCACAATGTTGGTTTCAAAAAGGTATATGAAGCAAAAATGGGGCAATTTAATTTACATGGAATGTCTAAGGCTCCAACCCGCTTGTCAACTTATTATTTTTTTTATCTGAGGTGGGAGGGTATTTGATATGGAAAAAAATAATTAGTTGAATGTGAAGCAACTGAATTAGGAATCAATGAATGTGATGCTTGTTTGATATGGAAGTATATAATTAGTTGAATGTGAAGCAGCTGAATTAGGAATCAATGAATGTGATGTTCGATTTTATGTAACATGGATGCTTGTAAATATAAGAGGCTGCATAATTGTGTGTCGGTCTGTTAGGAAATCACTTTGTCAATCTTTAAGGGGCATGTGTTTCTTACTTTAATTAATTCTAGAGATTGGAGAGGAAATAATTACTTAAATGAATACCACCAAGTGTTTTAATTTACTACCTCGATATGATCCCTTAATTATGTTGATTTGTTAATAAAATAATCCTTACTGCATTTAAAATCTTGGTTTAAGGATGATTCAGATGAGAGAAAATAACTTTCTACAATAACCAAAATTTGCACAGTAAATAAATCTCTTTTTGGTAACCAAGCATGGGCTGATAGAATGTTGAATTGCCTGAGAACAGATGATCAATGCATTATGTACATATGTCAATCACTGAATCTTAGTTGAAGCTTCGTCTCTATTTGTTCAATTATGTAAACAATCGATGTTTTCGTACATAAATGCACATGATGAACTTCTTCTTACCATGTGCTTGTTTATGTCCATGACTGTACATAAGCCCTTGGATGGACAATCCTCATTGTATGTTGTTCTGCCTCGTATACCTATAGATATGTTTCTGTATGTTCATCATTGCACTACATGACGTCTTTCTTTCTGTGCCAACTTATAATTATTTTGTGCATATTTAGATCTAGAAAATACTCTTTTTCTCTCTATATCTTCATTCATTTCTATAGCCAATGGATGCATGCAAATACATACTTATAAATGGATATTTGTACAATAATGTAAGAATTGGTACTATCTTAAATGAGATAGGATTATGGTTGTATATAATGGAATGGCATGAAACCATGTTTTGGCACTATATTTTGGAGGGGGGGTGGGAAAGAAAAAAAATCAAAAACAACCTGGAAACACTATGCCCTCTAAAGTGTTTGTGTTCCCTTTTTGTATCCTTAGGTTGTTCACGATGTAGATCGGCAGAGAATTCCAGTGCGTTTTGTCATCACAAGTGCAGGATTGGTAGGATCTGATGGTCCCACACATTGTGGAGCATTTGATATAGCTTTCATGTCATGTTTGCCAAATATGATTCTCATGGCACCATCTAACGAGGATGATCTCGTACACATGGTAGCCACGGCAGCCCATATTAATGACAGGCCAGTTTGCTTCCGGTATCCTAGAGGTGCTATTGTTAAGAATAGCACTACATGCAGTGGAGTTCCAATTGAAGTAATATATCGGTACCCTTTCTATATGTCTTGTTTATATTGACTTTCTGTGACGTATTAATTGCCATCCTTTAACATTGTCTTTGGGTCTGCATATCTGTTTAAAAGTAACAGTGTAACCAAAATCGATGATTTATTTTATCATGCATAAAGGTCAGTACATTTATTTGACATGAAAAATTTAAGGATCAGTTCAGTATATCCTGTTCTATGTTCATATATTTCCCAAAGTATTGCTTAACTATTACAAGTTCCTTTCAATATCTTTTTCATTACTTCTGGATTTTCTACTATTTTCTCAAATAATCTTTAGCATTCACACTGTAACCCTTGCTGACCAGTTTTGAGTTCTAAAATTTGTCACTACACTGGTTCCCTATATGACTACTTCCTAATATGAAGCAGATTGGTAAAGGGAAAGTTCTTATAGAGGGTAAAGATATTGCTTTGCTTGGCTATGGAGCTATGGTACAGAACTGCCTTAAAGCCCAGTCCCTTCTTTCAGAGCTTGGAATTGATGTCACTGTTGCCGATGCAAGATTTTGCAAGCCACTTGACATAAAGCTGGTCAGGCAGCTATGTGAAAACCATGCCTTTCTGATCACCGTTGAGGAAGGCTCTATTGGAGGATTTGGATCACATGTTGCACAATTTATTACACTTGATGGGCAACTCGATGGAAGAATCAAGGTAATATTTTTTAACCTTGTATGTATCGACAAATTCATTTCCTCAATGGACTTAAAAGGAATTTTTTATTTTATTTTTCTAAATATGAATTTGGGTGCTATGTGATCCGATGAGTAGCTTCTGCGCTCTTGCTAACTTATGAACTGGCTGAAGTATGTAAAGTTTGTGCTCACATCATTGATTTGATATGCATTTCTTAGATACTTCTTTTGTTATGTAGCAAGTGTTAAAGAAAGTGAAACATAATTCTAAATTTTGAGCTGAATATATCTAAACAATTGTAAGATGGCTATCTGGCCGCTAAATACTTCCGTTCTGCTGCAGAGAAAGAGTAAAATATTTAAATCATGGGAAAAAAGAAATGGAAAAGTAATAGGTCAAATCCTTCACTTTTGTGTAGTTAGATAAAACAAATGAAGGGGAAATTACAAAATTGCCACCAAATATGGTGGAGGAACTGAGAGAATGTATACTTTTGGTTTTGAAGAGTTGCAGTAATTGCTTTTTAACACAGCATAGATAATTATGACATGGGTGCTTATTCCCAGGAAGTGGTGTTGCTAACTAGCACTCTGTACTTTAACTGAAAAAAAAAAAAAAAAAAAACTATCACTCTGTATTGTTATTACTTTCTTTAGAGAAATTAATTTCACTAAAAATGTAAAGAAAGGGAATGACTTGCTCGCTTCTGCCTCATTGTTTTCCGTTCTCTATAATACCTGGGAATCCAAAATCCCTTTCCTTTTCCCTTTTCCTCCATTTTCCGTAACCACTGTGAATACATGTAGTTCATCACAGATTTTTATTTTATTTTTTATTCCATAATTGGTCATCACAGTTTAGTTTGGTGCCAGGCTTGATGGCTTGAGTATTCTCATCAAGCATAGCATGTTAATTAGTTCTTAATGAACTCATTGGTCTATTGCAATGTAGGTTTATAACAGGGGTTCTATTTTGCACATGCATTTGGAGAGTTTTGAATCTCTTCTTCGTTGATGGATTAGGAACCAGATAGATAAAATCTAATTTTGACATTTCTGTAGTTAGGCACACTCTTGTTCAAATTTTGACCCCCATTCTGATCCTTCTCTGAATCAAATCAACTTTTCCAGTGGCGACCGATTGTTTTACCAGATAACTACATAGAGCATGCTTCACCAAAGGAACAGCTTGCTATTGCAGGCCTGAGCGGACACCACATTGCTGCAACAGCATTGAGTCTGCTTGGACGTACCCGTGAAGCTCTCCTTTTGATGTGCTAGGGGTGTGATTTCTTTTTATCGTTGTCGATGATTGAAGCTGCTGGGGAAGAAAGAGTGTCGATGAATCAAAGCTCTAGAGTGACGTTTCGTCTACTGATCTTTGGGTATTTTCTCTCTCATTGTGGTGTTGTAGTTTGTACATATGTGATTGCTGCTTTTGCCCCCTTAATTATATGGTATCATTTATTTTGTCCCAAGGGCAGGTTTATTTCTTTCTAAAACATGATCTACAACTAAATACATGATAATAAATATTCTTTCTTAATTATATTTTCTTCTTTCCTTTTCTTTTGCCTTCTCTCTTTTTCTTCTGAGCTCATAATAAAGCTAGGAGGATGTTCTCATTGTATTAATCATGGTAGTTTCCCCAGCTCACAGCTCCTTCTTCTAATTAAACATTGCAATTAAATTGGAAACTTAATCAAATTTAGAAATGAATAGACAAGGTAACTAGACATTTTCAAGGCCAGTGTCATCCAGCAAAACGCATGACCAATTCTTGGACTTCTTTGAGATTTTTCATTGTCGTGAGGGGTATTTATGTCCCCATACAACCTCAGTTGTATATTCTTGTTTTAGTTTGGAGAAGCATTCCCAAAAATGGAAATTGGCATGTTGTATACAGGGTTTTTAGTTAGAGAAAATTAGATGTTGGTGGCCAAAGTAGAAATTTTTTGTTACAAGTGACTTAGTTGTAGGATTGGGAAATTTCTAGTATGGTGCTGCTGCATTAATGAATTATTTGATGAAATCAATGATGATGAGGTTGAATAAATTAAGAGTTATGATACAGAGTTCGAGAGTTGGACACATCCGACTATGTGAGTAGGGAATGACATTATCATGACATTATTTCATACTCACATGAAATAGTCGGATGCATCTGACTTTTGGACTACTTAGTATACATGGGGAGTTGCAAGGTGGAAGTAGTGTTCTTGAAAAAGAAGAGCACGGGGCAGAAGGTGGAAGTTCTTGAAAGGGTATTTATGGAATAAAACCAAAATGGTCACTTTAATACTTTTTATTTTTACAGTAGGTAACTATTTGTTTTTTCTGGACTTTGTGGTCACTTGTTAAAGCCAAATATTTTCAGCTTAGGTTCATTGCCTTTGTAAGCTTGATTGAAACTGAAAATAATAAATTTCTGAAATTGCTTGCAAGTATGGTAGGCGTGTGTCTGAATGTTTTTCAATAGAAAGAACCATATTTTCAAAGAGAATGATTGACCGGTTTTGAGTGAGAGAAAATCAATTATAACAAGATAACTAACAGCTCCTTAAATATGAGAGTTGGATGAGAACGACCCGTAAGGTACATTTTTAATAAAATTATATCATATTTATTAGTTTTAACAACAGTAGGATTATAATATACTTCTTATTATTAAAGGCCAAATTTTTTATTTTATTTTTTATTTCCTTATATTATAATATCCTTAATTTTTTTTTTTGTATCTATTATTAAACCTTGACCAATATAGATTTAATAGGGCCAAAAAATTTATATATTTATCTTACCACTTTTTTTTCTCTCTCTCAACTCCTCGTTCATGTATTTTTTTTTTTTTCCTCCTGAATTTGTAAAACTTTCCATATTCTTCTTTTAACTTTTATCTTCTTTGTGTTTTTTTTTTTTTTTTTTTTCCTTAAATATGTTTCTTCTTTTTCATTAAGGCTTAATTTTTTTTTATTTTTAAGGTAAAATATTTTTTTTATTTGTATTTTTTGATGTGTGGCAAAGGTTGAAGTCGAGTCCTTCGGGTGGGATGTATAAAATAACTTACCAAAAATTAATGAATAAATTATTTTTGTAAAATTTTAATATATTTTTCTTTCGTAAATATTTTACTACAACCAAACACCAAAAAAATAAAAAAATATATTTTCTGAAAAATATTTTACATCCAAACAAATGGAGCCCAAGTATAAGTTGTATAATTCTAAGATCAATTACGTAACAAGAAAGGTTAATTGGATTGATTATATGCTCTATTCAGCAATAGAGGACGCCTCTGCTCGATATTAAAAGGACACTTTTATATTTTTCGCCATCTTATTAGGTTCAGCCATAATAACTGTTCAGAACTCACAAGCCATCAGAATTTCTTTGAATATGTCCTTGAATTCATTCGAGATGTGAGCAAAACTCAAATTGGAGAAGAATATAGTCTTGGGTTCCCTTTATTGGAACTATGTTTTATTTATTTTTGTTTCTAATTGGTCGGGGGCTCGTTTACCTTTGGAAAATAATACAATTACCCCACAAAGAGTTAGCCACACCCACAGATAATATAAATACTGCTGTTGCTTTGGCTTCACTCACGTCAGTGACATATAAGGGCCTCAATTTATATTGAGCCGCCCCAGTATCCACCAATTCACAACCATTTTCCACTCACTCCTGACTTTGAGAAACCTCACATTTATCAAGAAAAAAAAAAAACAATTACCAAAAAAAAAACCGACACAATTCTTGTTTTTTTTTTGTTTTTTTTGGGTTAAAGGACACAATTCTTCCTCGAACTAAAAATTCACTAGGCGAAACTGTACACGTGATGCATGAACCCAGGAGGGAAATTTTTAGCTCTATGAATTTTGCATTTCACTATTACTAACAAGAATAAGATGATCATCATCCCTAATAAGTGCTACATCTTCAATTAGAGCTCCATCTTTATTCAAAACTTTGGTAGGCGAGAACCCGAATTTCTGAGCACCAATATCAAGTAGTTCTTCAAGGGAGTCCGGAAGAAAGACGAGCTTTGCAGCAACATCAGGTTTTTCTGGGCAACTGATGGTCACTCTTGCGCGGTTACCGCCCAAATTCGATTTATTTCCAAAACTTGACTGTGATCGGAGAAGGCCCTGAGCACCTGCATTGTTTAATACAACTTCTGCATAAAAAAACCAGTCATTTCTCAACAGTAAAATTAAACAAGTTTGGTTTTTATAGGTTAACATACAATTCAGAACATCAGCTTTATCTTCAATCAGTCCAGAGAAATGAAACAAAATTTTATGACTTCTTGAAAAAGGTTGACTTAAAACACATTTCTTCATTCACTCAAGTATGGCAACACTCTTAAGAATGATAATATTTCATATAATTTATACGAAAATCCCGACAAACTTGAATGATTCTTAAAATATACTGTATATAATATAATAATATCAAATACTTTTAAATATATTCTGCAACTGATTATACAAAACATGTTTTGTTTTTATCAAGGTTGTAGTGCTCATATATCCATTACATTTTCCCAACCGAGTATGCATAATGTCAAACTCATTTGTTAGAAAATATGAATTTGTGGAAAATTGAAAAAAAAAACTTCAAATTTAGGCTCACCTTTTTTGGGTTTCTGGGCAGCTGACATGATCCCAAACAGCGAATTCTGAAAATTGTCAGCCCTTCGTCTCCGCTGGTCAACAGACAAGGTGACATCCCGGACAATCTGTGGTGCGATTTCTGGTCTAAAAGGTGGTATTGTGGGCTCACTCTGGTATTTCTTAAGATAGGGTACACCCCGCATCTCAGGAACTGCGATGGGTTGGTTCTTGGTCTCTTGCTTGGTCTCGAATAGAATTTTTATCTCTTCATGGCCCTGATAATCAGCCAAAGCCCTTGGGGTCCATCCGTGCACATCTGCATTGTCAATGTCAGCCCCTTGCTCTACGAGGAACTTAACAATTTCAGTGTTTTCTTCGGAAATAGCAGTGTGAAGTGCCGTAGTTCCCATGCTGTTAAGCAACGTAACATCCCCACCATAGTGGATGATGTCCCTGAGCAAGTCTAAGTTGTTCTGCTCAACGGCAAAGCATGCAAACTGACCCACATCCCCTGAAGATATCGTTGCGCCATTGTCTACTAGTAGTTTTATCACAGGTTCATGCCTCCCCAATATTGCATCCCATAGGGGAACATTTCCTTCAGAATCTGCACAAGTTTAGAAAATGTTGTAATTAGAGAAGTGGTTGATCCAATAATTAAATTTTAGCAAACTTTCTTTCAAGAAAGCCAAAGATTGATCTGCCTTTTATTACCATAGGAATTAGAGGCCACTAAAAAAGAACTACTGATAAAAGTAACAAAACTGCTGAACATGGGAGTAAAGGCAAGAGTGACTGTAAACAGCAAGTCCGCCCTTTCCCTTTTGAAGTGAGTGCGAGTCTATGGTATGAAATTATTAGATTTTCCGACACACAAAAAAAAAATAAATAAATAAAAAATAATAATAATAATAATAATAATAATAATAATAAAACTGAAAGCAGTATAAAAAAAAAAAGAAACAGAAGAGATTTTAACACGACATGATTGGATTTTAAAATTGATTATGGTTATTAGATACCTTTTTTGTTAGGATTTGCTCCATAATCTATGAGTAGACCCACGCATTCTACACTTCCTTTTGATGATGAAATATGCTGTAGCAAACAGCACAAAATCAACTTTAATCCTCAGCAAAAGATATTATTTGAGAATATATGTATATTGGGGACAAACAGAGAAATTTCAGACCAAAGCTGTTCTTCCGTTGCTGTCTAATTCATTTGGATCCAGACCCCGTCTCAGCAACTGATGCAACAATAGATCATCTCCCCTCGTTGCCGCAAAACATAAACTCAGAGGCAAATCCATTCTTCCATGAGTCAGCATGTGCTCTGTATTAGTCAGAATTCCTTCCATCATCGGGTCCCGCTGCTCTTTCAAATGCTGCATCATCCACAAATATAGTGCATATAACACATTACACTTCCATCTTCCAGTTTTTAATGTTTTGTCAGCTTATTTACACATTCTATGATAAGAATCTAATCAATATGCCCCATTTGTTTTCATTTTTAAATCTTTGAAAGGGGATAATCAACTATGGAAACTTATGAATGATTTACTCCTATTTTGTTCCGTGGGTAAAGTAATTCAAGTAATATGTATTTGAAGTATCACATTACAAACCTGAAGAAGATTGTTCATGATTATTGTCCCATCTCCAACATTTGCCTGAACAAGATTTAAAAATGCAGTACGGTTCAACCGTAGCAGCTGACTCAATCGTTTCGTACGAATAGTGAACAGTTGTGGCCTGTAACAAAGAACACCTATCTCACCACAAACGTCTCCTTCTTTTAACTGTCCAACAACCTACAATCATCCATGGACAACCCATGTTCATTAATTTGCTAGACAGGACTAAGTATTCTCTTTTTCATACTGTAAAACATTGATGACAAGTGCTATATTATTGAACTTACCTGTTCTATTCCATTCTTATGTGTGATAACATCCTGTCACAAAGAACTCAAAATTAAAAGCTGCAATTGTTTAAGCTAAAAATAATTGACAACAAAAGGGCACTCTTAGATTTACTATGCATATATACATAGTCTCTCTTTCAAGTTTAGGAGAATGTACAAAACTCCATTCTGAGAAATTTCAATTACTGACCAATGAATACCATTCTAATAAGCCTTTCCGTGTCCTTTACCATAGTATTGGTGAGCATAGAGCAATTTCAGTGTTAAGTTCTCCAAAAAGAAGCAGGTACCACATGCAACTAAAAAGATTAAAAATACTAATTTTAAGATTGAAAGAGAATTCCGCAGCTAAAGCTACACCAAATTATCACCTTTAATTTTTAAATTTCCAACTAACTGATCAATTTGATAAGTTGCATGACTATACCCTCTTTTCCTGTCCCATTTATTTTATTTTATTTTTTCTAGAGAGGGAGAATTTGGCTCTTACTACTATTCCTGTAACCAGAATGTACAAGTCCGTAGGTGCTTCATTTTGCAAAATCACATCTTCTTTGGGTGGAAAATACTCGGCTTTCATCTCCGAAACCTATAAGTTCAGAAAACCACAAAACATATAACTCATATGTCAGTATTGTCAATTTAATTATCAAATATATATATATATATATATATATATATATATATATATATATAAAAGTAATGCCAGTGGTGTTTAGTTATGCATAGAATGGAAGTTAAATAGTTCTCAATGTAGATTACTTGAAAACATGAAAATTTGAAGCTTAACCACGACATTTGGGGAAATTTAATCATATTTCTCACAACTTTAACTTCTTCAAAAGATTGGATGAGATTAATTTCATTGTTACTGCAAGGGAGAAAAGTGAAACCAGTTATCATAACCTTTCTTGCTACAGGGGACACACATTAACTGTAAGTTCCATCCAAAGACCAACAAAGAAGATGAGAAAGAACTAGTAATTACCAGTTGAAAAAGCAAGTCGTTTGATACCCCATGAAACAAGTACACCTTATCAACAAGGGAATAAAAGAGATGGTGTGCAATACTTGATCGAATGGCTTTAGGAAGTGCTTCAACAATTTCTTGCTGCTGAAGCCCTTCTGAGTCAGTTCTGTACCTCAAGCACAAATGAGCAAGCATCTGATCTTGCAGGCGAAGTGGTATTTGGTTCCTCTTTGCAAAACTTGATGCAGCTTGAATAGTATCTCTCTGTCCACAAAACATGCCAAATACATTAAACGAAAAAAAAAAAAAAAAACTTTGAATCCCCACAAATTATACTGACAGACAAAGATATAAGTTCAAAAACTTGAACACCTTAGATGACTAAAATCGTGTAAAAAGTGCAAATTATGTCCTAGAGCACAATTGCCAATGCAAATGCATACAAATATCATGATAACAATGTGTTCCGAAATTTTTTATTTTTTTTAGGCTAATAGCAATCTGCGGCTATGGTGATTCTATCAGTTCAAGGCCTTTATGGTCGCAACTTTCATACTAGAGAAGGGCTTGGTAAATGATATTGTAATTTTGGAGCTTTAGCACAAGCTGTTTAAATTTAGATATTGATTGAGACATTTTATATAAAGAGTAGCTTTCATGATTTTTATAAAAAAAAATGGGTGGCAACTTTTCCATAAAGGACCATCACTGGAAAATAAGCTGTCAGGTTTCAGGTATTCAGAAATATCCTTTACAGTTTAAATTTAGCATGAGTAAAAATTTGAACATCCTACGAACACATTTCAGATGGGAAGTCTGCACAAGAAAGTGAGCTCAAGACAGAAGGACTTTTTTAAAGGCTGTTTGTGCCAAGTAATCATATTATCATTACCATAAAAAGGCTTTCAAGATCCAAACACAGCCTGAGACAGCTGAAGACATCGTGCTGAGAGGCAATATCAAATTAAGAACATTAAAAGAAGTTACTCACAAATTGCCTAGTTCGACTGGTAATGTGGACAACCAAGTTGGTCATGTTTCCGATCAGATATGCCGTCAATCCAAGGTTGAAGAGCATGTAGAAGATGTCAAAAATCATCTCCCCTGTATTCACAGGATGCAAATCACCATACCCGGTGGTGGTAAGTGTGGTGATGGACCAGTATATTGAAATGACATATCGGACCCACAAACTCTGCTCATGAAAGTTCTCCATGGCAAGTCCAATCCATGTCTTTTTTGGATCATGGTGACGAGAAGCAAGAAGGTAGTAAAAGCATCCGGCACAGTGGACCGCAAAGAGAGTCACCTGCAGAGACATCACAAGCCTGATAAGATTGATCATATTTCAAAAGTCCCTCTCCTTCATGGGAAGACAAAGTATTTCTCACAAATACTCACACATATAAGCTTTGCACATCGAACCCAAAAATAGCTGAAGTTCTTGTCTTTCTCCAACCTGTGATGATGGGGAAAAAAGTTAATACAGAGTACATCCCACAAAGACATAATAATGATGCTACAATCCAGAAATGGTTTTAGAAAACTTCCACTGCATTCATGATAACATTGCCGCTGTAATCAAAATAGTGTATAACATGAGGTAACTTATATATAACCCAGAAAACAACTTCCAATGAAAATGAAATAAGAAAGTTCCTATAATTCATCTTGGTCAGCAAAAAAACTCGTTACCATCAGAAGAAGCTGAGCTGTGGGATGTGCTTATCATAATGATGTACCAAAATAAAAAGGCAAAGCTTATATTTGAAGTTTGAAAATGGTATAAGAAGCTTGTAATTACTCCTAACTAAGTGTAATTCAGATTGTCAATCACATGGTATTGGGATTAATGAACTTAACAATAATATATAAAATGGATCGGATAGAAATTTTTCTACGGGAAAGAGATTGCTTAGATGTTTTACCTGGCAAACATGGCACCAACTCGTCGAAGACGCCAAAGACGAAGCATATTGAAGTAGCCATATTCTCGGAGAGGAGGGGGCAAAACTCTCCTAGCAAGTTCAGAAGGGATTGCAGAAATAACATCAAATACCAGCCAGGTTTTGGTGTATCTCCAAGCAATCTGCTTGGGGTTGTCAACGAGAAGGTAAGTAGCTTTATCAAGGTAAGCGGTAAAGAAGGTCACGATTATATCAATGGCAAAAAGACCATTGACAACATTGTCAGTGATGGAGAGAGGTCCAGATGGTTTATCCAGTAATCCAAATTCAAATGGACACACCCATGCTGTGTAGAAGACCAGAAATACCAGAAATGTCTCCCAAAGTCTGTGAATGTCAGTTTTTGAGGCAAGCAAAAAAAATCAGTTTAGGCAAAGCTATGTTAATTTCAGAAATAAAATAATATTAATCAACTTATAGGAAATCTTCCACAACTAACATATTAATGAAAAATACAAATTCAGAAAGGAAAAAAGAAAACTGTGAGTATTACCTTGGTGACATTTTGGGAGGTCGAGAACGGGAGGCAGACCTAACCTTAGATGTAACGCTACACAAGCAAGAGTAGATGAACGGGAGACAGACCTAACCTTAGATGTAAAGCTACACAAGTAGTCTTAGACTAGAAACTACAACCGCACGCTTGCCAGTTCAAGATTTGTATATATGCTAGAAACATTACATTTAACCATCCTTCTTTAAATTCTATGATCAAATTCATCTCCAACATCCTCCGGATTGACTACATGAATCCTATTTTTTCACTAATTAGATAATGATAATTTGTACAATGAAAAACCCTTATTCTTATATATAAGTACGAAAATATTTTTATGCTCAACACAATAATGCATTTTCCCAACTCCTCCGGATTGACTACACGAATCCTATTTTTCCATTTGCCCTATCCAAGTCCATAACCCCGTTAAACCAAATGTCAACATATTCTTTCTTACTAACTCTACCCACGCTGACTTTGGTTTTCCCTTCCCCTTAACTGGCGCATTTAGCATTTAGTGACATTCCTTGTACATGACCAAACAACCTTAATCCATTTTCTCTCAATTTATCTGCAATATAAGCTACCCCAACCATTTCATGAATGTACGTTCTCGTTTCTAATTCTATCATTTCTTGTCTAGCCTAGCTCCCATCCATGCAACATTCACATATCTGCCATACTCACTTTATGCATGTGCTATGAAAAAATATTTTTATGCCTTAAAAAAAATAAAAAATAAAAAATAAAAAATAAAAAAACTAAAAGGGTAAGAGGGTTCCATAGAATCATAGAATAGAACTTCAATGCTTAAAATAGAAACTTAATTGTAACCAATAAGTTTGTGATTAAAATATCAAATAGTAACCAAATTTCGCACAATGGTACATAATTCAGAAAACCCAAAAGCAATATGCATACATTCCAAAAGTAAAATACATACCAACATACACAGATTACATATGCATGCATATTGGTGTGTATACATATGCACATTGCCTTTGATGCTTACTGTCAATGATGCTTGCCTTGTGAAAATTGAAAATTGAAATCAAAACCCATTTTGTAGAAAAGGGAAACAAAACCAAGAAATCAACAAAAATTGAAGATAAAGAAATCAATAATGTATCTAAGTTTTTTTTTGGTGAAATCAACCTATCTTCTAAAAGGAATATATATATATATATATATATATATATATATATATATATAACTATATAGATATAGAGAGAGAAAGAGGAAAAGATAGAGAGAGACCTGTAACGGGGATCAAAGGGGGAGATAATGAAGCAACGAAGCTTGACTTTGCGATTGGTATGGGCTCCAAGTGAAGGAAGAACGGCAGCACTGGAGAGGGTGAGAGAGCTGCTTCGATCGTCGCTGGCAACGCGTTCTTCTCTCTCCACATCATCACGATGAAACCCGCACATTGATTCCTTCCACCACGGACATCTCTTCCTCCTCTCCATCTTTACCCGCTCCCGAACACTCTCTCTCTATATATATCTATATACATATATAATCACATTATATTTTGTTGGTATTCAAGACCTTCCCCTCTCTCTCTTCTGTGATCTGCTCTGTCCTCTCTCACTGTTGTTACAGTTCGTTATGGCACAGGCACTCTCACCGAAGTCCTAACTACACACGCCGCTTTACTACTACTGCCACCAATATATAGTTTATATAGTACCATGTGTCTACTAGGGGTGTGCAAAATAAACTTTCAATTAAAAAATAAAATCTGACCGAATCGAATAGGACGATTTGGACCGATTCTATATCGGATCAGTCAAATCACGGTTCTAAAATAATGAAATCATAAATTTTTTGTTCGTCTCGAATTAGGGTCTTATAGAATCGGACCGGCCAGACTCAACGTTTGGTTATATATATATATATATATATATATATATATATATATTATAATATTATATATATATATATGAGTCCCGATCTCTTGTTATCCGTAAAATAAGAAAATTAATTCACACTTTTAATATGGATAGGTTATTTTTCAAACTTACCTTTATTATTTTCTTTTAATACAAAATCCCTCTTATCCTGTTTTTAATATCTATATTTAATTTTACCATTATCCTGTTTTTTTTATAAAGCATTCTTATAAAAATATTTCTTGAGAATGTTTTATAAATTTACAACAACATCCTATCTTTTAACGATAAGTTTCATACCATTCAGACCACAAAATAATAATTTGTCATAATTTTTTCAAACTAACCAAATACACCATTAAAAGTTTATTTATTTATTTATTTACCTCACTTTCTTTTACTCTAACTTTTTTTAATTACCAAGGGTGACATAGTGAAGTGATATGTCTTTTACCTCCTACAATGATGGTGAAAATTAGAGTCTTCAAAAGAACAGAGTGAGTGATGTGTGTAAACTTTTATGTAGGAAAATAAATAAATATACACAAAAAGGTAGTTATTACTTTAATCATGACTTCTTCCTTCTTAACTAATCATAACTTTGACAACCCTTGATATCAGGGTTCTCCTATGAATGTAAACTTTGATTCGAATAAATAGGACTAACTAAAGGCATAAACTTAGTAGGGACTAGAATCTTATTGATAAAATCATTAAATCAATTTTTTTTGTGGGGAGGTTAAAAATTTGAAACATTTTTCTACTATGTATTCAACATCTGTCCATACGCAGTATAAAAGAGGAATTAAAACAAAACAAAAAGAAAAAAAAAATAATAATAATAACTTTATAATTCTAATTTGGGCCATGCATAATTTGTACTGTAATAATCTGGTCAAATTTTAGTAAAGCAGGTGGTTGGATCCATGATTCATCTTCTGTTTTCTTGTCGTGGAATACAAGAAACAAAGCCACAATTCATGTCAAAAAAGAAAAGGGAAGCTTCTCATTTTTCATGTGAGGTGGTTGTTGTCATAAGTTCAATGAATCTTAGTGGTATGTGAGACCTCTCATTCGCAATACACTGAACCCGTATCATAGTCCTTTGATCTTGCCTTGTTTGTTGGGCCCAACAATGGTAAACGAGAAAGACTTCTGTGCATCGGTAATAACATGTAAGTTTACTTTAGTTGTTTGTATCACTACGTTAGGACGGATTTGTAATTGGCATACAATTCTGTCCTTATTTTGACAGATAAAGTACCGATTTTGTCTCGCGTACTTCATTTAACTGTGAGGGCAGGCCGAGTTATGTTACTTTTATGTGTTCAAATTTGGATAATAAATAAGGGACACGGTTTTTAAATTGAGTACTAAATAGTGAATGTTAATATATTAACTCACTCTCGCAACAAAGTAATAATAGTCTTAAAAATATTATATATATATATATATATATATATATAAATTTAAAGGTACATATATAATCGGAACGGGGGTGGGATAGGTTTATCACTAAATCCGCCTCCGCCCTCAAACCCGCTACGAACTTTTATTTATTTTATTATATTCACTCCAAACTCATTTACGTGTTACTAAATTTGCCCCATTAAGTGTGGGGCAAGGTGAAAACCTGCCGGGTCAAAATAAATTACCATCCCTAAGTAAGAGAATGGTTCATTGTGAATTATTTAACCAAAAAAAAATTGGTTCATTGTGAATTACAAACTTGGATCACTTGAAGCTTCCGAAATCCGAATAGTGGATAGTGTGGACCCTAGTGTCAAGGCGAAGTCCTGAATCATGCGAGGCCCATTTGTGAAGTCCTGAATCAAGTGAGACCCAGAGAGGAAAGTTTGGGTCATGAGTCAGGCCCATATATTAAGTTCCAATCTGACTAAGCCCCACGTCATCTATTTAGACTGGTCCAGGAAATTTTTTCCCCCACTCCTAGTCCAAATAATTGTGTTAACGAGTTCAAATGTTGATATAGGTGCATAAGATCATTTGAAATCGAGGTGTATAGTATACAAAATATACAACTATATATATATGTATGTATGTAGAAAGTTGTATGACATAAACACTGCGTGTTAAATTAATGAATGAATTGGCATGCTGCACCACCAAGGAAATTGTTCTTTGGTACAATGATGAATAGCTTACAAGTTTGACAAAAGAGAAGCATTCTAAACAAGGAAATGAAAATGAAGCAAGTGGTAGAATCGAATTAAAGCTAGAAGGTCGTGGGAGCTGACGGTTACATAAAAACTTTTGAAGAGAAGCTTGAAAATGGGATTTGCAATCGTGGAATTTTGCCATATATTTCATACGAGTCTAATTCTTTGTTATAATTTTTACTGTGGTACTTTTTTCAACACATTACATTTGTTTCTTAACGCATTACAAAAGTAAACAAAATGTGTTGAAAAGTCGATGTAACAGTGATAAAAATCACTGCAGTAGAGCATCCGAGCTCGTGATTTAACTACCGTAAATTTGCAGATGATAGGTAAGGCTAGCACATCCCGTCCAAGGAATATAGAAGTTGTAAATATAATTTTTCAATTTTCAACTGTGTACTCTGTTGTTACTCAAGACATTTTGGTCCTCGATTTAGTAGATTCTTTTGCCCAATTACCACCCTTTTTGAATAGTGGTGTCAATACACGTGGCATATCCTGATGTTTTCATGTGGTCAAATCTGGGCCATCCAATGTTGGAACTGAAAATGGGTGCCAAGTGCTAACACGTTGTACATGAGGATTAAAATTGGAGTGCTCACTTTATACAATTCTTGAATTTTCTGATTTTGAATGTTATAGATTTTACTCAATGTTCAACCCAAAAAAAAAGAAGGTAAAAAGAAATAATGAAAATTGAATAAGGAGCTCACATAGACACTTGTGTGATGTGTGTTATTTTTTCTAGATACACCTATTTTAATATGTTATTGTTTGTTACTCGGTATTGACACGTCATTAATAAAAGTATATGATATGTGTGTGATACTAACATTCAAATTGAATATCCGGTTTTCGACTTTTTGACTACCTATCATATTTTTATTTTGATACTCGAGATTCATTTTTTCTAATCATATTCTGTTTTATTTAATTTATAATTGAGTATATATATATAAATCCATCAAAGAATATTATACATTACACTATCATACGATGAGCCATGTTCACGTACCCATATCTAATACATTCTAAAGATATTTCTGTCCAAGTTAATTCCAGTGTCCCGAAGATTTTAAGTTTAAGAAGGTCCAAAACGTAGGCTATGTTTGATAACATTAATTAGGAGATAAATGAAAGAGAAGGAAAGGATAAATGAAAGGGAAAGAAAGGATATTATTAACTATTCAACCTATTTGGTTAATTAATTAAGAAAAAAGAAAAGAAATGATTGTAATATTAAGGAAAGAAAGATAAAAGAAACTATTTTAATGAATTTATCATCCCACCTTTTTACATAAATTTTTGTCTTTTATAGGTATAATAATAAATTTAGTATTAATAAAGTTTTATTACAAATGTTAGTCTTTCCTTCATTTTCCTTCTATTTTTGAGAGATTACAAAATCAATATTTCACCTCTAATTTGTATCCTTCCAATCCCTCCATTTCCTTTCTTTTTCTTGAAGAATCTATACCAAACATGATATATATATACACAGTGTGTTCAATTGCTCTTGGTGGGTTGAAACTAGTACACTCACTTTTAATCTTGGTCTTAGAATCTAATCTTACGGCAATTAATTAATCAGTTTTTCATTTTTATATTTTAATAAGCTTATTCTTTTTTCTATTACCATTATATATTATTAACAAGAAATGACAAAACTAGACATGTTTTTAATGAAAACTAAACTAAAACCAATTTGGTTATGTTTTTCTTCTATACTACTTGCGGTTCATTCCCTAAAAAATAATATAAAAAAAAACTTGTTGGCTAATTAAGAAATTCCCAAAGCATAACAAAAAATAAAATAAATTATTTTCCTTACTATCAACCATAGTCCATAGGTATTAAGACAATGTTAAATAATCATCAAGTGAATAGTGGGTCTTCATATGAATATATGGATGTGAGAATCTTGGAGTATAATTTCGCCCTTGAATATTATTAATTTAGCATGTTCAAAAAAGTGTTCATTAGCTGGTCTAATATCTTTTGGCACTCTGTTGATTCGCATGTCATTGTAACTTTCTAATGAAACAAGTTAGCAATTAAGCGATTGCTATGGGATGGAGATGAAATGATAAAAAATAAAAATAAAAAAATTAAATAAAGCGATTGTTATGGAATGGAGGTAAAAAAATAAAATAAAATAAAATAAAATATAATTAATTATCTTAGTACCTTCAAGTAGCTAGAGAGAGCATGGAATAACAAATATATATCATTATGAATAGACAATACTAGTAGAATTGTATTATCATCGTCAGGGAAATCGAAATTAAATTTTGTATAAAGTGATTATTATTTAACATTATACCTTGTGCTCCACGGAGGGATGTAAAGAATCGAATCCCAGACAAAATGATAGTATAGAGGTAAATAGTGAAATGAAATAATTTCAAAACATGATTAAATCCTTCCACTTAAAATTTGTATTTGATAATGTTAAGTAAATTAACCACCCAAACATGATTTAATTAATTTTACTTCTTTTCTTGGGAACGTGGCTAGTAGTATGGAGGAAAAGCGTAGCCAAATTGAATTGGTTTTAGTTTAG